AGACACTGAGTTATTAATGAATAAAGTATATTAAAGACACGTAAAACTGAACAAGCAAGCCAAGCAAACCGAAGGGCGTTTGGATTAACCCAATTTTCTGAACCAGTCTGTATTGGCTTGCTTTAGTTAACAACATAAAGGCTTGTATACACAGAATCTACTCTGATTTTTATAAGACCTCTCTAGCTGGAAAGCAGAAACATTGTTATATATTTCTGTTAGGCCATCACAAAACACACCAAACACTGGAGTAAGAGAAAGAAAGGGTTTATTGGGGAAAACCCAGCAGACTGGAGGTAAGGGGTGAAGAGGGAAAAGAGAGAAGGGGAGTATAAGAGAGAAACAGAGAGGAGAGGGGGAGAGGAGAGTAGAGAGAGAGAAGAGAGAAGCCAAGAGAGAGCCATGTGTTCAAGAACAGGTCCTTTTGAAACTTTGCCAGAGCTCGGGCAGGGAAGCAGGAGCAGTGAATCCCTTTAGGATGGGGGTGGAGCTTGACCACAGCAGTTGGGCCCTGTGGCCACCTGGCTTCCAGCAATGGTGGTGGGGGCTGGGGCATAGGATGTAAATCAAGGTGCAGATCACGCCATAGATAAAACTGCCATAGATAAAACTCCGCCAGTTTCCTAACAAACATGAATACAACATAGGTCTGACATCATGTACAACATTTTAATACACTTAGCATAATCTGAATTGACTCAAACAGTTGTTACTTTAACAAATTTAGAGTCTCATCCTTTGAGAGTTCCCGGGATCTGACTGGAAGCCTCAAAAGTTGGAAGACTCAGTTTAGAACTGTCAGAGTCAAACTGTTTAGTCAAAAATTAGTACATTTAACCTGAGCGTTTTAACCAAGGCTGTGGGCTAGATCTGATCAGTTAGGTAATCACTCAAACATTAAAAACAGGCAAATAAGGTAAACAACTTCATGTTGCAGTTTTCCCAATCAAGACTCAGTACTGGCAATAGAAAAACGGGAACCTTCAAGACACGTGCAAACTCTCGTCAGATAAGTAAGCTACAGCAGCACAGAAAAGAGCTGATCGTCAGCCTATGAGCCCATTGCTTAGGTTTCCATTAACTGCAAAGAGGAAGACCCATCAGGTTGGAAAGGGTTAATGGATTAAGGTTCTTGCTCCCTTAGGTAAGGCCAGCAGTAGCCAGAGGCATCCCCCTCTCCTCCCTAGTGAGGAGGGGTATTGAATTGGAAATGGAGAGGAAAAAAGCAGTCCTGGGGAGAGCTCTCACCAGAGGTATCTGGCAATGTCGATGCAGGCCACCCTGACTGGAACAGAGTGCAGAGAAAGGTCTTCCATTTACAGGGAAGACTGCACACGCTGGGGCCTAGCAGGACTGTCTGTGGGGTTGGATAGGTGCGCTGTTTCACCAAGAGTTCTGGGGACCTCCTATAGCAAATCCTTTATAACACAACAGAAGTCCGCATTGCCTAGTCTAATTAAAATGGCCACCAAGTTGAGATCTTAATCCATTCAACTTGGATATTTCAACCAAAGCCAGATCCAATCAGGGCTACTGCAGTCACTCAGTCAATTAAAACAGATAGTTATCTTTAGCTCCTTTCCAGATTCAGTCCTCAGGCAATCAAAGCTTGGCAACAGTAATAGTACACAAAAACTTTTCAAGACGCAGAGCTACCATAAGCTGCAAAGACAGAAAACCTTCTACCAAGTTGGAAAGGGTTAACCGGTAATGGCTTTTTCCCTTTCTTAGGTGGAGAGACCTTGGAATTTATCCTCTCCCTTCCCCCTGGTCAGTGGTATAGCAATGGAGATGAGAAACAAAGAGAGGGGGAGGGAGACCAGGAGGAGGAAGAGGGAAAGTGACAGAGGATAAGGCTTGAGCAGCGGCCCTCACCTTCCTTCAGAAATCTCCGGCTGTGCCCATGAGGCATCTCAACTGGAGGAGAGCACAGGGAAGGGTCCTGATGTCTGGGGGCTGAGTGGGTGTTCAAAATCTCCTATCGCTTACGATTGCCCACTACCTAGTTATCTGAGTTTACGGGGAGGGCCAATAGTAGCCTAGACCCAAGCTAAGCCCTGCTGCCTTAGCACTTGGCAGTGCAACCAGCTGCCAGGAAGCCAGAGGAGCTCAGCGGGTCTCCAGGCTCTAAGCCAACTACTCTTCCTGATTTCCCTCCCGTTCCTTACAATCCCTCTGGAGTTTCGGCCATAGCTAAGCCAGGGCCGCGGGGACTCTGTGTTCTCGGAGAGCTGTGGGTTGCTGGACACTTGATGATCACTTCCACAGATCTGGTCCCGTTTGTGGGAAGGAATACTGACCTTCAATGTCTTCTTAAAGTCCCTCTCGTGGTCGCCAAAATGTTACCGGTGAATGGCAGGGTTCTTGTCTTCACGCAAGAAAGAATTCAGGCGTGAGACAGTAGTGGAAAGTAAAATAGCAAGGTTTATTAGGGAAGGGACATCCGTAAGAACGGATGGGCACCTCTCCAGACAGAACCTGAGAGAGAGTGTCCAGTCACTCAGTCTGGGGGAGAGCGAGGTTACATGGTTGAGTGGAGAGAGAGTACACCTGACCAGGCCAGGCGGACGGCTCAGAAGCGAGGCAGAGGGCTGAGTGCGCAGTCTGGTTGAGGCCGGGGGTCTTTAAGGGGATGTCTCTTGCCTCCCCACCTCTGCTCCTCTTAGAACAAAGGACTTCTTGGATGTAAATAGAAAAACTCCTATCGGAGTTTTCCCCCTGAAATTTTGAGACAGCTGAAGCTGCCCCGCCTTAGAGGAAGGATGGTTATCTGGTAGAAGGGGCTGGGTGTGTTTGAAGTGCAGATACTGGGCTGCCCCTGGAAGGTTATCGGGATGACTGAGATGCATATGCTGGACCCAAATGTCTCCTTAGGCCTTTGTCACACACACATAAGCTCATATCTGACTTCCTACCTAACGAGGGAATGAAGTCACATTCATAGAGACCAGGTACTTTTAATAATTTGCCATAAGAATGTTCTTAGAATTAACCAGATGCCCTCCACCCCATGGGAGACCAGGAGAAGCACCTGGCTCCTGCCATCGGATCAGCACGGTGCGCCGGCCGCAGCGCGCCGGCCACGGCGGCCATTGGAGGGTGAACCAACGGCAAAGGAAGACCTTTCTGTCCATCTCTCTCTCTCACTGTCCACTCTGCCTGTCAAAAAAAAAAAAAAAAAGAATTAACCAGATGCATGAAAAGCAATGTGCAGGATGTTGAGTGTACTCTTTTCGGTGGGGTGGGGCGTGATAGCAAAGATTAGAAAACAGCAGTGAACATTACATTATTTTGAATCACTGCTTACATATGTGATGGAATACTATAAGCCGATGAATAAGGGTGCAGATCTATACATCTTTACTCATATGTGCAACTTGGCATTTAAGTGCAAAGATATTCCTGAGGTTTTTAAATGAGTGAATGGTATTAAAGAGAAAACTAAGTATGCCTGCAGCTGCCATTCCTTCTTTCTGAAAGTCCTCCTGCGGAACGTAGTTAGGAAAGGAGAAAGGAGAGAAGGCTCTAGAAGTATGAGTGTTAAAATGTTAGTGCTGGTTCTTGTCTGAGCAACTATTGATGCCGTCACTTTCTTCCCTTCATCTAGCGGTCTTAGTTTTTTTTTTCCATTATGTATTTAATACCCTTAAACTCAAAAAGTAGATTTATTTTTAAAATGAAATGTGACGGAGTTCCTCTTTGGTCTGCTTTACAAGGAAGTTTGGTATAGGTTTATCTCAGCATGAATGTGGGCACAGACAAGGAAGCAATGAAAGTAATAGACTGCCTTGAGATTAGTGTATGTTATGTGGGTCGCTAAAAAGGAAGGAAGTGGAAGGGAAATGAGCCAAAGTCCTTTGAGGAAAAAAAGGCAAGTAGTCAGCTGTACCAACTGTAGGTAAAACTGGCAAGCAGAATTGTGATTGCTACAAGTCCCCTCATAATCCACATACAATCTTTAAGTAAATGCTAACCTAAGGCAGAGTTCATTTAAAATACTGATTTATTGTGCATGAAAGGAATATTGAAATGTAGGGATCCATGGATCTGATGTGTAGATTTCCTGATTAAAAATGAAGCCGTTCTCTAACATTCTAAGGAAATGAGAAGTAGAACTCTTATTTTAGGCTTTAAAGATTAGATTTTGACAAGTCATTCCTTTTGGGATTCTTAGGCATGGATTTTTTTTTTTTTTTTTTTAATTTGAAAAAGTTAGAGAAGGAGAGAGAGATTTTCAGTCTACTGATTCCCTTGCCAAATGGCCACAAGGAGCCAGGAGCTTCATCTGTGTCTTCCATGGGATACCAGGGCCCTGACATTTGGACCATCCCCTGCTGCTTTTCTCAGGCCATTAGGAGGGACCTGGATCAGAAGTGAGCAGCTGGGACATGAACTGGCACACATATGGGATGCTGGTGTGGCAGGTGGCAGCGTTACCTGTTACACCACAACACCAGCCTCAGGTTTAGATACTTTTTTTTTTTTTTTTTTTGGACCGGCAAAGTGGACAGAGAGAGAGAGACAGAGAGAAAGGTCTTCCTTTGCCGTTGTTCACCCTCCAATGGCCGCAGCGGCCCGCGTGCTGCGGCCAGCACACCGCGTTGATCTGATGGCAGGAGCCAGGTACTTCTCCTGGTCTCCCATGGGGTGCAGGGCCCAAGCACTTGGGCCATCCTCCACTGCACTCCCGGGCCACAGCAGAGAGCTGGCCTGGAAGAGGGGCAACCGGGACAGAATCCGGCGCCCCGACCGGGACTAGAACCCGGTATGCCGGCGCCGCCAGGCGGAGGATTAGCCTAGTGAGCCGCAGCGCCGGCCTAGATACTTTTATATTTAAAATTTATTTTAGTAACTTGTTCAACTTTTTGGTTCCCCTTAAAAGCATGAAATTGTGTTATAATAAAATTTTCTCTTATTTGAAGCAATCAGTGTATAGTTCTGAGTATTTTCCATTTGTTTAATTTTCCTTGCAATTTACTCCTTACCTATTTAATTTGCAGAACGGCTTCCCAAGTTCATTTAATGAAATTTTCACCAGATGGAGAATTTTTTGCCACTGCTGGGAAGGTAAAGTGTGAAACTATACAGTGTGTTTACAGTTGAATTTGAAACTTATTAACATTAACTGGCTTAATTCTTTCATTTGTCTTAAATATTTCTGTTAAGAATATTATATAGCAAAAAATTGGCTAAATATTAATAGTCTTTAAAAAGCACTGTTCTATAACTGAAAGATTGTGGACTTAGTGGTTGAGCCGAATATAAATCTGTCTTTTATCAGTTCTGTTAGCTTAGGTAAGTTGGTTTATCTCTTCCTTATGTGTAAAATGAGGATACCCCCACCTACCTCATAGATCATTAATCTTGGATAAATTCAGACAGTTTATATAAAGTGACTGGCTCAGTATGTTGCATACATTATACAATGAGCAATAAGCTGGAGTTTCTGTTGTGTTACCTCTGAGCTGACATGTGTATTAGGCTGTATTTAAAATGTAAAACATAGTAGGCTCTTGGAAGGAAGTTTCTTGAGTGTATGTGCATTGTTACTACCTGTTGATTTCAAAGCAGTGCATTTTCTTGACCTTATTTTTAGCCGTTAATTCACAGAATGGTTGGTGAACACTAACAATCTGAAGTTACTGTCTTTGGAACTCAGAGCCTTCTGCATTCGCTCTCAGGGTGCAAGATGCTCTGATAGCACAGTGAGATGTCTTTTTAGGAGAGAAGTGGAGCTGTTCCTTCTGGTTTACACAAATGCACGCTGAATATGGTTTAAGAGTAGTTCGTGCTAACTTCTAGCTTCTGCTCTTTTCTAGTTTTCCAAGGTAGGAGGCACAAGTTTAATTGTGCAGGCAATGTTGAAATAGTACTAGTTATGAACTAGTTGTTACTTTTAGTATTTTCTCCTAAAAATCATGTGATAGCTCATGTACAGAGTCCTTTTTTCCCCTCCCCAATTAGCAGCCTTTCTAAGTCTGTTGGTGGGGTTCCTTTCTTTGGCCTAAGGTAAAGGAATCCCTTAATTTCATCTTCTGGTTTTCCCTGAATGACTTAATTTCCCATCATGGATGGAAATTAGCAAGTTTTTGTTGTTGTTGTTATTGTTAGCAAAAGAGTTTTATTGAAAAGAGGAGAGAGATTAAAAGAACAGAGCAAAAGCTCCCAGGAAAGCAGCCAGGCGGGGCTCCTTCAGCAGGAAAAAACCCTGGAAAGGAAGTGACCTGGGTGTTTTATCGCCCATTGCAAAGTTTGTACAATGTCCTTTAAGAAGAGTGTTTTTTGTAGGGTGAGCTCAGCCTTTGTTTTTAACTCCCATTCCTCCCATTTCATTGTGACTTTTATAGGACAGAAAAAAAGTTCTATCTCAGGCCTATCGTTGGGTAGAGCTGTTTGTCTTCACCACACTGAGCACAGACAGCTCCAACCACTTAGCCTTCTGTGTGGCCTTGACAACACAGACTGAGCAAGCATTTTTTTTTTTAACACAGAATACATAAGGAAAACCTCAAAAAGCTCATGAAAGAGGGAATTAAAAGATAGTTTATTTGGTGCAATAAAATTTGAAATCCATGCATAGTTTTTTCATAACATGCATTTTCCATAATTTCTTTCATGATCCATTACATTTATTTTTTTCCACCAAAGTAGATACTTTAAAATTACATTTTCTGCAGAGTTTTTAAGTACCCTTGCACCAATTTACACGCTTGACTTCTCAAAGCACTGTTAAATAATGTGAATAAAAAACTGCTCGGGATTTCTTCTCAAGTCCTCTGTTCCCAGTCTTTCCTCCCATCTCTAGGTTGCTCCCATTGGGAAGAAAAATATTTTGCTATTTGACTTAATCTTTAATTCCTTTCTTTAATTTTTTTTTTTTTTTTTCATTTTATTTCAAAGGCAGAGAGACGGAGATAGTCTCAGAGAAACCTCCCACCCACTTGTTTACTTCCCAAATGCCCACAACAGCCAGGGCTGTTCCAGGCTGAAGCCAGGAGTGTAGAACTCAATCCTGGTACCCATGTGGGTAACAGATACCCAAGTACTTGAGTCATCACCTACTGTGTTCTAGATTGTACAATACCAGGAAGCTTGAATGGGAAGTGGAACCAGGACTCTAACCCAGGCATCCGAAGCCCCATGTTCACCTCTGCAGCAAACACCCACCACACCTTTAATTCTGACATGGATATTTTTCTTTTTCTTAGGATGATTGTCTTTTAAAGGTATGGTACAATGTGGAAACCTGGCGAACATCTGTTACCTCTCCAGATACAAGTTCAGAAAAACAATCCCAAGGAGAAATCGACTTTTCTTTTGTTTATCTGGCACATCCTCGAGCTGTAAATGGGTTTTCCTGGCGTAAAACGAGCAAATACATGCCTAGGTCAGTGAAGGTCATTTTATCTATGTGCTTTTTGTTGTGTTTTTTAACTTTATTAAAGAAGGTCTTATACTAGGGGCAGAAAAAAAATACAGACAGACAGACAGTGACAGGTATTAGCCTTGCTAGGCTGAAGCCAGATCTGCATAGGTGGCAGGGAGCCAACTACCTGAGCCATTGCAGCTGCCTCCCAGGTCTGCACTGGCTGCTCTGCTTACAATCTAGCTCCTTCTTTTTTTTTTTTTTTTTAAGATTTATTTATTGAGTGGCTGGTGCTTTAGCACAACATGTCAACGTCCTGGCCTGAAGTGCTGGCATCCCATATAGGCGCCAGTTCGAGACCCTGCTGCTCCTCTTCTGATCCAGCTCTTTGCTATGGCTTGGGAAAGCAGCAGAAGATGGCCTAAGTCCTTTGGCCCCTGCACCCATATGGGAGACCTGGAAGAAGCTCCTGGCTCCTGGCTTCAGATTGCTGCAGTTCTGGCCGTTGCGACAATTGGGAGTGAACCATCAGATGGAAGACTTCTCTCTCTCTCTGCCTCTCCTCTCTCTGTGTAACTCTGACTTCCAAATAAATAAATAAATCTTTTAAAAAATAAGATTTATGGGCCGGCACCGTGGCTCAGTAGGCTAATCCTCTACCTGCTGCACCGGCACCCCAGGTTCTAGTCCCGGTCGGGGCGCCGGATTCTGTCCTGGTTGCTCTTCTTCTAGTCCAGCTCTCTGCTGTGGCCCGGGAGTGCAGTGGAGGATGGCCCAAGTGCTTGGGCCCTGCACCCACATGGGAGACCAGGAGAAGCATCTGGCTCCTGGCTTTGGATCAGTGCGGTGCGCCAGCAACAGCGTGCTGGCTGCAGCAGCCATTGGGGGGTGAACCAACGGGAAAGGAAGACCTTTCTCTCTGTCTCTCTCACTGTCCACTCTGCCTGTCCAAAAAAAAAAAAATAGTAAGTAAGATTTATGTATTTATTTAAAAGGCAGAGCTATGCTGAGTCAGAGGCACAGAGAGAGAGAGAGGTCCTCCATCCACCGAGTCACTTCTCAAATGGCTGCAATGGCTGGAGCTGGGCCAGTCCAAAGCCAGAAGCCAGGAGCTTCTTCTGTGCCTCGCACATGAGTGCGGGGGCCCAAGAATTTGGGCCATCTTCCACTGCTTTCCCAGGCCATAGCAGAGAGCTAGATCAGAAGTGGAACAGCTGGGACCCGAACTGGTGCACATGTGGGTTGCCAGCACAGGTGGTGGCTTTACCTGCTATGCCCCAGCACCAGCCCCTATCTAGCTACCTTTTAATGTACCTGGGGAAGTAGAAGATGGCGCAAGTCCTTGGGAACTTGCCACTCACATGGGAGACCTGGATGGAGTTACTATGTCCTGAGTTCAGCCTGGCCCAGCCCTGGATGTTGTGGCCCAGTGGGGGTTGAACAGTTGATGTATCTAAGATCCTCTCTCTGTCTCTTTCCCTCTCTGTGTCAGTCTCCTTTCAGATAAAATAAATAGATCTTAATTTAAAAAAATAAGTATATAGAATAGTTATTAAACTTGTTAGTAACCAGGGTACAGTTGCCTTTTTAGGAAGTAAAAATAAAGCATAATGAAAGTTTCAGAAATAAATCAGAAGATCTTACTAGAACATATATTTTTGTCTTTTTTTTTCAAAGTTTATTTATCTGAAAGTCAGAATTACACAGAGAGAGGAGAGGCAGGGGTGGGGTCTTCCATCCGATGATTCACTCCCCAGTTGGCCCCAACGGCTGGAGCTGCGCCCATCTGAAGCCAGGAACCAGGAGCTTCTTTGGGTCTCCAGGGGCCCAAGGACTTGGGCCATCTTCCACTGCTTTCCCAGTCCATAGCAGAGAGCTGGATTGGAAGAGGAGCAGCAGGGTCTCGAATTGGTGCCCATATGGGATGCCGGCACTTTAGGCCAGGGCATTAACCCGCTGTCCCACAGTGCTGGCCCCAGTTTTTTTTGTTTGTTTGTTTGTTTGTTTGTTTGTTTTAAGATTTATTTATTTATCTGAAAGTCAGAGTTATACACAGAGGAGAGGAGAGGCAGGGAGAAAGAGAGGTCTTCCATCTACTGCTTCACTCCCCAATTGGCTGCAGTTGGTCGTAATGGCCAGAGCTGCGCCTATCCGAAGCCAGGAGCCAGGAGCTTCTTCCAGGTCTCCCACATGGGTGCAGGGGTCCAAGGAGTTGGGCCATCTTCTAACTGCTTTCCCAAGCCATAGCAAAGAGCTGGATCAGAAGAGAGCAGCTGGGACTAGAACCACCGCCCATATGGGATACCAGTGATTCAGGCCAGGGTGTTAACCTGCTACACCACAGCACCGGCCCGAACATGTAGTTTTTTGGGAAGATTTATTTATTTTACCTGAAAGTCAGAGTTACACAGAGAGGAAAGGCAGAGAGAGAGAGTTTTTCCATCCGATGGTTCACTCCCCAGATGGCTGCCACGGCCAGAGCTGTGCCGATCCGAAGCCAGGATCCAGAACTTTCTCCGGGTCTCCCACGCGGCTGCAGGGGCCCAAGGACTTGGGCCATCTTCTACTGCTTTCCCAGGCCAGAGCAGTGAGCTGGATTGGTAGAGGAGCAGCCGGGACTGGAACTGGCACCCATATAGAATGCCGACGCTTCAGGCCAGGGCGTTTACCTGCTGCGCCACAGCACCAGCCCCCGAACATGTAGTTTGAAAAACAGATTTATTTATTTGAAAAGCACCGTGACAGAGAAAGACAGAGACAGACACAGACACACAGAGAGACACATACTGAGATATCTTGCATTGGTTCACTCCCCAAATGGCAACAACAGCCATGGTAAAGCCATGTGCTAGGAACTTCATCTAGGTCTCACATGTGGGCGACAGGAAACTAAATACTCGGGCCATCATTCTTTGTCTCCTAGGCACACTAGCAGGAAGCTGGGTTGGTAACTTACAGTAGCCTCAACGTGAATCAGGCACTCCAGTATGAAGTGCAGGCATCCCAAGTGGTGGCTTAACCTCCTATACCACAATACCTGCCCTGTGATGTAACTGTTATATTGCTTGTCAGCTGAGAGATTATGGCTTGATCTTCCTTCTTTATATGTTAAAATCTTAACTGAAAAAGGAAGTCTAAGTTCTGGGCAGGAATGAAATAGATTGGCATGCTTTTGCTGTGATGTGGTCTGTGTATATTAATATGTTTTACATTGCTAACTTCATGTGTGCATTTGAATAATTATAGCAACATTATAGAATATCTGATACTGCATGAAGTTTGTATTTTTATTTATAACATCTTTTTATTCTTAGGGCTTCGGTATGTAATGTACTGTTGACCTGCTGCAAAGATAATGTGTGTCGTCTCTGGGTGGAGACATTTTTACCAAATGATTGTTTGCTGTATGGAGGTGACTGCAGCCATTGGACTGAGCCAGTTAATTTAACAAATAACTTCAAGAGGAATGCTTCTAATAAAGAGCGAGTTCAAAATGCTATAGAAGTAAGTGCTTTTTTAAGATGTAATATGCTGTAAGTTCTAAAACTTGGTTATATGTTGCCTTTTTTGGTAACATTAGTAGTAGTATTAAAAAATCTATCAAGAAGAGAGTTCACAGAAATTATTTTAGTTTTATTTGGTTTAAAAACTACATAAAGATTTTAGAGCATAAAACTGCCTATAATTTTGAAGATAATCTTAAGTTAACTGATTATAAGAAAAGGATAATTACAGTTGACTTAGATGAAGAAAAATAAAATCTGAGAATGCAAAGACTGTAATAATATTTTTTTTGTCTTCCATGGAACTTGGAATAGAGTAGTTTGTCATATTCTGTGATAACATTTGTTATCTTTAGAATCCCCCTCAACTTGAAGTCTTTGTTTTACTAATTAGTGTTGAAAAGCAATATCATTTTTTTTATTTTTTTATTTTTTTATTTTTTTATTTTTTTTTATTTTTGACAGGCAGAGTGGACAGTGAGAGAGAGAGACAGAGAGAAAGGTCTTCCTTTTTGCCGTTGGTTCACCCTCCAATGGCCGCCGTGGCCGGCGCACCGCGCTGATCCGATGGCAGGAGCCAGGATCCAGGTGCTTTTCCTGGTCTCCCATGGGGTGCAGGGCCCAAGCACCTGGGCCATCCTCCACTGCACTCCCTGGCCATAGCAGAGAGCTGGCCTGGAAGAGGGGCAACCGGGACAGAATCCGGCGCCCCGACCGGGACTAGAACCCGGTGTGCCGGCGCCGCAAGGCGGAGGATTAGCCTAGTGAGCCACGGCGCCGGCCGCAATATCATTTTTTTTAGATTAAAAAAGTATTTGATTTGTTTGAAAAGCAGAATTGGAGAGAGAGATTTCATCTGTTGGTTCACTACCAATTAGCTGCAATGGCTGGGGCTAGGCCAGTTCGAAACTAGGAGCCCAGAGCTCCTGCTGGGTCTCCCATGTGGTTGGCCGAGGCTCAAGCACTTGGGGCATCCCAGGCACATTAGCAGGAAGGTGGATCAGAAATGGAGCAGCTGGGACTTGAACCAGTGCTCTGATGTAGGATGCTGGTGTTGCAAGCAGCAGCTTAACCTGCTGTACCCCAACACTGGCCCTGGAAAAGTTTTTTTGATGTTTGGGCTAACTCAAAACACAATGGTAGTATAGATTTTTCTTATTATTTTCTTAATACTGAAAACAGGAGATGATTTAAAACTGACTTATCTTTGAATGCATTGTATGAATATGGGGAAACTTAAAAACTGAGTAATGTTCTGTAGTTAAATACATAGTGCAAGGTTACTCAACAATGAATAAAATGCTTATATTTAAAAATAGCTGAAAGAAGTCCTTGACCATGGGAACCTGAAGCCTTGTTTTACTTTTAGCTCTGTTTCTTAAAAGCTAGGTGACCTTGGATTCTGTATAAGCTGTTATGTGGTATGAAAGATGAGAATAATAGTACTTAGGCTTTCTGCCTCATGAAATCAAATGAAATGATCCATGTTAAAATTCTTTGTCGATTATGGAATGTCCTGATGCATGATAGTATTCAGTTTTTCATGGTCACAGGGACATCCTTGTTCAAGAAACATTATTGGAAAAACCTTTTTTAGTTTTAAAGAGAACATACCAATCAAAGTGACAAATTATTATGTTAAAGTAGAGAGAGAGCCTAGTGCTTACTCATGATTCAAATTTCTATACAAAAAATATTGAAAGGTATTTTAAAATATAATTATATGAAATAGGATCTGTGTAACTCCTAACAATTATATGTAGCCTACACACATACAACTTTTAACCATGGAGGCTGTAGTTTTACTTTGTTTCTGTTCACACAGGTAAATCTGAGACACTTTCGTAGAGGTCATAGGAAATCACTTGCATTGGTAGCCAATACCGGATATCTGCCCCATCAGCAGGATCCACATCTTGTCCACAGGAACACTCCACTGCATGCCAATGCACTTTGCCACTTTCATATTGCAGCCAGCATCAATCCAGCCACAGGTAACACAACATTGTTCTAAATGTGTCTTTTAAATGGAGTAGGTAGGTTTTAATTATTTATTTAACTTTTAAAGATTTATTTATTTCAAAGGCAGAGTTACAGAGAAGCAGAGGCAGAGAGAGAGAGAGCGAGAAAGAGAGAGAAGACTTCCATCACTGGTTCACTTCCCAGATGGCCTTAACGGCCGGAGCTGCACAGACCCAGTGCTAGGAGCAAGGAGCTTCTTCCGGGCCTCCTATGGAGGGGCCCAAGGACTTGGGCCATCCTCTACTGCTTTCCAAGACCATAGAAGAGAGCTGGATTGGAAGTGGAGCAACCGGGATTTGAACCGGCGCACATATGGAGTGTTGGCATTCCATGTGGTGGCTTTACACGCTATGCCACAGCACCAGCCCCAAGTCGATAGATTTTTATAGTTGATAAATTGTACTCTTCAGTTAACACTACTGATTAGTTTTTGTATTTTATGGAATATTCTTAAGTATAAATTAAGCATAACCTGTTTCTGTGGAGCATACGGGATTTGCAGCAATACATTCTTCAAAGAATGGTCCATGAGCTACTTGAATAGAGTTTTATTCATCCAAGAGAGAAGTGCTGTGATAAGTTGAAGTATAGAGACTTGTGGTAGGAATAAAAATGCTTATTGACCTTCTTAGCTTACATTTGTTGACAGCAGTCTTAAATTTAATAGAATCTATAAAGCAAAATGAAACTAAAATATTATAGACCATCATCTTTATCAAAAACTTAAATCAAGAGTGGTTATAATGCCCAGAGTTAACTCTAAGGTCAGTGGAATAATTTATGTTATGAGAATAAAGAAGGGTTGTATTTTCACTTTAATGTAAAAAGCTAAGGAGTTACTGAAAAATGGACCCTGAGTTCCAAGGTGCCTTTTCCTTTACTAGTTTCTAATAAGGAGAATTCTAAAATCTTTCTTTAGATGGCAGGTCTCTAAGGAAAACGTAGTGCTGATCAAAATAAAATATTCTTAGAAGTTAAGTTGGACTTTAAGGAGAATCCTCTTCCTTAAAACTAGTCTTGGGATGACCTTTGACTGAGTGCCTCGTCTGTCCTGATTGGGAACGAGGGTGATGGTGTGAGCTGCAGACATAGTAGTGATCAGAATGGGTGTGGTCCTCCTGTCAGGAAGTCTATAATCAGGCAGGAGGCATAGTATAATTATTATTAATTATTATAATTGTTAATATTTATTTAAGGAATGTGTAGTGAAAGACTGAAGCTATTGAATTGTGTGTATCTGTCCACGTGGAGAACATGCCTCCAGTGGAGGCAGCGGGGGAACGTGTGTCCTTTCCTTGAGCACTCATCTCCTACAATATCTTTATATTGGTATCTAATGATGGATAAATTATAGGAGTAGATAATTCAGAATCATTATCTTTCCTTTAAATAATTAGGTTTATTTTAGAGAAAATTATTTACATTTCCTGAATCCATTCCAGCCTTTACAGTTCTGCAGATATCAGCATGATGCAGGTTTGACTTAATATAGAATTAATGTTTTTCTTTAGTTTCATTATTAGGGATTGTAATTTGCTACAAGTGACAGGATTTATACTTCTGTATCCTTAATGTAGCCATTATATCTAAAGTAATACCGAGGGACAAGTCTTATTTTTTAGCCAGCATGGTCTGTCTTGAATGCTTTCCTTGAACACGAGAAGGGAACTCCAATCTTAATGCTATTAAATAATCAATATCATTTTTAAATTAGGTGGTTAGGTCATTTTAAAGGAGTTAGGGTACATATGCCACTGTTGGCTAAAAAAAATTAAATTGTTGCTATTCAAATACATCTATCATTAATTCCTTTGGCGTCAACTTTTCTATGTAGATCAGGGTAAAATATGCTCGTTACCAAGATTTCTGATAAATTAAGACATATCCATTAACAGTCCTGCAAATTATAGAAGTGTTTGCTCATGAAAATATTTTTTAATGATGAAAACCAATGTGAATGACTAATGCAGTAATGCTATATGGCCTGGAGTATATAATTTTATCTCCTTTGTAATAGACCTGTTAAAGTAGGCTTTTAAATATGTTACCATTCATAATAATAGTGGCAAGGCAAGAGTTTGGTCTAGTAGTTAAGATGCTGGTTAAAATGCCTGTGTTACATATCAGAGTGCATGGATTTGACAGTTGGCTCCCACTCTTGACTCCAGCTTCTTGCTAATGCAGATGCTAAGAAGCAGTAGTGATGGCTGAAGTGACTGGGTTCCTGCCACCTGTGTGGGAGACTTGGATTGAGTTTGGCCTGGGGTCGTTGTGGACATCTGGGAAATGAACCAGTGGAAAGAAGCTCTCTTTCTCAGTCTCACTCTCTCTCTCAAATAAATAATTTTTAAAAATTTTAAAATAGTGGCAAACATTGCATTAGAAGTTTATTTATTGGTTTAAACAGTTTAAAGATAAATGTAATTTCTTTATAAATTTATTCAAACCTATAGAATGTACAACACCATGAATGAACTCAACAATGGACTCTGGGTGATAGAGCTGTCATTGTAGAGTATTCAACTACTACTGGGGTACAACCGGTGGCAGAGGCTGATAATGGGGGAGAGACTGCACATGTAGGGATGGAGAACATACAGTTGTCTCTGTACATTTTTGTGAATATTGCTGTGTACCTCAAACTACTCTAAAAATAGTCGTTTTCAAAAAAACCTCAAAATAGAATAAAGTTAAATAGTGAAAGACTTTGTCAGCCAAAGAAAAGATAAATAACAGTAAGTAATCAAAATATGAGACAAGGGTATTTTGATGTTAGAATGGTAAAACTTTTAATTTTGTGATTTTCTTCTTTTATAGACATTCCACTTCTCCCATCTATTACATCTCTGAGTTTAAGTGAAAATGAAGAGAAGAGGGGACCTTTTGTGGTACACTGGCTAAACAATAAAGAGCTGCATTTTACTTTGTCCATGGAAGTGTTTTTACAGCAACTTAGAAAAAGTTGTGAACAGCCATCTTCTGAGGCCAGTGGAGAGGACTGTAATCAGACAGATGTAAAATCTGATGAAGGTAATGCTTTAAGGAAAAAAAAAATTTAAATTTTGTTCAAAACAATGAAAGGTTTTGCATTAGGGTAAAACTGATGCTGTCAGAAACTCCCAAATTACAGTGCCTAATACAGATATGGACTAACTCATTTAACAGTCTGTACATGGCCTGTTGCGGGAGGTTTTCTTCCACATGGTGATATTAGGACTTGAGGTTCTCCATTTGTGAGATTTTGTCGTTCCTGGGAAGACACTGGAAGGTCCATCTGTGGGTTAGCAGCGTTGCAATATCCGTGAGCTTGTTAGCAATGCATGATCTCGGGCTGCACACACTACAAAACTGGAACTGCAGTTGAATAAAATCTTCAGGTGATTTTTACATACGTGAAGTCTGAGAAGCTTTGTACCTAGAGCCTTAAATTCCTCTACCGGTATTCCAGTAGGGAGAGAGGCAGAAGCTGCCTAGACCCAGAATCAACACACGTCACCTTTCCCTTCATTCCATCTGCAAAACTGGCCAAGAACCCCATACGGTCCTGAACTGGGAAGCCAGGTGCTCTGAAACTGGCAGGCACCTGGTTATGTCTGCCAGATTCTGTAGTTCATGAATGCTCTGTTTTTTAAAATTTTGTTTTAATTATAAGATTTTTACATAATCAAATAGTACGTAGTACAGACAAGTTTAAAAGTTTCTACATGGTTAAGTTTGAAGAGTTTCCTTCCAGATTGATTCTTTTCTATGCTCGCACAGGAGTCTTCAAAGAGTTCATGGAAAAAGCATGTTTTGAAAAAAACTGTGCTTGAGGATTTCAGATCTTTTGCACCAAAGTAAACTTATCTTTTAATTTCTTTTTTTATGAACTTCGTGCATTACCCACATATGTATAAAGTTTTTTTTAAGTTATATTATGGGTGTTCATTTTTATACAAAAATAGATGTTATAATATGGGTGTTCATTTTTGTACAAAAATAAATGTTATATAACTTTTTTTTTTTTTTTTTTAATTTATTTGTTTGAAAGGCAGAATTACAGAGAGGCCAAGTGAGAGAGAGAGAGAGAAAAGTCTTCCATCCACTGGCTCACTCCCCAGATGGCCACAATGGCTGGAGCTGTGCCAATCTGAAGCTAGGAACCGGGAGCCTCCTCTGGGTCTCCCACATGGGTAAAGGTGTCCAAGGAGTTGGGCCATCTTCTACTGCTTTCCCATGCCACAGCAGAGAGGTGGATCGGAAGAGGAGTAGCTGGGACTTGAATTGATGCCCATATGGGATGCTGGCACTGCAGGCAGTGGCTTTACCTGCTACACCACAGTGCCACCCCCACAACTTCATTTTAAACATTTTATCTTTAAACTTTTGTTTATTAATTTATTTGAAAGGCAGAGAATTAGAGAGATCTTTATCTGCAAGTTCACTCCCTAAATGCTGGCAGCATCTGGGGCTGTACAAAACTGAAGCCAGTAGCTAGGAACTCAATCCAGGTCTCCCATGTGGGTAGCAGGGCCATCATCTCCTGCCTCCCGGGCGTATTAGCAGGAAGCAGAATTGGACATGGAGGTAGGGCTTGATTCTAGGCACTATGATATGGGATGCAGGCATTCCAAGCAGTGGCTTTACCTGCTGTGCTACAATACCCACCCGGCAACTTGTTTTCATTCGGTAATGAGCATTTTATCATCTCACTTATTTTTAGTATTCGATATCTAAGAGAAAACTTTAAGAACTCCTCTAATGATAGATATTTAAGTTGATTGACATTGTTTTTCACTAGTAATGGTATAATCATATGTCTTTTCTTCTTTGTATCATTTTTTTCTGTGACATAGATTTCTAGATGTGTAATTACCAGGGAGTATACAAATTTTAAGTATCAGTAACTTCTGATAAATTGCCCTCCAAAAATGTTTTTCCAGTTCATACTCATACTTCCACATCTTTGCCAATACTGGATCCTTTTATAATTACATTACTTTTTTTGTCAGTTGATGAGGGAAAAAGGCATCTGTTTTATTTTGCATTTTGTTTTATAAATTGGACAGAATGAGTATCTTTTTTATTTTAACCCTTTTTTGACTTTCCGTTTTGTGCACTTTGCCTAATTTTCTGTTATTTTTTGTTTCATATTTATTAGTGTGTCTGGTCTTTGTTTTAATCCATTAACTAGTCAAAAAATACTCATGCTTTATTTTTTTAAAGATTTGTTTGTATTTATTTGAAAGACAGAATCACAGAGTGAGGGAGAGACGGGGATCTTCCATCCTTTGATTCACTCCCCAAATGGCCGTCATAGCCAGATCTAGGCCAGGCCAAAGCCAGAAGCCTGGAAATTTATCTGGTTCTCCCATGTGGGCAGCAGGGGTCCAATCACTTGAGCCATCTGCTGCTGGTCTCCCAGGGGCATTAGCAGGTAGCCAGATGGGAAGTGGAGCAGCTGGGGCAGAAACTGATGCCCAGATGGGATCCTAGTGTTGCTGGCGGTGGCTTAGCCTGCTGTACCACAGTGCAGACCCCTCATACTTTATTTAGAGAAAGTCTCTGTATTCCTAACCAGGAGTTGGGAGAGGAAGTGGGGACTGGAATTTTTGAAAGAGGTGGAAATATACATATTTATCTATATCAATAAATTAATATTCAGATTTACTTTTACTAATATGTGAAAGGAAATCTGGAAATTGTACACTATAAATGTATTTCTTTATGATGGTTTTTTTAAGATGTTGCATCAGTTTTAAGTGCATGTACCTGGGGATAACTTGGATACTTGGGTTTGGATAAATCTGGTATACAGAACAAAGGACAGATTGCATTCAAATAATAAATTTTGAAAATCCAGTTCCAGAATTATAGACCCTGTTGCAGCTCCCTTGTTTTAGCATGAGTAAAATTGAGGTCCTGACATGTAGTAGATAGTTTGCTGAGTGGTTGACTGTGGGACATCTGGGTGTAGAAGCCAGTTTACTTATTTTCCACTTGAATGTCAGTCCTTTTACCAGTAATTTGTTGCCTCAGTCCTGTTGTCCTTCCAATGATCCTATATTTCTGGAAGTTTTTTTTTTTTTTTTTTTTTTAGAAAGGGTGCCTATTTCTTGTTAATACAAAAAACTTCATTTTTCGACTTGATTGCATGTGTAAAGGTATTTCTTAATTTATAGTCATAGTGTGATGTAAAAGCGTATTTACTTGGTTCATGAACTGTTTTGCTTACAGAAATGGATGATGATGTTGATGATGTGAAAATAAATCATGAAAAGAAGGAATCAGGCAGTGATAAAATGGTACCAAACTTAAGTTTTGCACCATTACCGTCAGCTGCCATTGATCATCAGATCGAAATACTTCTGTCTGAGTGGAGTAAAAATGCTGACATGCTTTTCAGTATACATCCCATGGATGGTTCCTTGCTAGTTTGGCATGTGGATTGGCTGGATGAATACCAGCCTGGAATGTTTCGTCAAGTGCAGGTACTATTAAGATCTCTGAAGAGCTACTTCTTTTTTTTTTTTATGTAGCTACTGTTTATTGATACCTTTTTGTGTAATTTTACATGTTCTAATGATTGCTTTCTTAATTCCAGGTGTCGTTTGTTTCCAGAATACCTGTAGCTTTTCCCACAGGTGATGCAAACTCTCTCTGTAAAAGCATAGTGATGTATGCGTGTACCAAGAATGTTGACTTGGCTATTCAACAAGGGAAGCAGAAACCTTCTGGCCTCACTCGCTCCACATCAATGCTTATCTCTTCTGGTCACAATAAATCATCAAATAGTTTAAAATTAAGTATTTTTACTCCTAATGTTATGATGATTTCAAAACACGATGATGGGTCTCTGAACCAATGGCTGGTTAGTTTTGCTGAAGAATCCGCTTTTTCTACAGTTCTCAGTATTTCCCACAAATCCAGATATTGTGGCCATCGCTTTCATCTGAATGATTTAGCTTGCCATTCAGTATTACCATTATTACTGACAACATCCCATCATAATGCGTTAAGGACGCCAGATGTCGATAACCCAAAGCAACCTTATGCTGTAAATATTGAAGAGTGTTCTTTGACACAACAAAATAAAAGCACTGTTGATATGGCATTCCAGGATCCCAATGCAGTTTATAGTGAACTTATTCTTTGGAGGGTAGATCCAGTTGGGCCATTGTCTTTTTCTGGAGGAGTTTCTGAACTTGCCCGGATAAACTCTCTGCATGTTTCTGCCTTTTCCAATGTGGCATGGCTGCCCACTCTTATACCCAGTTACTGTCTAGGTAAGAAGTCTGATTTTATTTCAGTAATTTAGGCTTTCTGACACTATCACTAATGGGCTCAATTTTAAATGTTTATAAATACTTCATAGGTGCATACTGCAACTCTCCTAGTGCATGCTTTGTAGCAAGTGATGGACAGTATCTGAGATTATATGAAGCAGTCATTGATGCTAAGAAACTTTTATGTGAACTTTCCAACCCTGAAATTTCTGTAAGTAATAACTTATAAATATGGTTTAAAATACTATGTTTTTATAGTACATTTTTAATACTTTATACTTATTGGGCATGTTCTAGAATTCTGACACATAATTTGTAATAAACATGTGTATCTTTGTAATTTTATCTGAGTCTCATTTATATTGTGACATTAAGTGATTCTAAGCTCTTTTTAAAATAAATAGTTTCTTTCCTTTATTCATGAATTAGAACCTAGTCTACTACCTCTTTGCTTATAGAAAACTGGGGACTACTAGCAGTATGATGTGGAAATTATGTTGATTGACCTGCATTTTTTTGTCTAGGCAAAGGGAGGTAGGATAACAAGAGTAGAGTTATTATGTTAAGTGTGAAAGGAAAAAGGCCTCAACTTTTTTGCAATCCTGTGAGGAGTCTTTTTTTTTTTTTTTTTAATGGTAGGCATGCTAGCAAAGTTTAATGAAGAGAGTACACGTTACAGAACAGATGGGCAGAGGCCGGCACTGTGGCTCACTTGGTTAATCCTCTGCCTGTGGCTCCAGCATCCCATATGGGTGCCGGGTTCTGGTCCCAGTGGCTCCTCTTACAGTCCAGCTCTCTGCTATGGCCTGGGAAAGCAATGGAGGATGGCCCAAGTGCTTGGGCCCCTGCACCTGCATGGGAGACTGGGGAGAAGCACCTGGCTCCTGGCTTCTGATCAGCTCAGCTCCGGCTGTGGCAGCCATTTGGGGAGTGAACCAATGGAAGGAAGACCTTTCTGTCTCTCTCTGTCTCTCACTGTCTATAACTCTACCTGTAAAAAACAAACAAACAAACAAAAAACAAAAAACAGAACAGGTGGGCATCTCAGTAAAGAACTGAGAGCTCAGTCTGTATTCAGTCTAGAGTTTTTATGGATGTTGGGTATGGCTCTTTTCTCCTCCCCCTATGAAACCCTTTCTGGAATTGGGCTGAGTGGAGGGCTCTTTCAGAAAGGATTGCTTCCCAGAACTTGACAATAGCCCCCTTGGTGAAGGGCAGATGAGATTCTCCTAAGAGAGATTCCCCAGAGAGAAGACTTGGACCCACCCATCCAGGTTATTAAACAGTGGCAACAGGCCGGCGCCGCGGCTCACTGGGCTAATCCTCCGCCTGTGGCACCCGCTTCCCAGGTTCTAGTCCCGGTTGGGGTGCTGGATTCTGTCCCGGTTGCTCCTCTTCCATTCCAGCTCTCTGCTGTGGCCCGGGAAGGCAGTGGAGGATGGCCCAAGTGCTTGGGCCCTGCACCCGCATGGGAGACCAGGAGGAAGCACCTGGCTCCTGGCTTCAGATCAGTGTAGCTCCGGCCATAGCAGCCATTTGGGGGGTGAACCAATGGAAGGAAGACCTTTCTCTCTGTCTCTCTATCTCTCTCTCAAGGTCTAAACTCTGCCTGTCAAAAACAAAACAAAACAAAACAAAAACCAGTGGCAACATTGATATGTAAATGTTGGTTTGCTTCCCAGCTTGCTACTTTGTTCCATTACACAGAAATTCCCATTTCTCTTTGGCCTCTCACATGCACATAGGCTCATGTCTGCCTCACTACCTTCATATCCCCCCCACTCAGGAAGTAACCCGTGATCTTATGAGTGTTCATATGATATGAGTGTTCATATGAGTGAAGGTCCATCTTCTGTATTTTCTTCAGAGCTGACATATGGCCATCGAGCTGGTTATGGGTATACTTCACTTGCCATCTCTTCTGTGGTATCCAGAGGTGGCTTGGGAAATGATTCTGTTGTATGGTCCGGAGGACTGGTCATAACGTCTGAGGGATAGGCTGGAAGCTGTGTCTCATGACCATCTGGAGCTGGATGGAGTATACTCTGTGAAAGACAAAATGAATGACAACATTAAAGATTCATGGCCCAAAGGGAAATAGCCGGAGGATGGAGGCTACAGGGCCAAGGCCGGAGGTGGCGTGGGGGTGGGCAGTAGCCAGGATTTCCATGACCAGATGTTAGGCCAAAAATTTCAGTCTTGTTCATCCTGGTCCTGGAGTTGTCTGGTCTTCCCCAGTGGTTTTGTTCCTGTCCAGTTTGGGTGACCCAGGCAGGAGTCCTTTCAAAACCTTGCTAAGTTTTTGCCTTACAACAGCTACATTTCATCCTGGCCCAACTAATGGCAACCTTCTTTGTTGTCTAAGCACCTCCAGCAAGCAAGCATTTCCATCTTTTTGTTGTCAGTGTTTTTCACTATCCCCAGAGGCAGCCTTCAGCTGTAGTGAGCCATGTATGTAGTCTATTCAGCTGACAACTAAAGTTCCTGTTAATGCCTGGTTATAAAGTTGCACGAATGTTTTAATTTTTCTCATAAGTTATTTTTAATGCCCAATTTTGCATAACAGAAGGGCTTTGTTTTGTTTTTTCCTTTTTTTGAGGGGAGGGAGTTAATGATTTATTTGTTTGTTTGAAAGGCAGAGTTACAGAGAAAGAGAAAAAGAGAGATTCCATCTACTGATTCACTCCCCAAATGGCTACAATGGTCAGAATTGTGCCAGACCAAAGTGAGCAGCCAGGAGCTTCATCAGGGTCTCATGGGGGTGGCAGGGGTCCAAGCATTCAGGCCATCTTCTGCTGCCTTTCTAGGTGCATGAGCAGGGAGCTGGATCAGAAGTGGAGCAGCTGGGACTGAAACTCTTGCTTATATAGGATGCTGGCATTGAGAGTGGCAGCTTAACCTGCTGCACCAGAAGGCTGGTGCTTGAACACAAGGAGTTTCAAAACACACACATAGTGTAGTAGTGCAAGTATGTATGTTTACTGAGGTTCTTTGTATCATGTGTTATGTAAAGTGCTCAGGATTTAGATGTGATACGGACAAGACTATCATAGTAATTATGTTCTAGTGAAGGTAGATACCAGAACACAGAAGTGAAACTTTCCATGAACAAATAACAAATGGTGAGATAGTGTTAGGAAAGAAGTAGGGAGAGCCAGCTAAGGTGCAGCTCCGGAATAAGCTTCACTGAGAAGGTACCACTGAGTAAAGTCCTGAAGCAGGTTAGAGTGGCCACTACTGTGTGGTTAGTAAAAGGTCGGTGGAGTGATGCTGGAAGAGGCATAGCCAGTTCAAAGACCCTGAGGCCAGAGCATGTTCAGAACAGCACAGAGGTCAATGTGATTGCAGCCGAGTAAGTGTGATGGAGAGCAAGTGGGCCTCAGGTCAGAAAGCCTGACCAGATCATACAAGGCCTCATAGGCTGTTGTGCTGACTTTGGCTTTGACTCTAAGTAACTTGGAAACTCTCGAAGAGAGTGATAGTTTGATATGGTCTGATTTGGGTTTTAATGGATTCCTATAATGGCTGTATAGATTAGACATGGAAAAGAGAAGTAGAATCAGAAAGACTTACTTAAGAAGCTATTTCAGAAGCCCAGAAAAGATAAAAAGGGGTTTAGAAAGGTAGCAAGTGGTAATGATAGAGGGGATAAGAATTGGTCACAATTCTGGATGTCTTTTGATTGTTAAATAGTCACTATTAGACTGGCTGTAGGAAGAAAGTGGACGACTCCCAGGGTTTACCCTGTGCCAGGATTAGGATGAGAAGAATTGTCTTGAGATAAGAAGGTAAAAGTAGCAGGTTTTGAGGGGCAGAGGGATTCAAGAGCCTCGCTTTAGACATTTGAATTTTGCAATGCCTATTTGATGTCTAGGGATCCAGTAGAGGGAAAATAAGAAATAGGTGGTTGTCAGCATATAAAGGTGTATGGGGCAGGTGGTGTGGAGCAGCAGGTTAAGTTGCTAGTTGAGACAGGCACATTCCCTATCACAGTGCCTGGAGTCAGATCCCACGTTTGCTTTTGGTCCAGATTGGTGCTAATGCACCTGGGAGTCAGCATATGTCAGCCAAAATGGTTGGGTTCCAGCTACCCATGTGGGAGACCAGGGTGGAGTTCCTGGCTTCTGGCTTCAGCTGGGCCTGGCACTGCCTGTTGGGGGCATTTGAGGAGTAAACCTGTGGATGGGAAAGCTATATCTCTGTCTCTTCTGTTTGTAACTTTGCTTTTCAAATAAATAAATCTTAAACCTTATGTTTGCAAAAATGATGCATTAAAAATAATTTAGAAGATCTCCTGGAGTTTGATGTCAGTCTTTAACATTTATAAATATTAAATATTTTCTTCACATAACAGTTACCAGCCATTGCTTTTGGTGTTTTCTGTTCCAGTTGAGCTTTAACTCTTCTCCATAATTCCTTTGATGTAGAAATCCTAGACTTTTCTTAGTTGAAAAGGACTTTATTCAACCACGCTTGAACATAGTTATTACTCAGCTGCTATATCTGAAATTTCTTGTTACTTGCTGTTAATTAATTTTGAATTGTTCGGTGAATGAGATGCCGATTTTTTTTTTTTTTTTTTTTTTTGAACAGAGGTTTGTTGGTGAAGTATTTAACATTGTTAGTCAACAATCAACAGCCAGGCCAGGATGTATCATTGCTTTAGATCCCATAACCAAACTTGTAAGTATCTTTTTTTTTTTTTTTGCTACTTAGTATTAAATATCGTATGTGTCAACTTATGTTGGTATTTATTTACATTCAGCATGGCAGAAAAACCCAGCTGCTTCATGTTTTCCAAGAAGACTTCATTTTGAATAACCTTGAGAAGAAAAGTCTGGGAAAAGATAGCATTTTGTCTGATGCAGGTAAAAAAATATTTTTTTATGTAATGAGAAATATATGAAGTTTATTAGGTTGTTAGTAAATATGAAATGACACAGTTTGCACATTGTCTTTCTGAAGTTAAAATTGTGCTGTGTAGATTGGTGAGATTAGTCATCTTCAAAATATCAGTATCTTCTTCTTAACCAGGAAGTAAACATGAACAAAAATTAGAGGTTTCTCACTGGTGTTTGAGCACTCTTGGCATTCATGGTTTCACGCTATCCATTTGGATAATATGTTCTTTGATTGACATCATTTTTGGCATAATTTTGTACATAATGAAGAATATAAATCTGTATATATGAAATATATGAAATTTGTGTATCTTAAATAAAATAAAAAACCTCATTCTGGAACAATGGTGGTTTTGGACAGTTAGTTATTAAGATGGTCTGGGTTATCTGAGAATCAATAGTTGTTGTATTTATCAATTTATGTCCTAATATTTTACAAATAGTTAAATTTAAAGTCTCAATCCTATTTGCATGCTCATTTTATTCACTTTCATTTTCTTCCCTTTTCCCTCATCAGTAATTTTATTCTAATAAAACAGATACTTTATTTTTTTTAACTTTTATTTAATGAATATAAATTTCCAAAGTACAGCTTATGGATTACAATGGCTTCCCCCCCATAACGTCCCTCCCACCCGCAACCCTCCCCTTTCCCACTCCCTCTCCCCTTCCATTCACCTCAAGATTCATTTCGATTCTATTTATATACAGAAGATCAGTTTAGCATACATTAAGTAAAGATTTCAACAGTTTGCTCCCACACAGAAACATAAATTGAAAAATAATAGATGATTTTTTAAATGATGATGAAATCAGATCAGACCTATTGTCATGTTTAATCCCAGTGAGAGTCAAGTTGGGAATTGATAATTTCTTTTTTTTTTTTTTTTTTTTTTTTTTTTTTTACAGAAGATCAGTTTAGTATACATTAAGTAAAGATTTCAACAGTTTGCACCCCCATAGAAACACAAAGTGAAATATACTGTTTGAGTACTCGTTATAGCATTAAATCTCAATGTACAGCACATTAAGGACAGAGATCCTACATGAGGAGTAAGTGCACAGTGACTCCTGTTGTTGACTTTACAAATTGACACTCCTGTCTATGGCATCAGTAATCTCCCTATGCTCCAGTCATGAGTTTCCAAGGCTATGGAAGCCTTTTGAGTTCTCCGACTCTTACCTTGTTTAGACAAAGTCATAGTCAAAGTGGAGGTTCTCTCCTCCCTTCAGAGAAAGGTACCTCCTTCTTTGAAAACCTTAAAACAGATACTTTAAAAAGTGAGGCAAGTTTAGGTTCAAATATGACATTAAAATACCTATTTTTCAGCCAGTAGTGGACCATTGATTTTATTTATTCATTACTTCGCAGTTTTTTCTGGTACTTTATTTTTTTCATGTTAATACAATATTAATACAGATTCAATGTAGTTTATAGATAAAATTCTAAAAATAAGATGACACTCCCTACCTCCCTCCCTTCTTTCCTTCCTTTTTTCATTCCTCCTTTTTTAGTTTTTTGCAGTAACATAGTAACATTACATTCAAGGGCTTCATGATCTATTACATTAAAAAATCAACAAGTTAAAAGACCTTAGTTCAGCAGAAAGATAGAGGAGGGCTGTAAACAGTAGTCAAATGAAAAGATTATCATTTCACCCATGTACAGTAAATTTTTAAATAATCACAATTAAAGCTATAGTAGTGTAACTTTATTTTTAAATATTTATTTATTTATTTATTTGAAAGGCAGAGTTGCAGAGGCAGAGAGTGAGAGAAAGAGGGGGATCTCCCATCCACTGATTCATTCCCCAAATGGCTGCAATGACTGGAGCTGGACTGATCTGAAGCCCTACAGCAAGAGCTTCTTCTAGGTCTCCCACATGGGTGCAGGGGCCCAAGGACTTGAGCCATCCTCCACTGCCTTCCCAGGCCATAGCAGAGAGCTGAGTTGGAAGTGGAGCAGCTAGGTCCGGCGCTTCAGGCCAGGGTGTTAACTCGCTGTGCTACAGCGCTGGCTGTATAATCCTATTTGTTTAGTTTTGCTTTGCTTATCTGTACTTTGGGGATCTTATCCAAGAATTAGTCACCTATGCCAGTGTCTTAGAGAGTTTCTAGTACATTTTTTCCCAGCAGCTTTGCAGTCTCAGGTCTTAAATTTAGGTCTTCAATCCATCTTGAGTTGATTTTTGTATATGAAGGGGTATGGAAGCTATGAATGTAATTTCATTCTTCTACATATATCCTTCTAGTTTTGCAGCACCATTTATTGAAGAGATTATCCTTACTCCAGTGTATGGTCTGGACATTTTCGTCCAGCTCTCTGCTATGGCATGAGAAAGCAGTAGAAGATGGTCCAAGTCCTTGGGCCCCTGCACCCACGTGGGAGAGCTGGAAGAAGCTCCTAGCTCCTGGCTCCTGGCTTCAGCTTGGCCCAGCTCCAGTTGTTATGGCCATTTGGGGAGTGAACCAGCAGGTGGAAGATGGCTCTGTCTCTCTCTCTCTCTGCCTCTGCCTCTGCCTCTCTGTAACTCTGCCTTTCAAATAATTAAGTGAAAAGCTTTAAAAAATTTTTTAAAGAACAAACACAGAAATCAATAAAGTTAAATAGAGAACCCAGAAATTAATCCATATACATACATCCAAGAACACTGAAAGGCCTTTAATGACATAAAAAAAATGTAAATAAGAAGAAAATACCATCAGAACCTAGACTTAAAAGGAAATGCTGGCCGGCGCCGCGCCTCACTAGGCTAATCCTCCGCCTAGCGGCGCCGGCACACCAGGTTCTAGTCCCGGTTGGGGCGCCGGATTCTGTCCCGGTGTGGGGAGCAAACCGGACTGGACTGAGTTACTGGAATTAAGACTTATTCTATGCATCTGCTCTCCCACAATATGGCGCTGGGAGAGAAGTAAACAGCTTTTACACAGCTGCCTCCAGTTCAACCAATAAACTGTAGGACTTGCTCCTAATTGGAGAGCAGCGTACTCGGCGTGTGGGCAGCCGAGTTGGGATTGGCGGAGGAGGACTATAAAGGAGGAGAGAGACGGCATGCACCAGGAACATCTATGGGGAACATCTAAGGGAAACCGTGCAGCCCCCGAGAGAGCCGGCCGGCGGTGTGCCGCTCCCCTGCGGAAGTGGGGAATGCGGCCAGGGGAACTGCCCTTCCACGGAGGTGGAAGGGATAGTAGCCAACCCGGGAAGAACCAGCAGCAACCCGGGGAGGGCCGAGCAGACAAAAGAACAGCGCAGGGTCCTGTGTCGCTCCTTCCACGAAGAGGGGAGCGACATAATGGTGCCGTGACTCGGATTAGGAAACCTAGCTCGAATAGGAAACCTAGGACGGATAGCAAACTTAGGAGGGAAGAAACGGGAAGAAGCAGGAAAATACCAGAGAGAGAGACTAGCAAACAGCCTAGGGAAAAGCCGGACGAAAAGGGTGCCGGAAGAAGCTATTGAAAGCCTAGGCATAGACTCGGATACGGACTACGGGGGGAAGCTGGGAGAAATCTCTAAGGTCGAAAGCGAAAGTGAAAGCTAGAACAAACAGACTCGGACGCGGACTGTGGGGAGAGGCCAGGAGAAATGAGGGAGGAATATCGTTGGAGGAAAGTTTGGGGAAACATACCGGGTAGAGAAAAATGTTAGGGAAATTGAAGCCGTGGGGGGCAGGCCAAGGCGGACACGAAAGCCACTTTGGGATTCTCAAGTTAGCCCGGGAATAGGGGGCGAAAAGTTGAAACCAGAAGCTGAAACGTGAGCCTGGTTGGGATCCGTCTGATTAGCCCGGGGAGCAAAGGACGGGAAGCCAAACCGTGGGGCGGAGACGTATGCTGGGTTGAATTCGCCAGGCTAGCCCGGGGAACTTAGATTGAATGCTAGTGGCGGACACGTAAGCTACGCTGTGTTACTCGCGGAAGCCGCCGCGTGCAGAGAGAGCACGGGGCGTGAATAGATAGGGAACGGGGCTGGCGCGAGGCCGTGGTGCAGACGCGAAGGGCGTGGAGACTGCGGAGCGCGTGAAGCCAAGCCGCGCAAAGCCGAGCCATGCAGATGAGAGAGGCTGAAGCGGCTCAGCTGGGAAGCCGCCGAGAAGCAGCCTCGGGGCGGGCAGCGGGAAGCTGCGGGGATAAGAGAAACAGAAGTTTAGAAGTAAAGTGAGAGAAATAGGAATGTTGGCAGACAGAAGTAAAATGGGAGAAATAGGAATGCCCGGAGATAGAGAAATAGAGAAAAATAAGGCCTCCCCTCAACATGGCAATGAGAAAGCTTGGATTCAGTCTGCCTGATTAAGGAGGCGATGAGTACGATGAGCACCTGCGGCGGCTAGCAGCTTATGCGCCGCAGGTCACCGAAGACAGGCACGAATTAACATCAGTAAGGCCTCCCCACAAAAAGGCAATGAGAAGGCTTGGATTCGGTTTGCCTGATAGAGCTTGTAAGCCCCTGCAGGCAGAGCAGAGCATGCGCTGCAGGGCACCGAACACAGGCATGCATCAGCGCCTAAAAACCTCCTCACAACATGGCGAAGAGAGGGCCCGGATTCGGTTTGCCTGATGGATAGGACTTGTAAGAGCCTGTGGCAACTCTAGCAAGTAGAGCAGAGTGTGTGCCGCGGGACACCGAAGACAGGCGCGTATCAACGCCAAAAAATAAAAAGAAAGGGGGATCTGTGGGGAGCAAACTGGACTGGACTGAGTTACTGGAATTAAGACTTATTCTATGCATCTGCTCTCCCACAATATGGCGCTGGGAGAGAAGTAAACAGCTTTTACACAGCTGCCTCCAGTTCAACCAATAAACTGTAGGACTTGCTCCTGATTGGAGAGCAGCGTACTCGGCGTGTGGGCAGCCGAGTTGGGATTGGCGGAGGAGGACTATAAAGGAGGAGAGAGACGGCATGCACCAGGAACATCTATGGGGAACATCTAAGGGAAACCGTGCAGCCCCCGAGAGAGCCGGCCGGCGGTGTGCCGCTCCCCTGCGGAAGTGGGGAATGCGGCCAGGGGGAACTGCCCTTCCACGGAGGTGGAAGTGATAGTAGCCAACCCGGGAAGAACCAGCAGCAAACCCGGGGAGGGCCGAGCAGACAAAAGAACAGCGCAGGGTCCTGTGTCGTTCCCCCATGAAGACGGGGAGCGACATCCCGGTTGCCCCTCTTCCAGGCCAGCTCTCTGCTGTGGCCAGGGAGTGCAGTGGAGGATGGCCCAGGTGCTTGGGCCCTGCACCCCATGGGAGACCAGGAAAAGCACCTGGCTCCTGGCTCCTGCCATCTGATCAGCGCGGTGCGCCGGCCGCAGCGCGGCGGCCGCGGCGGCCATTGGAGGGTGAACCAACGGCAAAAGGAAGACCTTTCTCTCTGTCTCTCTCTCTCTCACTGTCCACTCTGCCTGTCAAAAAATAAAAAATAAATAAATAAATAAATAAATAAATAAATAAAAAGGAAATGCTGAGAACACGTACTTCAGTTCCTGAATTTTCCAACTGACACCACTGAAGTACCAATGATCATAAGAAACTGCTGTGAAAAGCTCAGTAAAATGAATAAATTCTTGGATTAATACAATCTACCAAGATTAAATCAAGAAGATACAGTCTGAATAAAACCATAACAAGTAGTGAGATTAAAAGTCTTCTGTCAGGGCCAGTGTTTTTGTTCTAGTTAATACTATTGGTTGAACTCTGTAATTAACATACAATTATTCTTAGGTTTTTAAATTTAACTGAAAAGTGATCCCTGTTAAATATAAGCGTGGGAATAAGAGAGGGAGGAGATGTACAGTTTGGGACATACTCAATCATACTTGGTGTTAGAAATGTGCCAGGGGATCCCAATACAATCCCATCAAGGTTGCATGTATCAGTGCCATCTCACTAGTCCACGTGATCAATTTCAGTTCACAATTGATCATACTGATAGGTCTAAGAGTCAAAGGGATCACACAAACAAGACTAGTGTCTGCTAATACTGATAGAATCAAAAAGGGAGAGAACGATCCAACATGGGAAGCGGGATACACAGCAGACTCATAGAATGGCAGATGTCCTAAACAGCACTCTGGCCTCAGAATCAGCCCTTAAGGCATTCGGATATGGCTGAAGAGCCCATGAGAGTATTTTAGGCATGGAAAGCCAAGACACTATGGCAAAAAAAAAAAAAAAAAAAAAAAAAAAAAAACCTAAATGAAAGATCTCTGTGAGTGAGATCCCAGTGGAAAGAATGGGGCCATCAAAGAAGGAGGTACCTTTCTCTGAAGGGAGGAGAGAACTTCCACTTTGACTATGACCCTGTCTGAATAAGATCGAAGTCGGCAAACTCAAAAGGCTTCCATAGCCTTGGCAACTCATGACTAGAGCCTAGGGAGATTACTGACGCCATAAACAAGAGTGTCAAATTGTTAAGTCAACAACAGGAGTCACTGTGTACTTATTCCTCATGTGGGATCTCTGTCCTTAATGTGTTGTCCAATGTGAAGTAATGCTATAACTAGTACTGAAACAGCATTTTACACTTTATGTTCTGTGTGGGTGCAAACTGATGAAATCTTTACTTAATATATACTAAATCGATCTTCTGTATATAAAGATAATTGAAAATGAAAAAAAAAAACTCTGCATTTCAAATAAATAAATTTTTCAAAAAAAGCTCTTACATCAAGGAAGATCTGATAGCTTTACTACTGACTTCTACAAAACATTTGAAGATGAACTACTAGATTTTATGTTACATATTAGAAAATTACACTTATGTATTTATTTTGAGCAACTTGTATACCATTTATACAGTGTGGGATAAGAAAACTTCCCTTACGTTACAGAATGAATACTTCTGTTTTGATCATTAGGTAAACATCATGAATAGGACATTCAATTACAGAACTTACTTTGAAAAAGTTTGGCCACACAGTTTTTATCATATGTTGACTTAAAGTAGGTATCACATAGTTCTACCTCTTTAGAAATTGCCCACTTAATATGGTCTAATGTATGTGAACAACTTGATAGTGAAGACTATAATATATGACTTTTAAACCTATCAATTTGAAAATTAAATTTAAGCCTGACATAAATATAAATAGAATTAAAACTTGGGGGCTGGCATTGTGGCGAGGCAGGCAAAGCTGCTGCCTGGGACACTGTTATCACATGGGTGTCGGTTCATGTCTTGGTTGATCCACTTCCAGTCCAGCTCCCTGCTGGTATCTTGGTAAAAACAGTGGAAGGTGACCCAAGTGCTTCAGCCCCACCACTCAAATGGGCACGCAGATGAAGCTCCTGGTTCATGGCTTCGGCCTGGCTCAGCCATGGCTGTTGGGATCACTTGGGGTGTGAATCAGCAGATGAAATACCTCTCTCTTTCTTTGTGTCTCTCCCTATCTGTAACTCTGACTTTCAAATAAATAAATAAATCTTAAAAAAAAATTGTTAGTACAAACTCATGTGGTAAAAAGTGAAATAATTTCTGTAATGCCACCGTATTTCAAATCCTAGGTAAATATTTTTATGTTTCTTTTTAAAATTCAGTTATTTTAATTTGATATATTTAGTAAGTTATCTCCTTTATTCATGTTAATAGTAAAAAATATCATTAATTCCAACAGGCAGCTCACCTAAAGGATTTTCTGAAAAATTCTACCTAGTTGTAATAGAGTGTACTCAAGAGAACCGTTCACTGTTACACATGTGGAATTTACATTTAAAGTCAGTTCCTGTCTCATTGGGTGAGTTTTTTTTTTAAAACTTCAGGCCTAAATTAACAAATTATACAAGATTAGATAGTTAAAGGAGTATTTCTTAAAACCATTCATATTTCATGGTGATAATTATAACTTATTCAATTAAATAAAGTACCAAAGTTAATTTTTTGCTGTAAAAGATCATATTACTATGTATACTGTTTTATATTGTGTAATACAGTTTAGGATTATAAAATGTAGCAGTTTATAATATTTATAGGGAACCATATCCCCTACTAGTTTTTTGTTCTTATGTTTTATAGATGAAAAAGTAGATAAAAAAAAATCTGAAGCAGTTTGGCAGCCAGAAGATCACTATTCACCTTCTCCAGAGAAGATCCCGTCTCCTTTTTCACAGAAGTATCAGGCTTGCAGAGCAAATCTCCAGAGCACCAGCAAGTTAACTCTGTTTTCAGAGATGGTGTATAGCCAGGAGCTGGATTTGCCAGAAGGAGTTGAGATAATCAGCGTGAAGCCATCAGCAGGTTTGTACGTTTTATGAAAAGATACTACTTTGAAACTCATGAGTGTTAACCAGATGCTTAAAAGCAAGTCTTGGACCTACCTCTTAAATCCACAGAGAAGTAGCAATGGAAATAATATAACATATAACATATATTATAGTTAACATACGTTTAACTATGTTAAATTGAACATGTAAATTTATCATTGCTTTCAGCCTACTGTGACATTTGTCAGACAATTCTAATCTTAAATGTTTGTTTCTAAGACAAATTTTTATTGTGCTTTTGGGATGCCAAAGTGAAAGTTTATGGAATGGAGATTTTAACTAAGTTTAAACCTTATTTGCCAAGTGTTTTAAAAAAGAACTTCTATTTCTTTATTTGAGGTAGGGGTGGGAAAGAAAGAGGGAAAGAGTGAGCTAGAGAACTCCCATACTCTTGTTCACTCCCTAAATGCATGCAAAGGCTGGGACTGGACCAGGCTGAAGCCCGAAGCCCAAAAACCCAATCCAAGCTTCCCAAATGGCTGCCAGAGACCCAGCTACTTGAGCAATCAAGTGCTGCCTCCTAGGATATGCATTAGCAGGAAGCTGGAAAGGGAGCAGAGTTAGGACTGGAACCTATGAAGTGCAATATGGAATGTGGGCATTTTAACTGTGTCTGACCATTATATCAAATAACTGCCTCTTCCCTGTCAATTTAATTATATTGGTAATAGCTGACTGGAATCAGGTATTAAGAACGATTCTGAGTGTGTAGTTGCTGCTATCTATTTGCCATCCTTATTTGTGGCAATAGTTTTCCAAATATTGCCCCCAGACTAGCAGCAATATCTTGGGAACTTTTTAGAAATGAAAAATGTGCCAAACCCCAGAGGTACTTACTCATGGTTTCTGTCTAGGGCAAGACCTGGGGCCTGGTGAGAAGCCTTCCAGGTGACTGTTAAGAATGCACAAGATCAGGAACTAATGTTCTGGGATATCAAGAAACTCCTGTGCAAACTAAAAATCCATTTTTTAAACCACCCAGTTCCTCCCTTCTTTTATTTTTAATAGTCATAGTGTGGGTATTTGTTCTTTTCTTCTTCTCTGCAGACTGATTACTTTGAATGTTTTTTAGTTTCCCATATTACCGAGTATCTAATCTTTTCTGATGTGATATTCACAGGAGTTAGAGATATTAACAGTGTTCTTACTTTTACATTCTCTTTTTTTTTTTTTTTTTTGAAAGATTTATTTACTTGAAAGTCAGAATTACACAGAGAGAGGAGAGGCAGAGAAAGAGAGAGCTCTTCTATCCACTGGTTCACTCTCCATTTGGCTGTAATGGCTGGAGCTGTACCGATCTGAAGCCAGGAGCCTGGAACTTCTTCCGGGTCTCCCACGTGGGCGCAGGGTCCCAAGGACTTGGGCCATCTTCTACTGCCTTCCCAGGTCATAGCAGAGAGCTGGATTGGAAGTGGAGCAGCTGGGTCTCGAACCCGCACCCATATGGGATGCAGGCACTGCAGGTCACAGCTTTACCCACTACACCACAGCACCACCGGGGCCCACTTTTACATTCTTCTTTGTATATTTTAATAAAAAAAGACTTCAGTGCAACAAGAGTTAAAATTTGAATAAGAATGACTTGCATTGCTGAAATTTGAAGAGCTGTCATCATTAGCCAGGACGTAATGATCTTTACTACTAAACTGCAGTTTAGAAAGTACAGCAAATATAGAGAAACTGGAGGTAATTTATTAAGGCAAGTCTCAATAAAAATCCTTTAGAAGAAGAAGTGACTATAATTTTTTATCATTTTTGGTTTGGCAAAAAGAGTAGAATATGGTGAAAGGTTTTTAGTGTTAGTTTTTTTTTAAACCAATAGTATTGGAAAGTATAATATATTTTCTTTGTGTTCAGAACAGCTCAGGGAAACCCATGGATAATACTTTTTGTGTCCTTTTGTAATATTACTGTATTTCTTGAGGACTTTTTAAGAATACCTTACTACAGTTATGGTAAAATATACTTCTAAAATATGGTCAATGTCCTATATACATTTCTATATATAATTGTTTATATTTAATTTATACGTATGTAAGGTTGGTTGAAACACAGCCATATTTATTCTCTTACTATTATATATAGATATTTCTGTCCTATAGTGGCAGAGTTGAATCCTCAGGTGACAACTCCTAAAATAGTCATTATAGTCTGACCCTGTACAAAACGGTTTAGCAGATGCCTGTTTAAAGAAGACACTATATGTGATTCCTTTAGATTTAAGTGTTTGTTAACTTCCCTTTAGGAAACTGCTCCACACCAGTGATGTCAAGTACACCTCACTCAGGAAAGGCCCTTTAATGTGACTGTTTGATAGGTAACCATGAGCTATTCACATTGCACTGAAAAATAGGAAAGGAAAGGAGCCAATAAGTGTTGAAAATTTTTAAAAATGTTTTAATACCTTTAAAATGGAAGTTCTAGTGGTAAAACTGGCAGCTAGTTTTGAAGTGAATGCTGCATTGAGAGTCAGGACTAGAGGTAAGGTTTTTAAATTTTGCCATAGTCCAGTTGATTTTGGCCCAAGAGAGTGTTTGGTAAAGGATCTTTATTTGGAGAATTCAGGAATTGAAGTATGTGTTCTCAGCATTTCCTTGTAAGTCTAGGTTCTGATGGTATTTTCTTCTTATTTACATTTTTTATGTCATTAAAGGCCTTTCAGTGATCTTGTTGATACTTCATAAGGTATCAGGCTCCTAACAGTAGTTAATACAAAAGGACCAAAAACTTTAGTTTACAAAAACAAAATGTTAACCAGATTTGACCTTTTGTTACTGGATTCTTTCCATTTTAGGACATCTGAGTTCTTCTTCCATATATCCTGCATGCAGTGCTCCTTACTTATTGGCAACTTCCTGCTCAGATGAGAAAGTAAGATTTTGGAGATGCAGGGTAACAAAAGGAGAATCTGCCACATCAAAGAATGAAAACCTGGATCTTGTGTATGTTTGGGAAGAATGGCCATTACTAATTGAAGATGGACTTCAGACCAATAGTAGTTTAACTGTACCTGGTAGGCCTGTAGAAGTGAGCTGTGCACACACAAATCGTTTAGCGGTAGCTTACAAGCAGCCTACATCTAGCAGTAGGTCATCTCAGGATTTTGTGATGCATGTAAGTATTTTTGAATGTGAGTCCACAGGAGGTTCATGTTGGGTCCTTGAACAGACAATTCATTTAGATGAGTTAAGCACAGTGTTGGATTCTGGCATTAGTATTGATAGCAATTTAGTAGCCTATAATAAACAAGAGGCATATTTATTCAGTAAAGAGAGTATTGCATTAAACACAAAGCATTTAGTTCACTTAGATTGGATGTCTAGAGAAGATGGGTCTCATATCCTGACTGTAGGAATTGGATCAAAACTTTTTATGTATGGACCCCTGGCTGGCAAGGTCCAAGAACAGAGTGGTAAGGAAAGCCTGGCCTTTCCTCTCTGGGAGAGCACTAGAGTTGTGCCTCTTTCCAAATTTGTGCTTTTACGAAGTGTGGACTTGGTTTCTTCTGTAGAAGGCTCCCCACCTTTTCCTGTTTCCTTATCGTGGGTACGGGACGGCATCCTTGTGGTAGGAATGGATTGTGAAATGCATGTATATTCCCAGTGGCAACCATCTTCCAAGCAAGAACCTGTTGTAACAGATTCATTCAGTGGGAGCACTCCTTCTATAATAAGTTTAATAAAACAGAGTAACTCATCCAGTTCTGGGTTACATCCTCCAAAAAAAACTCTGACTCGATCTATGACCAGTCTTGCCCAGAAGATCTGTGGAAAGAAAACGGCATTCGATCCTTCAGTGGATATGGAAGATTCAGGTCTTTTTGAAGCAGCTCATGTTCTTTCCCCAACTTTACCTCAGTACCACCCTCTGCAGCTTTTGGAACTCATGGACCTTGGCAGAGTTCGGAGAGCAAAGGCCATTTTGTCACACCTTGTCAAGTGCATTGCTGGGGAAGTCGTGGCTCTGAATGAGGCTGAATCCAATCATGAACGCCGCCTCAGGTCTCTCACCATCAGTGCTAGTGGGAGCACCAGCAGAGACCCCCAGGCATTTAACAAGGCTGAAAATACGGACTACACAGAAATAGATTCTGTGCCCCCACTTCCTCTGTATGCCTTACTTGCAGCGGATGATGATAGCTGCCACTCATCTTTGGATAAGTCTAGTAATGAGAATACCTTAAATAAATCCAACCAATTGTCAAAAGAAAGTTATGATGAGCTTTTTCAGACCCCAGCTCTAATGACTGATACTGATGTATTAGAGACAGATGAAGAAAACATGAAGCCCAAAGTCATTGACCTTTCACAATACAGTCCAAATTACTTTGGTCCTGAGCATGCCCGGGTTCTTTCTGGACACTTACTGCACTCTAGTTTGCCAGGACTCACTCGGATGGAACAGATGTCCCTGATGGCCGTAGCAGATACAATTGCAACCACGAGCACTGACATTGGAGAAAGCAGAGACAGAAGCCAAGGTAAAGCTAAGTTCTGTACAGCAATGCAAGAAAAACTGTGGTATTTTTACTGGTTTTCTTAGAAAATAATACTAAATAATTTTTATAAAAATGATGCCAAGATGAGTTTTTGATAGATCGTTACTGCCTTTACAGTGGTTTTAACTTCATTGTGTACTATTTTCCCATGAATCATTGTACCTTTAGGAAATGCATAAAGGAGATTATGCCATTCACTTAATAGTTTTCTGCTAAAGTGTTCAGCAAAAGTTGGCAGATTCTATTAAATAATTGCTTTTAGGTACCTGAAAATAGCAAGTGATTTCTGTTTTTCTCCCCACGATGTAATAATGCACCAGTGAATATAATTTATTTATTTTTAAAAATTTTATATAAGTTATGCAAGTTTCACGTATTTGATATATACAGATTTAGGAACATAGTGATACATCCCACCCTCTCCTCCCTCCTGCCCGTAGTCCAACCCCTCTTCCTCCTCTCTCCCTTTCCCACTCCTATTTTTCACAAAGATCTACTTTCAGTTTGTTTTATGATCATAAGGTTAACCCTACACTAAATAAAAGAGTTCAACAAGTAGTATGAAGAATAAAAACATTGTTCCTCACAGAAGAGACAAGGGCTGTAAATCGAATTGCAAAATGCTCATTTCAATCCTGTGCATTATGTTTTAGGTGCTCTGTTAGTTACCTTGGATCAGGGAAGATACACGGTATCTGTCTTTTTGGGACTGACTTATTTCACTAAGTATAATGGTTTCCAGTTACATCCATTTTGTTGAAAAAGACAGGATTTCTTTCTTTCTTTCTTTCTTTTTTTTTTTTACAGCTGAGTGGTACTCCATAGTGTATAATTTGATTTTTAAAATATGAAGTTTTAAAAATAATTAGTACTAGTGTTTACTCTTACCTAGAATAATAAATATAAGCATGCTGTAAATAGGTCTTTCTTTCACTCAGAGCATTAAAAAAATCTCTTTAAGAAATTTGAATGGAGAATTCCAGTCAAATCTGAAGGTCAAAATTAGCAAGTCCAACCTTGTGGACCAGAACTCAGTGAGTAGGACACACCCACTGAACTAAGCTTGAGAGGAAAACAGGATAAATTTAAGATAGTAATAAAAATTTAAGGAAAAAGTGGTTATGAATCTTGATACTTTTCTTCTGGTAGGTATTACTAGTAGATATTTTTTTTGCTGTGAATATGTTGTAGGTATTTTATGTTCTTAATCATTTAAAGTGAAAATCTGGTCTTCTCACTATAACTATTTCTTCTAGTGTTAATAGCAAATTATTGGGAAGGAGAGATGGTTAGGATCAGTGTGGAAAATGTAACTGTCATACATACTACAGAGAAACTCCAGAGCTAAGCTGTGTACATTTCAGTCAGATCTTAATTTAAATAAGATTCATGTCAGAGGAGCTTAGATTGTAAAGAATGCCACAGACCTTGAGTCAGTTTGTCTTTGTTAGTGATTTTCCAATTATTTATACTACATTTTTTCTGTTTTATAAAATTGTGTAGAAAAAGAAATATTAGAAAATATTTGATACTGATAGCCTTTTTTGTCAGTTTTCCTATATTTGGTGCTGTGATATAAGCGAATTGTCAGAATTTTTAGTACTATTTGTTTTTGCTTACAAGTTTTTTTTTCCCCTGCACATGAAAGTAAGTAACTGCTTTGCTTTTCCTCATTACAGGTGGAGAAACTCTTGATGAATGTGGGTTAAAGTTTCTGTTGGCTGTGCGACTCCATACGTTTCTTACAACTTCCCTTCCAGCATATCGAGCTCAACTCGTTCACCAAGGTGATTTTCATATCAATCTATTAAAACAAAGGAGGGGAATAGCAAAAGAGGCTTTTGAACTTTTAAACTTGTTTTTTGCCCATACATAGTAACAATGGCACGTGGGACGCATTCTTTTTTTTTTTTTTTTTAATGCTTATTTCCTCTTAATTTCTTTTTGCTTAAGATATTGGAATTTTGAGTAGTAAATGAAGAGAATTAATAAAGAAATAGATACTGGGCAATTGGATATTATGTATTGTGGGTTTTTTTTATGATTTATTTATTTGAAAGAGCAACAGAGAGAGGGAGAAAGAGATGTTCTATATGCTGATTTGTTCCCCAGATGCCTACAACAGCAAAGGCTGGGCCAGACTGAGGCCAGGAGCAAAGAACTCCATCCTTATCTCCCACATAGGTGGCAAGGACCTGAGTACTTGGGCGGTATCCATTGTGTATTCTTGGAACCTTTATTGAAAAACAGTTGGATATGAGTGTGTGAATTAATTTCTGGCCTTTCTGTTCTGTTCCATTGCTGTATATGCCTGGTTTTTTGTAAGTACTGTACTGTTTTAATTAGTATAACTTTGTACTCAAATAGGTGTGATTCTTGAAGGTTTATTCTTTTTGCTCCAGGTTACTTTGTGTGTTCAGTGCCTTTTGTGGTATCATATAGAGTTTAAGGTTATTTTTCCCACATTCTGTAAAAAATGTCAATGGAATTTTGATAGGGATTGCATTGAATATGTAGATGACTTTGAGTGGTTTGGACTTTCTTAACAGTATTATTCTAATCCACTAACATGATATAGTTTTTCTTTTTTGTGTCTTCATTTTCATCAGTGTTTTATAGTTTTTAGTGCAGAGATCTTTTACCACCTTGGTTAAACTAATTTCCAAAACTATTTTTGTAGCTATTAAAAGTGGGATTTAGGGCTGGCACCACGGCTCAATAGGCTAATCCTCCGCCTTGTGACGCCGGCACACCAGGTTCTAGTCCTGGTCGGGGCGCCGGATTCTGTCCCGGTTGCCCCTCTTCCAGGCCAGCTCTCTGCTGTGGCCCGGGAGTGCAGTGGAGGATGGCCCAGGTGCTTGGGCCCTGCACCCGCATGGGAGACCAGGAGAAGCACCTGGCTCCTGCCTTCAGATCAGCGCGGTGCGCCGGCCACAGTGCGCCGGCCGCAGCAGCCATTGGAAGGTGAACCAACGGCAAAAGAAGACCTTTCTCTCTGTCTTTCTCTCTCTCACTGTCCACTCTGCCTGTCAAAAAAAAAAAAAAAAAAAATGGGATTTAAAAAAAATTTCCATTTCATATAATTCACTGTTAGTGTTTGGAAATGCTGCTGATTTTTATATATTGATTTTGTATTTTTCATTTTATTGTATTTGTTACTTTAACAGTTTGTAGGTGGAATCTTTAGTGTCTTCTATATAGTATATGAGATCCTGTCCTCAGGGCCAGTGCTGTGCCACAGCAGGTTGGGCTGCCATTTGTAATAGTGCTGCTATCTCATATCGGTGCTAGTTCCAGTCTCAGCTGCTCCACTTCCAGTCCAGCTCCCTGCTAATGGTCCTAGGAGTGTGGTGGATGAAGGCCCAAGTACTTAGCCCCTGCATCCTCTAGGGAGACCCATATGAAGCTCCTGACACCTGGCTTCGTCCTGGCCCAGCCCTGGTTGCAAGAGCCATTTGGAGAATGATTCAGTGGATGGAAGGTGTCTCTCCTCTGACTGTCCCTGTCTCACTGTAACTGTTTCAAAAAGATTCTATCATCAGCCAACAGCAACAGTTTCACTACTTTTCTATTTGTATGCTTTTTTCTTATTTCTCTTGTCCAGTAGCTATGGGTGGCACTTAGCATATTGTGTGGAATAAAAGAGTGACAGTGGACATCATTGTCTTCTTCCCTGAGCTGAGAGGGTTAACTTTAACCTTTCCACTCTTAAGTGTGGTGTTAGCCATGTCCTTATCATATATGGCCTTCACTGTTTTGAAGTATATTCTTTCTGTAATTTGTTGAGAATTTTTATGAAAGAATGTTGAATTCGTTTTTCTACATCTGGTGAGAATCGTATGGTTTTGGTCTTCATTCTGTTAATCTGAACAGAATGACATTTTATTGATTTGTGTTTTGAACCATTCTTACGTCTCTGTGATCAGTCTCAGTTGCTCATGGTGGATGATTGTTTTCATAAACTGTTGGATTTGATTTGCTCGCATTTTGTGGAGTATTTTTGCATTTATGTTTGTCAGGGATATTGGCCTGTAATTTTCCTTATTTACAGTGTCTGTTTTTGGTATGAGGGTAATACTGATGCCACAAAAAGTTTGGAAGAATTCTTCCTCCTTATCTTTGGGAGAGTTTGAGAAGGAATGGTATTAGTTTTCCTTTTAATGTTTGGTACAATTCACTTGTGAAGTTATCAGGTCCTAGACAATTTTTTTATTGATGATGGAGGCTTTAAAAAAAAAAAAAAGTATATTTATTTACTTAGTCGAAAGGCAGAGTGACAGAGAGAGATTAAGATTTTCGGTCATCTGGTTCACTCCCCAAGTGGCTTCTGTGGCAGGATCAGGCCTGGACTGAAGTCAGGAGTCCAGAAATTGATCTGGGTCTTCCAAATAAATGCCTTAGCCTAAGTAATTGGGCCATCTCCCAGTGCCTTCCTAGGTGTACTATCAGGTCGTTGGATCAGAAGCAGAGCAGCCACGATTCGAACTGTTGCTCTCATATGGGATGCTGGTGTAGCAAGTGGTGACTTAACTGCCTGCACCACAATACCATCCCCAATGATGGAGAGTTTTAATGATCTATTCATGGCGCTACTCATTAGTGGTTTTTTTGTTTTGTTTTGTTTTTGTAATTCTCCATCATTCACTCTTGGTAGGTTGTATGCATCTAAGAATTTATCCATTTCTTCTAGTTACCCAATATGTTGACATAGAATTGCTTATCATAATCTCTTAGGATCCTTTTGGACGTAAAAGTGCATTTGATATATTTTTAAGAGATTTTATTTATTTATTTGAGAGGTAGAGTTACAGAGAGTGAGAGAAAGGTCTTCCTTCCTTTGGTTCACTCCCCAAATGGCTGCAAGGGCCAGAGCTGCGCCAATCCAAAGGCAGGAGCCAGGTGCCTCTTCCCGGTCTCCCATGCAAGGTGCTTCTGAGATTAACCTACTGCGCCACGGCGCCGACCCCAGAGGTGCATTTCATTTGAAGTGTAGTTCTGTTCCAGTGTTTCCTTGTTACTTTTCTGTCTGGTATCCTGTCCATTGTTGAGAGTTGGTGTTGAACCCCTTACTACTATTGTGTTGCTATTTAGCTCTTTATTCAGATCCCTTTATAATACAATTTGCTTGATATATTTAAATGCTCTGATTTTGGTACATAAATATTCCAGTTATTCAAGCTTCATGGTGAATGGATACCTTTATCATTATATTATAATCCTTTGTCTTCTCTTGCAGTTTATTTAAGTTTATTTTTTCTTACATAATTACAGCCAATCCTGCTCTGTTGTTTCTGTGTATGTGGGATATCCTTTTTTTTCTTAAGAACTATTTTATTTGAAAGTCACTGTTACTGTGAGACAGGGAGAGACAGAGAGGAGAGTGGTCTTCCATACACTGGTTTACTCAAATGGCCACAACAACCAGGGCTGGACGGACTGAAACCAGGAGCCAGGAGCTTCACCCGGGCTTCCCATGTGGGTACAGTGGCTCCAGCACTTGGGCCATCTTCCACTGCCCTCCCAGGCACATTAGCAAGGAGCTGCATTAGAAGTGGAGCAGCCAGGATTCAAACTGGCACAAATATGGGATGCCATCACTACAGATGGTGACTTAACCTGCTCTGTCATAGTGCCAGCACTGGGATCTCTTTTCTGTCCCGTTACTTTAAGTCTCTATGTGTCCTTAAAAGTGAGGTAAAGTGGGGATGTTGTGATGCAGCAGGTTTGGCTGCTGCTTGTAGTGTTCGAATCCCATATCAGAGCACCAGTTTAAGTCCTTGTAACTCTGCTTTTGATCCAGCTTCCTAGTAATGCATTCTGGGAGGTGACACATGATGGCTTTTAAATAGATGAAAAATGAACTTTTTTTTTTAAACTGATATAAGTTTCTTGTATGTATCTTACAGTGGGGGGTCTTTGTTGTTGTTGTTAGCCATTCAGCCACTCTAGGTAATTTTATTGGAGAATTTAATCCATTTGCATTCAAAGTATGAGGGTACTTTAAAAAGTTCTTGGAAAATGGAATAAAAATAAGTTTATTTCAGTGAAAAAGAAGTTGGAAATCTGTTCTATGTAATGTCTTCAAAAAGTTCATGAAAAATGTGTTTTATGAAAAAACTGTTCATGGATTTCAACATATTTTATACCAAAATCAACTTACTTTTAATTCTGTTTTCCACAAACTTCTTGAAGTACCCTCATAATTACTAAAGTAAGTAATTACTACTGCCATTTGAAAATTGTTTTCTGATTGTTTTCTGGATGTTTTATTTCTTCCTTGCTTGCTTACTTGGTATATGGTTTGAACATTTTCTGTAGTGATGAATTTTTGGGTCCTTTCTATTTCTCTTTTGAGCACGTACTACAGATTTTTCATTTCTGGTCACCATGAGCCTTACCTAATATATCTTACAGTTATAATAAAGTATATGCTAATTGGAGTGATGGAGTTCTTTGGAAAAACAAAACTTTAAAATAGCCCATACTCCCGCTAATCTTAAACAATTAAGTGTACTTGTGACTCTCATATAATATGTTTTCACATTTTTGTTTCAAATAGAAACATATTTCTGATCATCACTGTGTAACCGTGCTTATATTTCTTTTAAATACTGTTCTTGACATTCCTCTAGGCCTGTCTACTTGTCACTTTGCTTGGGCATTTCACTCAGTAGCAGAAGAAGAACTGTTGAACATGTTGCCTGCAATGCAGAGAGATGATCCCACTTGGTCTGAGCTAAGAGCTATGGGTGTGGGGTGGTGGGTCCGCAATACCCGCATCTTACGCAGATGCATAGAAAAAGTAAGTGGTTTTATTTTGGTGTAAAAAATTAAAATATTTGGGATGTTTCTTTAAATGGTATTCCACGTCTCCTCTGCTATTATTTCCTTTTGTTTTTAAAGCAGTAAAATATTTTGGAATAACCTATGTTTAAAAATCTAGTTTTTAAAATTTTTTATTGTGATTTACTGTGATTTCTAATCAAAATATGTATGTTTAGGAGGATATGTCTGATTTTTGTAGACTAACGTGTATTAGAGAGTAATTAGAAAAATAAAAAAGTGCTGTAAAAACTTGTAATGAAAGCAGTGGTAGTCCTGTTGTCTTTTCTGTGTATCCTTTGTGAGAACTACCCTAAAGTAGTACTTTTTGTTATGTGTGTGTGTATCTGTGTGTATATTTCATATACATAATTTAAGGGAATTTTTGAGCATTGAAATAATGTGTTCCAGTCTTAGATATAAGGGAAAATATTCACTTAAAAACTGCTTCTGAAATTTTGATCTATTATTTTCTAATTATAGGTAGCCAAAGCAGCCTTTTATAGAAAGAATGATCCTTTAGATGCTGCTATTTTTTACCTTGCAATGAAAAAGAAAGCTGTGATTTGGGGATTATATAGGTAGGTAAGAAAACTGCTTCAAATTTAAAAATCTCTTCTTAAAAAGTAATTTATGAAGTGACATTTGTTCTTGTTGATGTTGATTCACATCGATTCCTACTTCTGCATTTAAGGACAGATTCCATAGGAAAAAGAAGCCCAGGTATTTTCCATAGTGGAAGAAACTTACTGACACACTGGAGTTTGTTTTCAGAATTACCAGTCCAGAAACATGTCTTTTGCTTATTTTAGTTCTCTTGACTCTTTGGTAGAACAAAGGTGGACTAATGCAGAAAGTTGTATTTAGGTTGGGGAGGAAGATCAGTTAGTGGAGAGCTCCTGGTCCTGGGCAGACTGTCCCTTGAAACTAACTATTTTCTGTGGGTTCAGACCTTGTTCCTGAGCAGACTTTAGTTACAAGTTTTGTTTCTCTCATTTCTCCTCACCAAGACTTGGTGAACACAGCTAACAAATACTTCATCATTTGCTTTGGATTCAGTTCTAGGTGATTTATGTAATTTGTGTTGTTACCTTTGGAGGAAAATCATGGTAACAAACTTTGCTAAGAAACTAGATCTTTTAGGATTGTTTTGAATGAAGGCAGATTCCTTATATTTTCATCACCTAAGTCGCCTTCAGATGGGCAGGATGGAAAGGGTGTTGATGGAATTTAGATAGTGACATAACATGGAAGTTAATTATGTATTTTCCGTGAATTTAGAAGTAATTTCTCATAGTACAGCTGTTACGGTTTGCAGTTTTAAAGAAAATTTTTCACTGATCTCTGGGGCTGATTAGGAAAAGTAAACACATAGTAGTATTCTTTTGTATTAGGAAAATAAGCAGATGCACAGGCATTTACAAACTAGTAAATGTTTCTGTCAATTTATCACTTTTGAGTAAGTCCTATCTTCAGAAGATTGATTCTGATGTAAAAGCATTGTATTCGAAAGTATTCATGCTTTTCTTTCCTTTGTAGATCTCAAAAAGACACCAAGATGACACAGTTTTTTGGACACAATTTTGAGGATGAGAGGTGGCGTAAAGCAGCTTTAAAGAATGCTTTTTCTTTGCTGGGCAAACAACGGTTTGAACATTCTGCAGCGTTTTTTCTTTTAGCTGGTTGCCTCAGAGATGCAGTTGAGGTAATGATTGAAACTTTTTTTTTTTTAAGATTTATTTATTTATTTGAGAGGTAGAGTTATAGATGGAGAGAGGAGAGAGAGAGAGACAGAGATCTTCCATCTGCCGGTTTACTCCCCAAATGTTTGCAATGGCTGGAGCTGAGCCAATCCAAAGCCGGGAGCCAGGAGCTTCTTCTGGGTCTCCCACTTGTGTGCAAGGGCCTAAGTATTTGGGCCATCTTCTGCTGTACCCATCTGGGATGCCATTGGAAGAGGAGCAGCCAGGTCTCAAACCAGCGCTAATATGGGATGCCAGCGTCACAGGCAGAGGCTTAGCCTGTTCTGCCACAGTGCTGGCCTTGGAACTTTTTTTTTTTTTTAAGATCTATTGATTTATTTGAAAGGCAGAGTTAGACAGGGAGAGAGAGAGAGAATCTTCCATCTACTGGTTTACTCCCCAAATGGCCGCAGTGGCCAGAGCTAGGCCAGACTGAAGCCAGGAGCTTCTTCTGGGTCTCCCAAGTGGGTGCAGCTGCATTTTTCCCTGCTTTCCCAGGCTCATTAGCAGGGAGTTGGATCAGAAGTATAGCAGCTGGGACTCAAACTAGTGCCCATGTGGGATGCCAATGGCCGCAATGGTTGGAGCTGAGCTGATTAAAAACTAGGAGGCAGGAGCTGCTTCTGGGTCTCCCACGTGGGTACAGGGGCCCAAGGACTTGGGCCATCTTCCACTGCTTTACCAGGCACATTAACAGGAAGCTGGATTGCAAGTGGAGTAGCTGGAGCTCAAACCAGTGCCCATGTGAGATGCTGGTGCTGCAGGCCAGGTCTTCAAACTGCTGTACCACAGTGCCAGCCGGCCTCTAACTGAAACTTTTTAAAACTCATTGTCACCCATTTCAGCTTCATCTAGAACCTCAGTTTTTACTTTTCAATTTCAACTTTAGTGGAAATAACAGAAGGCTAAATAATAACTGAAGTGATAGTATTTAGTAGTGACTTTGAAAAATCTGTCACTAGACTTGAGTGATGTTTTTACAGTCTTTTAATTTTATCAGGTTGTATTGATTGATTGATAGAAATAGGTTGTTAATACAGCTTTTAAGAATGTTCATGGAGGCTGGCTTTGTGATGCAGTGGATTAAGCCATTGCTTGTGATGGTGACATCCAATATCAGAGTGTTGCTTGGAGTCCAGCTGCTCTGCTTCTGATGCAGCTTCCTGCTAATGTGCCTGGGAAAATAGCAGAAGGTGGCCCATGTGCTTATGCCCTGCCACTCATGTGGGAGCAATGGATGATCCTCTTGGTTTTGGCCCAGCCCAGCCCTGGCAGGGAGCTGGGTAGGGAGCAGAAGTGGAGCAGCCAGGACACAAACCAGGATCTGTATGGAATGCGCATGTCACAGGCAGTGGGTTTACCCACTATGGCACAACAGCAGCTCCCATACAAGTATTTTAAAGCAGCTTTTTAATTTGGAAACACAGTGTGCTGGGGTGGCTGAAGAACACGTGATTATGACTAAAATAAAATGCAAGGGATCTTCAAAAAGTTTGTTGAATACATGTTAAGAAAAAAATGCCTAGATTTCAAATTTTTTGGCTACAAATCATCTCTTAATTTCATTTTCTACCCTTATATGAAGCTGGAATTATCTAATATTTTCTCATTAGGCTAATTCTTTTTGCAGGTATATATTTAGTATTAACCTAAATATTGTCAACCTTTTTTCTAGGTATGTCTTGAGAAACTGAACGACATTCAGTTAGCTCTTGTGATAGCAAGGCTCTATGAGTCCGAGTTTGATACATCTTCAACATATAAATCCATCTTATGCAAAAAGGTTTTAGGAATTGATTCTTCTGTCACTGAGTTCAGTTCAGTAAACATGAATATGCATTGTGATCCTTTTCTTCGGAGTATGGCTTGTTGGATTTTGGAAGATTATAGTGGTGCTCTGGAAACCTTAATAAGGCAACCTGTTAGAGAGGATGATGGTAAGCTGTGCTTGTCAAGTGCTCTGATTGAGAGTGTGTTTACTGCTCTGTTGGATGCTAAGGATGACACAAAACATGTTAAATTCATTGTCTCTATGACTCTGTGATTCGGTTGGGGACGTAGAGTTATATAGAGAGTTCTTTTTTGTTTCTTTAAAGTTTAATCCATTGAAAACCAAGAACCTTGGATTTCCATTTCTGTGAAGTAAGTTTATTGAACACAAAATATTATCAATACTTTCATGTGACTATTTTGCAAAATGTGATATGAAGCCAGTTTTTTAATCTTAGAAATCTTTTGTGTACTTATATATTAGTTTTGTAATTCTTACAGTAAAACTATTCATTGTAAAGAAAATTGTTTTCAGTGATGTGATTAGAAAATCTTTTTTTTTTTTTCCAAAGATTTATTTTTAATTTATTGGGAAGGCAGAGTTTTGGAGAGAGGTTTTCGATCTGCTGGTTCATTCTGCAGAAGATCACAATGCCCAGGGCTGGGCTGATCTGAGGCCAGGACCCTGGAGCTTCTGACACTTCTCCCATGAGGGTGGAGGGTCCAAGCTTTGAGCCACCTTCCTCTGCTTTCCATGGCACATTAGCAGGGAGCAAGATTGAAAGTGGAGCATACAGGTCTCAAACCAGTGTCCACATGGGATGCTGGCATTGCACATGGTGGCTTAGCCTGTTATACCACAACGCTGGCCTTGTGATCAGAAAAATCTTCATCCAAACTCTTTTTTTTTTTTTTGGGGGGGGGGACAGACAGAGTGGACAGTGAGAGAGAGAGACAGAGAGAAAGGTCTTCCTTTGCCGTTGGTTCACCCTCCAATGGCCGCCGCGGCCAGGGCACTGCGCTGATCCGATGGCAGGAGCCAGGTACTTATCCTGGTCTCCCATGGGGTGCAGGGCCCAAGGACTTGGGCCATCCTCCACTGCACTCCCGGGCCACAGCAGAGAGATGGCCTGGAAGAGGGGCAACCGGAACAGAATCCGGTGCCCTGACCGGGACTAGAACCCGGTGTGCCAGCACCGCAAGGCGGAGGATTAGCCTAGTGAGCCGCAGCGCCGGCCTCATCCAAACTCTTGATTGTATTTTTCAAGAGTGGAGAGTAAGTAGGCAGAAATTTGTTTTAAAATAAGATTTATTTATTTTATTTAAAAGGCATAGTTGGGGGAGGGAGATGCTTTCTTCTGTCTGCTTGTTCACTCCCCACAACGGCAGGTCTCCCACATCATTGCAGGGGCCCAAGCACCTGAGACATGATCTGCTGCTTTCCCAGGCACATTAGCAGAGAGCTGGACTAGAAATGGTGCAGCTGGGACGTGAATCGATGCCTGTATGGGATGTCAGTGTCAAAGGTGGTGGCTTAACCTGTTATGCCACAATGCAGGCCCCAGTAGAAATGTTTTTAATATACCTTTTTGAACTTTACTTCTGCCTTTTAGAACTCCTCCTAACTGAAATGTTCTTAGAGACTAATATAAAATGGAATTTCTTATGAATTCCTGTGAAAATGATGAGATTTGTTTTTCAAATATGTTTCCATAAATAGAATTAAGTCAGATAGCTGGTACAGTGGGTCTCATTTATGGTACTAATAAGAAATCTTCTAGGTCATAGTTTTTTGTGACATCATTTAATCAAGAAATATCATGTGCTTTTCCTTCTGAACTTAACGAGAAAGCTGTGTGACTTGGTCTCCCAACCATGTGAGCAAAGATGTTCAAGCTGGCCTCTCTGTAAGGCTAAGAGAACAAAGGAAGAGAACAAAACAAAACCCCTTTTCTAGCCCTTCTCTTGCACCCATACATATTCTTCTAACAAATGTGTTTTGATTTGGGATAAATATGTGATTGCATACTTTTACAATCAATTAAACTCATCTTTCTAGAAAAAAATGTTAGAGATGATAGTGGCTTAGACTGGGATGATGGGAGTTGAGGCAGAAAGAAATGATTGAATTTGAAATCTGATTTTAAGGTTGGTTAGATCGAACTGATTGGATATAGAGTATGAAGAAATTAGGAGTCAAGGATAACTCCTTGGTTTTTAGCTTGAACAGTAGGTAAATGACAGGGGCAAGTGGTATTTTAGATCCAAAAGGCTACTCTGGAGCCAGCATTGTGGCATAGTGGGTAAAGCCTCCACATGCGATGCCAGCATCCCATATGGCTACCAATTCTAGTCCTGGCTGCTCCACTTCTAATCCCGGTCCCTGCTAATGGCCTGGGAAAAGCAGCAGGAGATGGCCCAACTGCTTGGGCCCCTTCCACTCAAATGCAAGATGCCACACACATGGGAGACTGGGATGAAGCTGTTGACTCCTGGCTTTAGCCTGGCCTAGCACTGCAGCTGCAGCTTTCTGGAGAGTGAACTAGTGGATGGAAGATCTTGTGCACTCGCTCTGTCTCTCCCTTCTCCTCTTTGTAGCTTTGACTTTCAAAATAAATAAATGTTAAAAAAAAAAAAAAAAGAAGAAGAAGAAAAGAGAAGGCTTTGAGGGGGAATTGATTGAAATGAGCAAGTTAATCAATGTAGATGTGTGGAAAAAAGTGGTTTGGGCCAAGAGCACACTAAATAAAAAGGCCCTGAGGCACAAGTATATATATGTTAAGCTGAAATGTAATGTAGGCCTTTTGGTGTAGGAATTTAGGTTTTCATGGTGAAGCTGTGACTAGAGATACAGATGTGCTAGTTATTAGCTTACAGATAATACTTAAAGCCACTAGGTGATGTGAGTTTAACACTGAGTAGATGAAGAACTAAACTATAAGACCCCTTCTGCATTTGAGGGCAGCAAAGATGAGGACTCGCAGCATAACCTTTGTTTTCCTATTGTTACAACACTTGAATTACAAGTGTCTTCTTGTTGGTTAAGTCTATTAATAAGAATTTGTTTTAAAAATCATCTAGATAAGGGTGCAGTACCATAGTAGAAAAATAGGACTATAGTACAGATAGAAGCCTTAGTTTAACTCTTAAACTGTGTCTTGGCTCATAAAATGAATTTTCTTTCAGATCAAGTCATGACATCAGCCTGCAATCCTGCAGTTTTTAATTTTTACAATTATCTAAGAACACATCCTCTTTTGCTGAGACGTCATTTTGGATCATCTGATACGTTTCCCACACACATGAGTTTAACAGGAAAGAGTGGACTGGCAGGAACAATTAGTTTAAGTGAAAGAAGACTATTTTTTACTACTGCCAGTGCTCATTTAAAGGCCGGCTGCCCCATGTTGGCCCTGGAAGTCTTATCGAAGATGCCCAAGGTCATCACGAAGACAAAAGCATTTTATAAAGCATCTAGTTTTCTGGACACGGGTAGAGGTTCTTCTCCACTAAAATTGGATGCAGAGGAAGATAAGTCTTCTGCTGTTGATTGGTCAGAGTCATTGATAAATGGTTTTGGGTCCTCGTCAGAGGGTTCATCAGAGAAACAGTCCAACTCAGCACTTTCTTTTGACTGGAGCCAACCAAGTGTCATATTTCAGGACGACTCTTTAGAGTTAAAATGGGACAGTGATAACGATGAAGAAAATGAAGACCTCCCTCTTTCAATGAAAGAACTAAAACCTTTACAGAGAAAGATAGATAAAAAATTGGAGGAAGTAAGTTCCAGTTACACAGAATCTTTCAGCACAATTAATGAAAATGATATTTTAGATCCATCAGAAGATATAATTGCAGTCCAGTTAAAATTTAGAGCATGTTTAAAGATTCTCACAGTAGAACTTCGTACTTTATCTACTGGTTATGAAATAGATGGTGGAAAATTGCGTTACCAACTATACCACTGGCTTGAAAAAGAAGTGATAGCTCTTCAGAGGACTTGTGACTTTTGCTCAGATGTGGAAGAGCCACCGTCTGCATTAGGCAAAAGTGGAGGTGAATTCGGATTAAATGAGGACACTGAAGATTTGCTTCACCAAGCAAAAGGGAAACAATTGAGAGAAAATTTTCAGGAAAAAAGGCAGTGGCTCTTGAAATATCAGTCTCTCTTGAGGATGTTTCTTAGTTACTGTGTACTTCATGGATCCCATGGTGGGGGTCTTGCGTCTGTGAGAATGGAATTGATTCTTCTTTTACAAGAATCTCAGCAGGTGTGTAAATTACGTGATAGTCAAAAATAGTGCCTCTGTGCAGCAGGCTTCTGTACTGCTCTTTTTGGGTTTTGAGTACTAAAACTTTATTTTCTTCATTGCACTTGCTTTAGCGAATGTTCCCTTTGGTTCAGTTTTTCTTATTATGAGTTTCTTATTATGAGTTCTTATCATGAGTCCTGTGTGTTTTGCTGTTTGAAGACAATTCAGTATCAGGCCTTATGACCTGTTAAGCGCATACTCTGAAGTCTTAAAGGAAAGCTTTGTAAAGTAACAAGCTTTTTAGAAGAGATGATAGTCCATCATCTTGAAAAGATGGTTTTTGTGGTGTTGGCCCCCTCGGCTTCTTTCCCTCTAAGTTCTTATAAGGTATTTAGGTTATACTTGTTTTGAAGCTTTGAAAAGAACTTCCTGAATTAAAGTAATGGCTTGAAATTGTAAATAGTTGATTAACCTCATTTCCGTCTTTGTTTTTAAGGAAACATCAGAACCACTGTTTACTAGCCCTCTGTCAGAGCAAACCTCGGTGCCTCTCCTCTTTGCTTGTACAGCCAGTGCCAAAACAGTAGTTGCCAATCCATTGTTACACCTTAGTAATCTAACTCATGATATCCTGCATGCCATAATAAGCTTTGAATCACCACCCCATCCTGATCTCCAGAGCAATAAAGTAAGTATGCCTGGTCCCAAGGTTTTAAATCACCTGTACACAAGGATAAAACTAAAGAAAACTGTTAAGCCTTTTAAGAACAGTTGTACACATCAGACTAGACGTAGTGGTTATGTTACCTTATTTGTACTGGTTCTGATTAAAGAAAGCATATGGTTCTAAATTTCCTTTCCATCTGTTTGTAGACCAGGCTTATCTTACTTGTGGTATACTAAGTAGGGCACTTAAAAATTCTTTAAATTAAAATTCTAGTTACTTAGTCCTAGGTAACCACTTTATTAAGATTATTAAGATAAGAATAATAGGTGCATCTGAAGGTACATGAGTGATTTCTTTAGTTGTTCATTTAGCTAGAATGCTGATTGTGTGTGTGTGTGTGTGTGTGTGTGTTTTTAAGATGATAGCTTAATTTTTAGTGTAAAAGTACTGACAGATAAGTAAGGGTTTCCCATGTTAGTATTAGGCAGTGCCTAGTGTAAGGATAGTGTAAAGTACTTTGTCCCTATCTTTCTTCCAGATCATACAATACTTTATCAATCAACTTCATCATCATTCCTTGCACTGCTTGTTAAAAATTTGGATTCCTGAGTTCACTTCAGACTTACTGAATCAGTCTATGAGACTGAATTACAGGAATATGTACTTTTTTCTTTTTGTTTAAACACTTATTAGAGAGAGAAATCTTCCTCTGCTGTTTCACTCACCAAAAGGCTGTAATAGCACTGGCTGGGCTAGGCTAAACCAGGAGCCAAGGCTTCCATCTGGGTTTCCCACGTGGGTGGCAGGAGCCCAGGCAGCTGAATCCTCTGCTGCTCTCCCAGGCACATAGGCATGGAGCTGGATTGGAAGTGGAGAAGCCAAGACTTGAACTGGTGCCCATATGGGATGCCAGTGTTGCAGGCCACAGCTTAACGCACTGCACCACAGCACTAGCCCAGTAGCATGTATTATCTAAGATGTTCCTTAGGTGATTTTGATTTTGGTATATAATTAATAATATTACAATTGTCTAATCAACCATAGCATCTTCCTATCCATCATTATTCTCTTATCTATTGTTAATACCACATGTCATATTTCCCCATCTTTTCTCCCCAGACACATTGAAATCTTTTGAAGTATGCCCAAATTTGACTTTTTTTTTTTAGTATCCCCTGGGGGAGTAGGCTGTCTCCTAGGTTATGCTGTCACATATTTGTTTCCTGCTTGCTTGATGGTGGATTCTCCTTGCACAGTTTTGCCCTGTTGGATAACCATAATCCTTGTAATTTAATGTTGCCACTTCTCCTGTACTTTTCTGTAGCATAAGTGCCCATACTTCATTTTAAATTTAAAATTTAATTTCTTTCAAACTTTGCTGTAATTTTAAACAAACTATTCTGTATGTAACTTTATTCATAGCCTGTCTGTGCTGTATCATTTAGCTTTTGCTAGTTAAGAAACACTGAAATATTAGTGGCTTTTAAAAGCCATCATTTATTTTGATCATGATTCTGATGAGACTGGCTCATTAATTTCTTACATTTACACCAGCTGGGCTGACCTGTGGACTCTCTCAGTGATCTAGCATTTGTGTCAGTTAACAAGCTGTTGAACAGGCTGACAGGAGAATGTGAGTCTCACTCTCCAGCAGGCAAGTCCAATGTTTGGTCCAGATTCTCTATAGAGAAATAGGCTAGATAGAAGAGGAGTCTTCAGAAAGTACATGGAAAATGGATCTTAGGAAAAAACTATACTGGACTTTCAAAAAAAAAACTGTTACATCAAAATAAATTTAGCTTTTAATTAATTTTTCTGCCAACTTTTAAAATTACTTTGATGTATTAGAAAGAAAGAGATTTATTATAAGGATTGACTCATGTTACTGTGAAGGCTGGAAAGTCCCAAAACATGTTGTTGGCAAACAGAGCATCCAGGAGAACCATCTTCTTCTTCTTCTTCTTCTTCTTTTTTTTTTTTGCTTATTTGAAAAGCAGAGTTACAGAGAGGCAGAGGCAGAGAGAGAGAAAGAAAGAGAAAGTAAGTCAGTCTTGCATCCAATGGTTCACTCCCCAAATGGCCATAGTGGCCAGAGGTGGGCTGATCCAAAGCCAGGAGTTAGGAACTTCTTCCAGGTCTCCCATGTGGGTGCAGGGGCCCAAGGACTTGGACATTGTTCTACTGCTTTCCCAGGCCATAGCAGAGAGCTGGATTGGAAGTGGAGCAGCTGAGACTTGAACTGGCACCCATATGGGATACCAGTTCTGCAGGCAGTGGCTTTACCTGCTACGCCCCAGCACTGGCCCCGAGCCATCTACTTTATTCATTCATTCATTCGGCAGAGTTACAGAGAGGGAGAGGTAGAGAGAGAGAGAGAGAAAGGGAGAGGGCCAGCGCAGCAGCTCACTAGGCTAATCCTCCACCTGCGGAGCCAGCACCCCAGGTTCTAGTCCCAGTCGGGGCTCCGGATTCTGTCCTGGTTGCTCCTCTTCCAGTCCAGCTCTCTGCTGTGGCCTGGGAAGGCAGTGGAGGATGGCCCAAGCCCTTGGGTCCTGCACCCGTGTGGGAGACCAGGAGGAAGCACCTGGCTCCTGGCTTCGGATTGGCGCAGCATGCCGGCCGTAGCAGCCATTTGGGGGGGTGAATAAAAGGAAGGAAGACCTTTCTCTCTGTCTCTGTCTCTCTCTCGCTAACTCTGCCTATCAAAAAAAAAAAAAAAAAAGAGAGAGACAGAGACAGAGAAAGGGAGAGAAGTCTTCCGTTTGAAGGTTCACTCCCCAAATGGCCACAACAGCTGGAGCTGCGCCTATCCAAAGCTAGGAATGTCTTCTGGGTCCCCCACCGCAGGTGCAGGGGCCCAAGGACTTCCGAGCCACCTGCTTTAATAAATATACTGATTCAAGTCTGTATGTCATTTGGAAACTTTCTCACACAAATACCCAGGATAATATATGACCACATGTCTACAGTCCAGGATGCAGTCCCACCTAGATTTATTTTTTCCTCCACATTTTGTTTGTGGGATTTAAGAGCAACAAGAGCATTTGCAAGGTATGGGTTCAGAACTCACATGTTTACTTCTGTTGGAGCTGTTTGGTCAAAGCAAGTCACAAGGCCAACCCAGATTCAGTGAATAGAGTAATGACTTCAGTTCTGTATTAGAGACATTTCAAAAGTGTTGGCACTATTTTTACCACCTTCCTTGTGCCCACCCCCCCCCACCCCGCCCCGTTGTTTTTCTTTTTTTGAGAGGCAGTGAAAAAACTCCCACACCAAATGCCTGCTGTACTGGTAATGGATAGAGGTGGGGCCAGGCCCAGGAACCCAGTCCAAGTCTCCTAGAAGGTTGGAAGGAACCTGACTGCTTGAGCCATCACTACTGCTGTCCAGGATCGGCATTAGCAAGAAGCTGGAATCAGGAGCTTGAGCCAGGACCCTAAGCCACGAGCTCTGCTATAGGATGTGAATGTCCTAAACTGCATCTTAACTGTCAGGCCAGATATCTGCCCCTATTATGATATAGTTGATTTTAATTCATGTCCCATGTTTATTGACAGTTGGACAAGATAGCAATTATGTTTTCACCTGTCATTATGTTTTTATCTTACTGTACTTCATAATCAGATCACAAAACTGATCTTAAAATATTTCGTCAAGGGGCCGGCGCTGTGGCACAGCATGTTAACACCCTGGCCTGACACGCCAGCATCCCATATGGGCGCTGGTTTTTGTCCCGGCTGCTCCACTTCCGATCCAGCTCTCTGCTATGGCCTGGGAAAGCAGTAAGAACATGGCCCAAGTCCTTGGGCCCCTACACCTGCGTGGAAGACCTGGAGGAGGCTCCTGGTTTCGGAATGGCGCAGCTTTGGCTGTTGCGGCCAATTGGGGAGTGAACCATCAGAGGGAAGACCTCTCTCTCTCTCTCTCTCTCTCTCTTTCTCTCTCTCTCTCTCTCTCTGCCTCTCCTCTTTCTGTGTAACTCTGACTTTCAAATAAATCTTAAAAAAAATATTTAGTCAAGTCTACTTTCTTACCTACCTTAAGCTTCTTTTTTTCATATGGCTGCTACCATGCTATTTAGAATCTTCTATTTCTCAAAATTTGCTTATTCTACTGCCTTCTGATTGCTGTTTTCCACGTTATCCTTTCTCCTTTCTATAAAGCTTCACTCTGCAAGTTGATTTCTATGATAACTAGAATATGTGGTTGCTTGTTCTTCTTCAGTAATCTGTCCATAGGTGAACTCTTGGTTAAGTCTGTGCTTCTTCATGTTTTGATTGAATAAAAAACAGATTGAGTATTGTAGGGCTTGCCTTTAGTTTTTAAAAAGATTTATTTATTTATTTATTTGAAAAGCAGGGTGACAGAGAGGAAAGACAGAGGGAGGGAGATCTTCCATCTGCTAGTTCACTCCCCAAATAAGCACAGTGGCCAAGTATGTGCCAGGCTGAAGCCAGGAGCCAGGAACTCCATGTGGATCTCCCACGTGAGTGGCACAAGTACTTGGTCCATCACTTGGTGCTTTCTCAGGAACATTAGCAGGGAGCAAGGACTTGAAGCAGAGCAGCTGAGATTCGAGGCTTCACTCTGCTAAGGGATGCTGCTGTTGTGTTGCTTCCCCTGCTGCTCTCGGACTCTAGTCCCAAGGACTTGCTTCTTTTTTTTTTTTTTTTTTTAAGATTTATTTATTTATTTGAAAGAGTTACACAGAAAAGGAGAGGCAGAGAGCAAAAAGAAAGAGAGAAAATCACTGGTTCACTCCCCAATTGGCCACAATAGCTAGAGCTGGGCTGATACAAAGCCGTGAGCCTGGAGCTTCTTCCAGGTCTCCCATGTGGGTGCAGGGGCCCAAGGACTTGGGCCATTTTCTACTGCTTTCCCAGGCCATAGCAGAGAGCTGGATCAGAAGTGGAGGAGCTGAGACTCGAACCGGTGCCCACGTGGGATGCTGGCACTGCAGGTGGCAGCTTTACCCACTACACAGCACTGGCCCCAGGACTTGCTTGTAAATACATGGTTCATGCTCTGCTGGGTAGCTGACATCTGGTTCTCTTTGCTCCTGAAAATCAAACTGCATAGCAGGTGTGTGTTTTAAAATTTCCACCAAAGGACTCGGTATATTATCTTTAAATTTTCCGTAGTGAGACTTCCTTAGGTAGAAATGTGTGTTAGAGAAAAATAAAAAGTAAGTAATTTTTACAGATAAAATTTTCCCAGCAGTTTAAAAGTGCTGATTATATTTTGAAAGTTATATTTAAAAATGTTTAAGCAATTTTGTTGTTTTTTTTTCTTCCAGGTGTATGTAATGCACACTTTGGCAGCCTCACTTTCTGCTTGTATTTATCAGTGTCTTTGTGGTAGTCATAACTACAGGTAAATGTGGTTTTCTGAAATTTAAGAATGCTTGTGTATCCATTGAGGTTTCATATTTATCTTTTTGCTTTTGAATGATATATAGCAGTCTGCTTTATTTTTTTTTTTAAGATGTATTTATTTTACTTGAAAGTCAGAGTTACAGAGGGGGTGGGGTCCTTCATCTGCTGGTTCACTCCCCAATTGACCGCAGTGGCCAGAGCTGTACTAATCCATAGCCAGAAGCCAGGAACTTCTGGGTCTCACATGTGGGTGCAGGGGCCTAAGACCTTGGGCCATCTTCTACTGCTTTACCTGGCCATAGCAGAGAGCTGGATAGGAAGTGGAGCAGCCGGAACAGGAACCGGGGCCCATATGGAATGCCAGCACGCAGGTGGAGAATTAACCTACCATGCCACAGTGCAGGCCCCAGCAGTCTACTTAAGTAATGCAAAAAGCACATGACTGAGATGTTGAGTACTTTTTTTTCATATTTAAAATGTTAGTTTATGCCTTTATGGAAAATGGATCTCAGTAAACCCTTACCAGTATAACTTACTGAACACCATTATTAATCACTGCCTTATGCAGACATTCTGATGGGTACTCAGAATTTTAACATTAATAAGTTCTCTCCTTTAAGAATGATAGATAATGTATGATAGTACTTAAATGATAAGTTCTGCAACATGTTAGATACCAAGAAGCCCAGGGAGCCCAGAGGACAGGGGGACTAACTTGGACTAAATTGAGATAATTTTTATTTAAAGTGTTATTTATTTATGTGAAAGTTAGAATTACATAGAGGCCGGCACCCCGGCTCCCTAGGCTAATCCTCCGCCTTGCGGCGCCGGCACACCAGGTTCTGGTCCCGGTCAGGGCGCCGGATTCTGTCCCAGTTGCCCCTCTTCCAGGCCAGCTCTCTGCTGTGGCCCGGGAGTGCAGTGGAGGATGGCCCGAGTGCTTGGGCCCTGCACCCCATGGGAGACTAGGAGAAGTACCTGGCTCCTGCCATCGGATCAGCGCAGTGCGCCGGCTGCGGCGGCCATTGGAGGGTGAACCAACGGCAAAGGAAGACCTTTCTCTCTGTCTCTCTCTCTCTCTCTCACTGTCCACTCTGCCTGTCAATTAAAAAAAAAAAAAAATAATTACATAGAAGGATAGGCAGAGAGATCTTTTATCCACTGTTTCACTCCCTGTATGGCCAAACGGCCAGAGCTGGGCTGATTGGAAGCCAGGAGCTTCCTCTGGTTCTCCCACATGGGTGCAGGGGGCCAAGGACTAGGGCCATCTTCTGCTGCTTTCCCAGGCCATTAGCAGGGAGCTGGATGCGAAGTGGAGCAGCCAGACATGAACAAGCTCCTATGTGGGATGCCAGTGGCACAATGCTGGCCCTGGAAGAGCTGCTATGTAGGGTTTTTCTAGTTCTAAAGTTTGACTACAGTTTATCTAGAATTCACAAAATATTGTTTGGCACTCTATGGGGTCTTTCTGTATTTTTTTAGTTGTTTGAAATTGTGTGACATTGTTTTCTGAATATTGTCTCAAATGTCTTCTATTTCTTTTCCTGTTACACAGATACTATAACTTTTTAGCCTGTTCTCCCTGCCCTCTTTAACTTTCTTTTGGGTTCTCCTTTTCTCTTTCTGTTGCATTTCAGGAAAAATCTTCTATCCATTTTCTAGACATTGATTTATTATTCCGCAGTGTCTTGTCTTTATTTAGCCACAGGTTTTTTTTTTTTTTTTTAGAAATTCCATTTTTAAGCGTTCTTTTTTAAAAAATTATTCTTAATTGACAGGTAATTGTACATATTTATGGGATACAGGGTCATATATTTTTTAAAGACTATTTATTTGAAAGTCAGAGTTACACAGAGAGAGGACAGGCAGAGAGAGGTGTCTTCTATCCGCTGGTTCACTTCCCAATTAGCCACAATGGCCAGAGTTGTGCTGATCAAAAGCCAGGAGCCAGGAGCTTCTTCCAGGTCTCCCACGCAGGTGCAGGGGCCCAAGGACTTGAGCCATCTTCTATTGCTTTCCCAGGCCATAGCAGAGAGCTGGGTTGAAAGAGGAGCAGTCGGGACTCAAACCGGCACCCATATGGGATGCTGGCACTGTAGGCAATGGCTTTACCTGCTGTGCCACAGCGCCGGCCCCACAGAGTCATATTTTGATATATCACCTCATATGTTTATTATTTCTTTGTGGTAAGAACATTAAAAATCCTTTCTCTAACTATTTTGAAATAAGCAGTATGCAGTGGTTAACTGTGGTTGCCATAGAACCCTAAAACTGTTCCTCCTGTCTGACACTTACACAGTGTGTCGGAGTGTCTCAGCAGGTTTCTGACTTGCTCTCAGGTGGGAATGATCCATTGATGTCTGGTGCATATATGGGTGGAAGGAGAATCCAGAGCTCTCTAGTCTGTCATGCTGGTGATGTCACTCTGAATCTCTTGATCATTGTAATAACTGCTTCTATTTTTTATAACTTATTTTTATTTTCAAAACTTTGAGCCTTACGTTCTTTTCTTACTGTTGGGATAAGTCTGCTTCCTCAGGTGAAATTGTAAATGATGACAGCTTGGTGTTGATTTTTGCTTGTCTGTTCATCTTACATGTTTGAATTCTCCATGAATTGCCTCACTTCCTCTCTGGTTACATGTGTATTCCAAACATAGTTGCTTTTGTTGACCTTAGTCCTTTAAGAGTTCATTTTCTTATTTTTGAGTGTGACATTATTTTCAACTTTTTATTTGTTGGTTTCCCAACATTTCTATAGGTTTATGATAGCAAGAGGGAAGGTTTTTGTTGTTACTTTGCTATCTTGAAGCCGAGAAGTAAGGCAAGAGAAACTACCTAGGAACGCATTAAAACGTCAGTGGCCAGTGAGATTTACCAGTCAGAGCAGATTTAAACCAGCAAATTCCTGTGTCTACAGATTATATTCATTTGTTTAGTGTATGATACAGGAATATCTGAAGAATTTGACAAAATTTTTATACCATCTTGTCATGATTATTTTGTAGTTTGTCAAGCTGCAAGTTATTTTGAGCATCTGTTTACTTAGTCTTAAAGAGTCATGTATGGGGGAAGCTCATACTGACTTTCCAGATTACATGAAGTACTCATCCGTATCGCCTTCATAGCATTGGATGCATAACTTCATCTTTAAGGACAATATGATAGAATTATTTCCATGTTATTCCCCCACCAGAGTATGTATTTCATGGGGACAGACACTGTTTTTCTTTATATGCCTAGTTGAGTGCTTGACGTAGAGTAGGCTAATCATTAAAATAAAACTGAATGGTAGGCATTTAGCAATAGAGAGGATGATAACTGGGATGCCCTCATCCCGCGTCAGAGACTTTGTGCTGATGCCCACCTCTGGTTCCTGACTGCAGTTGCTTGATGATGTAGACCTTGAAAGGCAGCCGTGGTGGCTCAGCTTTTGGGATCCTGCCACACATGTGGGAGAGACCGTGATGGGCCCCATCTAGGCATCTGGGGAATGAATCTAGGGTTGGGAGATCTTTCTGTCTGTCTCGGCCTCTCAAATAAGTAAAAAATAAAAATCAGAATGAAATAAAATGGAGTCTAAACAGACTTTGAGTTAAATAACTTTAAAGCCCAATAATAAAGTCCAGTACGTAGGCTTGCTATGTGTAGTCCCTTGTAATTTAAAGTTCTTATTTGTACTTATTCTAGGTCTTTTTTTTTTTTTTCAGATTTATTTATTTATTTGAAAGGCAGAGAGTAGGGGAGGTCTTCCATCCAGTGGTTCACTCTCCAAATGGCCACAAAGGCTAGGTCTGGGCCAGGTAGAAGCCAGAAGCTTCTTCTGGGTCTCCCACATGGGTTCAGGGGTCCAAGCACTTGGGCTATCTGATGCAGCTTTCTCAGGCACATTAGCAGAGTTGGATCAGAAGTGAAGCAATGGGGTCTCTAACCTGTATGTGATGCCAGCTTCCTAGGTAGCAGCTTTACCCTCTGTGCCACAATGGCTCCTCTTCTAGGTCTTTTAATAAATAAGGATTCTTAAAACCTGTCAGATGTGCTTTAATTTAGAAAATGTGTTTATTTACATTTAAAAGCTACTTTTTTTAAATATAGCACTAGACTGTATGCTACTTTAAATTAATGATGTTACCATTAATAAAAATTTATATTTAGCATGGAAATACCAACATATGTAATTCATGATAGATTTCAATGCTGTTTTTTCTCCTTAGTTCATTACAAACAAATCAGTTTACTGGAATGGTGTATCAGACAGTATTGCTTCCTCATCGACATTCTTTGAAAACAGGAAGCTTAGATGAAGCAATAACTCCCAATACATCACCAGCTCAATGGCCAGGTATAAGTAATTTCTAGCTGTATGAGTTTTTCTTAGTCATCTTGAAAATCTTAGTGAGTGAAAATCACATTTGGTTTGGTTTTGCCGTGGGATAATCATTGTTAAACATAGCTGGAGTTGATGCCAGTTCATCACCATTCATTACAAATTATGTAATCACTAAAAATTAGTATTCCCCAGATAATTATACTACAGTAACCTAAAAATGTTGTTATATTATTTAAAAATAATTTTACTCTTATGATAGAAAAACATTTTTGCCAATATAGTTTTAACTGTGAGATTTTAGTAATATTGCATATTTTCAGTATTTAATCTGTAGCTCTCTATGAATCCTTGGAAGAAAATAGTCCTGATTCAATACAGTTTTCTGCAAAATTAGAAAAACTTAAAAACTTTGCAAGAAAGTAGTTAACTTTTAATAATTATTGTTGGTGTAGCTGTGTTTGTTTTTGGTTCCAGGAATAACTTGTCTAATTCGACTTTTGAATTCTTCGGGTGAAGAAGCCCAGTCAGGGCTTACAGTATTACTCTGTGAGATTCTCACAGCCGTGTATCTGAGTCTCTTCATCCATGGCCTGGCAACACATTCCAGTAATGAACTGTTTCGGATTGTGGCCCATCCTCTAAATGAAAAAATGTGGTCTGCTATATTTGGTGGAGGTGCACATGTTCCTAGCAAAGAACAGACAGACTCAAAAACTTTACCTGGTGAGTTTTTAATCTTTTCCTTAATCTTACTTAAGGCTGCCGGTTTATTAGTCATCTGAATTTTTAAATGTAATCACACTTCAATTTAGTCACAGTAATCAGTTTTTGTTACAGATCATTGTATTAAAGCAAGATCAAATAATTTTTTGGTGAAAATGCAGATTCTGGTGCAGTTTTCAATCTTTAAGATGCCCCTGCACTGGTGAATAGAATTTCTAATGTAATTGTATTAAGTCTTTTACTATGGAATTTTTTTTATAGTACACTGTAGTACTGGTTTTTGTTCTATCCCAAATACGGACTCTTTCTTCTTTCTTTGGCAGGAAGGCACTTTGCTATGCCTAGTCCTCACCAGGTAGTGGTATTCTCCATGGAGTGTGTGGGCTTTTCCAAAGCTCTCTCAGCCATCAGTTCTCATAGTCCTACCAGTCCTGCAGGCAAGATACTAGCTTTAGAAATAGGCTTTTACAATTCAGCTTGCTTTGTGTTGTTTTGGGGGGAGTGGGGTAAAGTGGGCCAGTTTTATTTTGTTTGCCATTTAAATAAAATTGAGAAATTTCCTTTAATCAAGCCATATTTTTTGATTTAAAACTGATTAGCATTTTAGAAAACTGTTTTCTAATTCTGCTTTTAAATTCTTTGTTTTTATTATCCTCTTACCCTTATATTTTCATATTTCTAAGTGTATAAAAATAAAAGTATGGGCTGATCATAGTAAATCAGACTATGGCTTGAAATGACTGGAAAAGCACACTCAATGACGCTGCATTATGATTTGCAATTAGGGTTTTTGGATTTCTAAGTGTTAATAATACTATGAAAAGTAAATGTTGTAAATGGTTTTATCTCTTTTCTGAAACTTTCTTACATGAAGACTATATGTACTATATTTATGACGCAGTTGAAACAGCAGACTTTGTCTCTAGAACAACCTCCATGATGCTTTTGCTTCTGTGTTTCTGTGATTAGCCCATGCATGATGATCTTGGTTTTCCAGTTTTGGAGGTTACTGGAAGTACATTTAAGGATTAATGTATAGTACCTGAAAACCTATTTCAATGTATACTAACTATGAAAAAAATTTTTAAATACTTTTCAAAAAACAGCACTATACACACACACATTAAGAATGAGCCCAGCAAGATTACTTATCTCTTTATGAATGTTAGGACACTTTCTCCCTCCCATTTATACTTCACTTATGCATGTTTTTATATATGTTTGTAGGTTTGAATATTTATGTGTTTGGAGATGAGGCAGGATGTAGGAAGGTGTGCGTGTGAAAGGAAAACTAAAATTTGAATTTGACTTCATTATTTGGCAGAAAATTATTGCCAAAATTTATACTGTGATAAATAATATTTTTGGATGAAGCTGTATTATTATTAAGAAAGTTTAAAAAGTTATCTTGTTAAAATAGTAGAAAATTATTAATAGCAGTGTTGTACTTCCCTAAAAACAGTTTCTACTAAGTCATAGTCCTGGATGATTGCACAACAAAAATCATGATGGCCTACCTACAACTTTTTTCCCTTTATCGAAATGGTTTCTTAAGTTACCTAAGACACTTAATTTCTAATCCATGTCACTTCCCTCTTCCAAAAAGAAATAAACTGGCAGATATTCAGTCTTTTATGTTTAATAGGAACAATAAAGCAAAATCAGTTTACGACTTTGAGCAAAGTTCAATTCACTTTTTCTGTAAAGGGCCACGTATATAATTGAGGCCTTCCAGAGCCTTTGGTGTTTCACAGCCATTGAGTTCTGACCTTGTAGCACACCAGCAGCCGTAGATAATGTGTAGACAAATCGTTGTGACTGTGTTCTCATAAAATGTCATTTACAAAAATAGGTAAGGATATGCCATCCCCTGCTGTAGAAGCAGAAGTGGTTTGTCATTGCTTCTTCTGGAAAAAAACATTTGCCTTCCCGGTGAAAGGAATTGTTTTTTTTTCTCTATTAAGATTGATTTATTTACTTGAGAGGCAGAGTTACAGACACAGAGAGACAGAGAGGTCTTCCATCTGCTGGTTCACTCCCTAAATGGCCGCAATGGCTGGAGCTGGGCTGGTCCGAAGCCAGGAGCCAGAAGGTTCTTCCAGGTCTCCCACACGGGTACGGGGCCCAAGCTTCTACTGCTTTGGCAGGCCGTCAGCAGGGAGCTGGATCAGAAGTGGAGTAGCTGGGAGTTGGACCAGCTTACATATGGGATTCTGGTTATGCAGGGGGTTGCTTAACCTATTGCACCACAACACCGGCTTTGAATTTAAGTTTCAAGAAAAGTAAAATTACTCTTTTCGGACCTAAACTTTACATTGAATCTTTTGCTGGTGTTTGACCTAACCCCACATTAGTGCTTATGAAACAGCCAGGGGCATTGATAGGATAGTTTATGTCTTCCTTGCTAAGGCCCCGGCTGCTTCAGCAAGGCCAGGGGCTAATTCGGTTTTGGGTGCTACAAAGTACTGAGAATTCTCAAGGCTCTTATGGCCTCTTCCGAAACTTTGTGCCATCTTGCCTGGCACTCACCTGCCTGTCACACTTTGCTCACTGTTGTATCTCTCTGGTTCCTGTCCATTGTCTTGAATTTATTTATTTATTTTTTTACCTTTCCTCCTTATGAACTTCAAATTTTAAGTGCAGATTTACTGTATTTACCAAATGCATCTTTGTTTATTAAAATAATAAATATTTTAACTCTTAGAAATTCTTTTCTGATTTTTAACACAGTGCTTTTCTGTTTGATTTATTTATTTTTGCATGGATTTAGAAAAAGACTTCATGTGAAATATATCTTGGACTATATACTTTAGATAACAGAAGTCAAGAAAAAGTTTCAAAGTATAAAGGAAGTAAGAGTCATAGCTCTGTTAAATTTAATATTAAGTAAATAGTTGATATATTAATTTTGGTTCTGTTTGTAATATGTTCTAAGAAAAATCATTTGTTAAGCCTTTAATCTTGTTAATATGAAATGTTTAAAGGGGTAAGTTCTTTCTGAGGACAGATTTTTAAAAAACAAAAAAAGCAAAATATGTTCTTTTTACGAATTTTTTTTTTTATTTTTTATTTTTTTAATTTTTTTGACAGGCAGAGTGGACAGTGAGAGAGAGAGAGACAGAGAGAAAGGTCTTCCTTTTGCCGTTGGTTCACCCTCCAACGGCCACCACGGCCGGCACGTTGCGGCCTGCGCACCGCGCTGATCAGATGGGAGGAGCCAGGTGCTTCTCCTGGTCTCCCATGGGGTGCAGGGCCCAAGCACTTGGGCCATCCTCCACTGCACTCCCTGGCCACAGCAGAGAGCTGGCCTGGAAGAGGGGCAACCGGGACAGAATCCGGCGCCCCGACCAGGACTAGAACCTGGTGTGCCAGCGCTGCAGGCGGAGGATTAGCTTAGTGAGCTTTGGCGCTGGCCTAAAATATGTTCTTAATGATCATCAAGTCTGTTTAACTATTTCTGCTGAGCACATTTGTATAAAGAGCTTTACTCAAAATCCACAGTCATCCTTGTTTAACCACTCAGATTTTTAAGTTGTTGTTCATAGGTAAAAACGCCATCTTATAAATCATTTTCCAATTTTACTATATGTGCTGCCGAAGCGAGCACCATCTTATAAATCATTTTCAAGTACCATTGTAAACTGTATCCTACTATTTGGTGAATCCCAAATAAACAAAAATAAAATGACTAAAAATGATCTCCATCTGTATCTCCCAACCTCTTGAGTTGGGACATGGTAGTTCAATAGCTTAGAATAATTAGCAGCACTTAAAGAACACATGAATGTGTGATTTGTCAGTTTGTTAACTAGAAAAAAGGAATACACTCACTAAATTCTGAAGGCTCAGGGCTACTGGTTCCAAAGCTGAACTACTTTGAAAACAAACAGGGATAAAGTGGGCAAGGGGTAGGAGGAGATAAAGGTAGAGAGAAGACATTAAGTAGCGAAGGCAAATGAAGGAAGTGACGATTAGAAGTAGCAGACATGTGATGCAGATCCACTGAAAACTAGGGAGAAAACATCTGAGAACAGAACATTAGCCAACACAAGGCATAAGCACTCGTGGTTTCAGTGTGAAATAGTTTTGAAATCTCAATTTTTGAAGGCATTACTATGTTGATCTGAAAGCATACCAAGTAAAGCTGCACAACACCCTGAGTGAATTTGCGATAGTGGGGAGCAGCCCGCCAGTTTGGATTACTGTGGAAGATAATCGTGATGCCACAAGAGTCCCACACGTTAAGTACCAGTCAATATATGTTGCAGACTGAGTGAATAGAGTAACGTTTTGTAAAGTAACATTCTGGATTCAGTCGCTTTAAAATTTTCCAAATGAAAACTGGCCAATCTGGTTTTTTTCTGAAAAATCAAAATAGTGTTATAACACTCTATCTTATTAGAAATGATATATGTACTTAGAATCGCTAAATGACATTTTCTAAACAGTATTTACATAAGCTTAGAACTCTGAAAAGAATTTGAAAGTTAGCATTTGTTTTTCTTACTCTGGTATAAAACCAGACTTTAATTTTCTTTGCAGACATAGTCTCATGAACTAAGTTATATTTTTCTCCACATCTGTTATATATTTAATGTATCAGTTATTTTGGTGACATAATACTTAAATATAACTTAACCTTTGTGGTTGAAGAAAAAGGTGAATTTTATTAGACCAACTTGGTAGATCAGAATAGTTAAAATGTTAGTGTATCTAAGTAATTTAACTTTTGATCACATTTAAATTTCTTTATGAATATTACATCATATGTAAATGAAGAACTTGATTTTCTAATTAAGCAAAACTATAGTACATGTGTGTGTTCCTGAATTTTTGCATTGTTTTCTTATGGTTGATTTTTAGAGAATCAGCGAAGCAATTGCAGTTTTCAAAAAATTACTCTTTTGGTAACAGTTAGAAATCCATACTTTTGCTTTTTAATGCATATTGTAAGGCAAAATAAAGTTTTTTTGTAAGAATTTTATTATATTTCTGATAATATTTTCAATTATAAGAACTGTGAATTTTCTATACTTAATTTACATTAATGATTTTTTATGTCTCCAAATTGAGGCATGAAATATAAAATGAATTATTTGTGGTAAGCATGTATGTTTTTTTTTACTACAAGGTTGTTAAGATGTTCTAGATACTTTAAAGTATGCTTTGGATATTTTATTATTTATGTTAAATATAGGTCAGAAAATTAGATATTTTGCTGTTTCCTATGAACTTGTATAAAAATAAAAGTTTTGTTTTCACTATGCAGTGATTATCACATCATTGCTATTATTTCTTTGGCAAAATAGCAAAAATTCTTGACCAGAAAAGGTAAGACTTGAATCATTTTAAAATACAAAGCAAAACTAGCTATTTAAAATGTTAGTGAATATGCCAAGTACTTCTAAAAGGTGATTTATTGTGAAGAACTTCTTCTTTTTTTTTTTTTTTTTTTTTTTTTTGGACAGGCAGAGTGGACAGTGAGAGAGAGAGACAGAGAGAAAGGTCTTCCTTTGCCGTTGGTTCACCCTCCAATGGCCGCCGCGGTTGGCGCACCGCGTTGATCCGATGGCAGGAGCCAGGAGCCAGGTGCTTTTCCTGGTCTCCCATGGGGTTCAGGGCCCAAGCACCTGGGCCATCCTCCACTGCACTCCCGGGCCACAGCAGAGAGCTGGCCTGGAAGAGGGGCAACCGGGACAGAATCCGGCGCCCTGACCGGAACTAGAACCCGGTGTGCCGGCGCCACAAGGCGGAGGATTAGCCTAGTGAGCCGCGGCGCTGGCCTGTGAAGAACTTTTAAAAGGCAATTGAACCTCAAAATAACTAATTTTTTGTGGTAAAGTAGTACCTTTTTTCTTAAAATATAAGTATTTTATTGAGGATCATATAATATAAATTTGAAAGTTTAAAAGGCATTCTCTTCAGGTTTTTTCTCCCTTTTGTTTTTGTTTTTGTAAATAATGATGGAAGACAGGTTCTCATATAGTCAGGGTAGGTGATGCATAGAAAAAAAATAAACCTTCCATGAAATGCACATGTATCATTTTTTACATATAATTACCTTTTTATTTCACTGCTTAAGTCTAATACAAAGGAAGAGGCTAACCTTACAAGAAATGGAACTTCTCTGTCTGGCCTACACTGTCAGTATTTCTACGTCTCTGGCTGAGACTAAGTGTGTGCTCTCTCTCTCTCTATGCAATGCTGTTCTCTAGTATTTATGGCAGTTCAGAGTCCTGAAGCAGAAAGGCTTGAGTGCATTCTCTATTCTAATTTTTTATTAAAAAAAAAAAAGTAACATTTACCATGTTAACCATTTTTAAGTGTACAGTTTGGTAGTGTTAATTATATTCACATTTTTGTGAAACAGACCTCCAGAACTTTTGCATCTTGCAAATCTAAAACATGTCGTTTTCATGAAATGGTCATCCCCTCATCTGATGGTAACTGCCATTCTTTGTTTTTTCAGAAATTTTACTACTTAAGGTACTCCCGTTAAGTGGAATTATATAATATTTACCTTTTTTGTGACTGTCTTATTTCACTTAACGTATCTTCAAGGTTCATCTTTATTGTAGTGTATGGAAGAATTGCCTTCCTTTTTAAGATGAATATTCTACTGTTTATGTGTACTCTATTCAGATTTTCAGTAAATTTGTTGAATTTGAGCTGAAATCTCAATAGACAGAAACATATTATGCCGTTCGGGTAGATTGCTGCTCTTGGGCGGTGATCTCTAGATTTCTGATTACATGACTCCTCCCTCAAAGCATGAATGACTACTAGCTCCCAGTAAGTGTGTGTTCATGTGTGCTGCGGTTCCCGGTCACAAGCACTGATAGTTTTCTTCCTCTTGCACTCTCTCCTTCCCCAGCTTTGCTCCCCCGCTGCCCTCCCCGCGCCCTGTTGTTTCTCCTTCTTTCCCTTTTCCCATTCCCTTTTCTTTTCTTCGCTTTCTCTCAACCCCTTCTTTTCTCCTTCTCCCCTTTTTCTCACTTAGTAATAAAAAGATCTAAATAGCAGTTGGAATATTTTCCTTTCATATTCCAGTGAATTGTTTCGCACACTTCTCTGTAATTTGAAGGCAAATCACTACAGCACTTCAGTTTTATGGATATTTATGGAGTGTGTTCAAGTTCCTGTGTGAGATGATTAATGGTTCTAGAAGGATCTTAAGGGGCAAACAGTCTTTCTAAAAACCAATGGTACCTTGTCAGATTATTTTCTTGTCATCAGTGTCATTCTTTTTGGATTAAGAAATACCTTCAATTAACTGCTTTTTTAATCTTTTCCTTTTTGGACTCTTGGAAGTTTATTTGTGAAATCGTGTTTCACACATATTTGTGAGGGTTTCTTTTATATGTAATTTGTGTCCATGAGCATTTGTACTTCTCACACTTTTTACCTAAAGAATCTGGATGATAAAAGGAAAGTGAATGTGTAACTTTTGGAAGACTGTGAAATTAGACTCCATTGGCTTACTGAAAGCAAGGGATAGATTTAAAATCTTTTTTATCTTTATATGAATATAAATTTATATGAATATAATTTATATTTGTATTTCTTTCAGCGTTGAATACTTTTTTAATGATTTATTTATTTTATTTAATTGAAAGAGTTACACAGAGAGAGGAAGATACAGAGAAAGAGATCTTCCTTCCACTGGCTCACTCCCCTAATGTCCATAGTGGCTGGGGCTGACCTAAGCTGAATCCAGGAGTCAGGAGCTTCTTCTTGATTTCCCACATGGGAGGCAGGGGTCCGAGCACTTGGACCATGTTCTGCTTTTTTTTGCTTTCCCAGGCACATGAGTAGGGAGCTGAATCAGAAGTGGAGCAGCTGGGTCTTGAACCAGTACCAAAAGGGATGCCAGTGTTGCAGGTGGCAGCTTTTACCCACCACACCACAATGCCGGCCCCTCAACATTAAATGTTTCAACCATCAGTCAAGTAAATTAACTTTTTTGTTCTGCCTCGCATTGGGGCTAAACATGAAGGTCCAGCAAAATGGGCCTTTTGAAGCTTCATGTGCCCCTGTACACTCAGGAGTGGCCCTGTGAACAAGGGTGCCAGGTACTGAGAGGTAGAAAATAAGCCGGTTCTGCTGGTTACTTTTAAGTTCAGTTTTAAAAGCCATGATGTTTTATGTACATTCACAAATTAGTTTCAGTATATCTGACTGGAAATTATAAACTGAAAAAGCAAATCTGAACTTGTAATCTTTAGTCCATCAAAAACGTCTTCCTCAACCGCGGCACACCGGGTTCTAGTCCCGGTCAGGGTGCCAGATTCTGTCCCGGCTGCCCCTAATCCAGGCCAGCTCTCTGCTGTGGCCCAGGAGTGCAGTGGAGGATGGCCCAAGTGCTTGGGCCCTGCACCCCATGGGAAACCAGGAGAAGCACCTGGCTCTTGCCATCAGATCAGCGTGGTGCACCGGCCGCGGCGGCCACTGGAGGGTGAACCAACGGCAAAGGAACAAAGGAAGACCTTTCTGTCTCTCTCTCTCACTGTCCACTCTGCCTGTCCAAAAAAAAAAAAAAAAAAACAACCAACGTCTTCCTCTTAGTTTTGATTTTAACCACAATAATAGGTGTATGTGGTAACAAATCCAGTAGTACAGAAGAACTTTAAAGCACTGTTATCTTTTTTATTTATCTGCACCGCACACTCCTTAGAGTCAGCCTCTTAACCATTACTTCATTTCTATTTTGAATTCTTTTGGGTGACTTTGACAATTCTGAGAAAACCACATTGCCCATTTCTCAGAGTGAGGAAGGGATTTTTTAAGAGAAAGAAGTTGTATTTGTCTGCGCATTCTGTTTTGACATGTATACTTCTAAGGAGTGGTTTCTCTGTATCAAAGCAATTAAGAAACTTATTTTTTGAGTGTATATTAGAAGTTGATTCTTGCTTTCCCTTCCCTTGAATGCCTTGGTTTCTCTTCAGCTACTTTTCTAACCTCTCTACGCTCTTTCTAATTCATAAGCTCTGCCTCCAAGTTTTTCAGTTTAGTTTTAGATTGTGTTAATGTGTACAGCAAATATTATTGTAAACTTGAGTTCTGAATATCAAATGTTAATAAGAAAGAAAAAAACCACATTTAGTCTGACAGTTCCTTTTAAAAGCATTTGAAAACGCAATCATAACGCTTTTTGGTCAAATCTTAGAATACTAATATTTTGTCCATCTTTCCTGTTGTCTGGATTATCAGAATCACTTTGTTAAACTCAGCTTGATATAGGCATGTGCATGCTGTGTCTGCATGCTGCGTAGCTTCCAACAATAAAACAAAATTATATTACAGAGCAGATATTTTTATCCCTTTGAAAGGTAAGTAAAATCTCACTGGAATCACTGAAGGAGAATATTGGTATAACTCAGTAGTGTTGTTTGCCCATAAATTAGATCATGCCTATGTCTGAAGAGCCTTGATTGTTTGCTGGTGATTCGCATCTTGTGACCTAGTATTGATTAAACATTTGTATTACTATTTTTATGCTAATGTCTTTCCTCTTCTAAGGACTAATTGGAGAGTGTTCCCAAAATAAAAAAGTGAAGATTATATATTCACTTTCTTCTTTGGTAATTCCATTTACTAGAAAACTTCACTTCTGAGCCACTTCCATACACTTGAATAAGTCTGATTAGGTAGTTATAGTGCTTGAACTTTATCTTTGCTAACGAGAAGTATGGTTTTATAAGGCCAGGTGATTACTGAAGACTTTCAGAAGTGAGTTGTTGCCTTTAATTAACATTGACATCCCATGGTATTATTAAAGAAACTAAAAGGATGTCGGACATCTCCTTCCATGTTCCTAGATGAATTGTTGACTGATTTACAGACAAATATTGCATCCTGTTATCCTGTATGTGTGTGTGTGTGTGTGTGTGTATAGTAGGTAAGTGAATATTCATTGAGTGAGGGACAATTTGAGGTAAAAGCAAAAGTCACTATACAAAGTGTTTTTGGTCTCTTTTCCCCTACCTGTTACTTGCTCTATAGCTTAATAATCATAATCTTATTGTTTCAGATATACTTGCTTGTAGTTAACCTTAGGTTTTATGTAAAAAAAAGTGAAATAAGTGCAGTGAAAATATTTACTTCAATAACATTTTACTCTCTTTTTATTAGTTTCTTCACTAGTTGAAGAAGGAGAAAAACAGAACAAACGTTTCAGGCCATCAAACATGTCTTGCAGAGCATCTGCCCCACTGAACCCTTCCTCGCCGCCAGGAAGCCGGGAGTCGCTGACGGTCAGGGAGAAGTTCATCCCGCCTGAGCTCAGTATCTGGGACTATTTCATAGCCAAGGTAGTGCAGCGCTGTTCAAGTCAGTGTTCACGTGCTCAAATGCACATGAAGGTTTTTTAAATGAGTGCTACTGCTGGTGTTTCCAAATATTTTCTCACTCTGATTTAGAAAATTTTCATTTATGTCAGCTACATTCCAAAAAATGTATCCTAAAATATTTTCACCATGCTTCCGGTCAGTTTTTAAGGCAGTTTTTAATAAATTGTGATTTTTGCATTTTAAACAGACAAAAGTTGTTAAATCAGATAAAAATAGAACTTGGTTAGCACTTAGGGTTAAGGTACTTGGTAAGTTAAGGAATCAAGACCAGCAGATGTCAAACTGCCCTGGTCATCTCTCAGCCTTACTCATCTTTGTGTATATGTGTGTTTATATGTAGTATAGTCAGTCTTGTATTTTTCTGGTATCCACAAATTTTATTTACCAGTGTTTAGTTAAGTAATGCCCTCAACACAGTTCAAATGAAGTTTACCATGGTATAGTAAATGAATAACTACGTAAAGTACCAACTTCCCTAACAGGGAAGCTCATCATTACACAAACCACCATGTCAGTAACAAATGCACCTCGTGATCAGTGACCAATCATGTGAGGTCTTTCCCTTTTGTTGTTGTTTCATTGTTTTATTAATATAAAGGGAACAGATTTCATATGTATGGTTGTTTTGTTTTGTTTTTTTTGTTTTTTTTTTTTGTTTGTTTTTTTTTGTTTTGGCAGGCAGAGTGGACAGTGAGAGAGAGAGACAGAGAGAAAGGTCTTCCTTTGCTGTTGGTTCACCCTCCAGTGGCCGCCGCAGCTGGCGCACCGCGCTGATCCTAAGGCAGGAGCCAGGTACTTATCCTGGTCTCCCATGGGGTGCAGGGCCCAAGCAATTGGGCCATCCTCCACTGCACTCCCTGGCCACAGCAGAGAGCTGGCCTGGAAGAGGGGTAACCGGGACAGAATCCGGTGCCCCAACCGGGACTAGAACCCGGTGTGCCGGCGCCGCAAGGCGGAGGATTAGCCTTGTGAGCCGCGGCGCCGGCCTATATGTATGGTTGTAAGAACATAATGATACTTTCCACCCTGTCCTATCCTACTTTGAAGTCTGCCACTGATTAATCATATAGCGTCTGTCAGTTCACACAGACAGCAAAGCATGTGGTTGTTTTACTTTCTTATCTCCCATGAAAAACTGATGATATTTTTAAATGAGATAATTAGTAAATGGTTTTGGCCAACTAAGATAAAAAAAAGTACAGAATGAAATTCCAGACATAGTGTTGGCAAAAGCTTTGTTAATGGACTTTACAACATTTTAAGTTCAAAGAATAAAATGCTGGAGATGGATGCAGACTTTGATAAAAGTGTGAGAATTTGTTAAGAAAAAATATTTGCTTCATATCCTAAGTTACAGAATTAGAAGAAGGCAAACTGTTCTAACTACTCTAAAAAAATTTTTTTTTATTTGTTTAATAGGCAGAGTTACAGTTACAGAGAAGGAGAGCTGTAGAGAGAGAGAGAGAGAGAGAGAGATGCATCTTCCATCTGCTGATTCACTCCCCAAATGGCCACTGTGGCCAGGGGCCCAGCCCAAATCCAGGAACTTCAGCTGAGTCCCCCACATGGGTGAAGGGGCCCAAACCCTTGGATTAGCTTCTGCTGCTTTCCAGGTGCCTTAGCAAGGAGCTGGATAGAAAGTGGAGCAGCTGGCACTCACTTAGGTATCCTTATGGGATGCCAGCATTGCATGCAGCAGCTTAACCTGTTGTGCCACAATGCAGGCCCAAACTACTCTTGATAGCTTGATAGCTTTTTACAAATAATTCACTTAATTCTTAGTGTTGCTATGATGCTAGTAGTATTAAATAGAAATTCAAAATTTTTTTTCAAAATTTCCCCTACATTTATAGTCAATGGTAGGAGTTTGTAGTGTTTTGACAGATACTCTTCAGGACCACAGAACACTTAAAATTTTTCCCAGTGATTATTAAGATTTGTTTTGTGGTTTCTGTTTACATGGTCATTGTTGTAGTTCTAAACTACTGTGCAGAGCAGGGATTACCTTTGTATGTCTCTTGCCAAATCCTTCAAACTCCACTTCCAGATGTTTTCCTTCCTTCCATTAATTCACAGATAACGATTCTGATGACATCAGTCTCCCCTGTCTATTAAGCTGTGCCTTTTATTATTTTTGTATTGTGCGTGCTTGTAGGTAATAATGGGAGTTTGTGCCTCCTTGCACCTCACTGCCTTTGCAGTCAATATTGTTTATTAAGTGCTTTATCTATCTGGGAATGTCTGTTTCACCCTCATGTTTGAAGAATGATTCTGCCAGATATAGGATTGTTGGTTAGCAAGGCCTTCTTTAACTTTCTTGTTCCTGGTTTCCTTTTTAAATCTCTGGCTAGTCTGCCTTACCCCTGTCAGGTTAGTTGAGATGTTAACTAATTGCTATTGAGGTTTCTTTTAAAATCAGTTTATTTGAGAAGCAATCAATCTCTCTCGCGCGCGCGTGCACTCACTCACTCACTCTCTCTCACTCTCACACACACGCACACACAGAAAGAGAGAGGGAGCTCCCATCTGCAGATTTACTCCCATTCATCAACCACAAAATAGCCAGGACTGGACTGGATTGGGACAAAGGCAGGAGCAGGGGACTCAACCTAGGTCTCCCACATGGGTGACATTGCCCAATTACTTGAACTTTCACTGTCCCTCCCAGGGTCAACACTAGCAGGAAGCTGGTGTCAGAAGTGGGAGTCAGGTGCTCTGATATGAGAGACATGCATCATAACTGGCATCTTAACTAGGCCAAACCTCTCCTGATTGTGTTTCAAAAAAGCTAGTAGATAGGATTTTTTAATGTTCCCAACACAAGGAAATTATAACTATTTAAAGTGATGGTTATCCCAGTTACTTTGATCTGGTCATTACACATTGTATACATATATTGAAATATCACCTTTATTCTAAAGTATGTGAAGCTATTATATATCAATAAAAATTCTTTAAACATAATTTAAGTGTTGGACATTGTCATACAACATATTAAGCTGTGGCTTATGCTGCCTATGTCCCATATCAGAGTGCTGATTTATTGGAAGCAGCTCCTCTGCTTCCAATCCAGCTTCCTGCTAATGCTCCTGGGAAGATAGTGGAAGATGGCCCAAGAACTTGAGTTCCTGCCACTGATGTCAGAGACCCAGATAGAGTTCCTGGCTCCTGGCTTCAGCCTGGCACAGCCCTGAGTATTGTAAGCATTTGGGCATTGAACATCGATGTCTCTGTCTCTCTGTCTCTCCCTCTTTATCTCTGACTCTGAGCCTTTCAAATAAATAAATCTTTTTTTTTTTTTTTTTTTTTTTTTTGACAGGCAGAGTGGACAGTGAGAGAGAGAGACAGAGAGAAAGGTCTTCCTTTGCCGTTGGTTCACCCTCCAATGGCCGCTGCGGCCGGCGCACCGCGCTGATCCGATGGCAGGAGCCAGAAGCCAGGTGCTTTTCCTGGTCTCCCATGGGGTGCAGGGCCCAAGCACCTGGGCCATCCTCCACTGCACTCCCTGGCCACAGCAGAGGGCTGGCCTGGAAGAGGGGCCACCGGGACAGAATCCGGCGCCCCGACCGGGACTAGAACCCGGTGTGCCGGCGCCGCTAGGCAGAGGATTAGCCTATTGAGCCGCGGCGCCAGCCCAAATAAATAAATCTTTTTAAAAAATGTTTGGGAGCCAGCACCGTGGCACAGTAGGTTAATCCTCTGCTTGCGGTGCCAGCATCCTATATGGACGCCGGTTCTAGTCTGAACTGCTCCTCTTCCGATCCAGCTCTCTGCTGTGGCCTGGGAGAGCAGTGGAAGATGGCCCAGGTGCTTGGGCCCCTGCACCTACGTGGGAGATTGGGAAAAAGCTCCTGGCTCCTGGCTCCTGGCTTCAGATTGGTGCAGTCCTGATCGTTGCAGCCGTTTGGGGAGTGAACCAAGGGAAGGAAGACCTTTCTCCTTGTCTCTTCCTCTCACTATCTGCAACTCTAACTCTCAAATAAATAAATAGTCTTTTTTAAAAAGTTTTTAAAATTTGAAAGAGAGTAGTTACTGTGATGTTCAGAAAGTACAAATCTCAACACTTGTTGCCTATCAAAAACTCACTTGTGACATTCTACTATATTTTCCAGGGCCTGTTAAGACCCTGTCTGAACTCTAATCTGTTGTTTTCTTCAGCCTTTCTCCTGCACTTACTATATTTCTGTGCAAGCTCATGCCAAACCCTATTTTTTATACTAAGTGGTTTCCCATATTAAAGCCTTTCTACATGCCCTTTCCATTGCCTAAAATGCTTTCTTCCTGCTCTTGCTATATAGATGACTATTCCTTTTGTCATTATGTATTGTCACTTAAATGCTTGTTTTAAAAAAAAGAAATTTATTATTAGAGTTGGCTCCTGTCTATGAGTTGACTCCCCCAGTGCCTGCAACATCTAGGGCTGGGCTAGGGCTGGGCTAGGGCTGAAGCCAGGAGCCAGGAGTGTCATCGGGTTTCTTTCCTATTTGAGTGGCAGAAACTCAGTTGCTTGAGCCATCATCGCTGCCTCCAAGGGTCTTCATTAGCACGAAGCTGGATCCCAGAGCTGGGTATCAAACCCAGGTGCTCCGACGGTGGCGTCTGAACCACTGGTCTGAATGCTTGCTTCTTAGATGCTGCTTTTCAGAGTCCTTCCCTGAGGAGCTTATCTCGGTACTACAAATTTCCATCTCAACATTTTTTTAATATTTACATATTTTCTTGAAAGGCAGAGTTACAGAGAACCAGATGCACAGGCAGGGAGAGAGAGAGAGAGAATTCTTCCATCTGCCGGTTCATTCCCCAAATGGCCACAGCACCTGGAGCTGGGCTGATGCGAAGCCAAGAGCTTATTCTTGGTCTCTCACAAGGATGTAGGAGCCCAAGGACTTGGATCATCTTACGCTGCTTTCCCAGGCACATTAGTAGGGAGCTGGATCAGAAGTGGAGTAGCCAGAACTCGAACTGGCACCCATATGGGATGCTGGCATGGCAGGTGGCGGCTTTACCTGCTATGCCACAGCACCGACCCCAGCTTTTTTTTTTTCTTTATGGCACTTAATACAATTTTTATTTAATTGTCTGTATTCTGCCTGTCCTTACCACTAAAATGTAAGCTCTATGAGGGCAGTGACACTATCTGTGTTAAGAATTCTTTCATTAATAATACTTTTTGGTGCATAATGGACCCTTAATAAGTTTTTTGTTGAATGAATAAATACCAGATTTGTGCTAAGTGATGTTAATGTCAAAGGCATAGAACAGGAAATAATAGTTACCTTCTTTGATGAAGTGTCTATAAGTGGGATGAATTGTTATCTCTAGACTAAATGTATTAAATCAGGTATGTGAATAACAGCTTCTTAACTTTTTGAACTTCTTTATTTTAGCCTTTTCTACCCCCTTCCCAAAGTAGAGCAGAATATGACTCAGAGGAGAGTATGGAAAGTGGTGATGATGATGATGACGATGATATTTCAGCTTCAGATTTTCATCTCCAGGAGCATTCTAATTCAAATTCATATAGGTATGGTATACTTTATTTTATATATTTTTAAAAAATCATCATGGCTTACATGAATAATATTTTTGAAAATACTATGAGAAATTAATAGCTTGATGAATTATATATAACACCTTGTGACTTTGAATTCTTTGAAATTGTTAAATTCCTTTACTTAAAATAAATATTCAATTAACTTTTGGTTATCCATTGGTGAACCATTTCTAATTGGAGTCATTTCTCACAAAACTTGATCTGAGATTATACCTTGCCTTTTGGTCTCTATGATATAGAAAGCACACAATTTGAGGCTAGAAAATCTAGTATCTTTTCAGTAGACTAGTAGAACTATCAGATATGTGTTCATCTGTAGCATGCTTTTGAATACTATAAAAATCATAAATGTACAAAATGCCTAATCCTGCTTCATTGCTGCATCACCCTTATGTTTGTGAGTGGTAGCATATTATCTTGTTTATTCATGTGTTGTTCTTATCTGAAAGGTGTATGCATTAAGACATGGGATATTAATGATGAAATAAATTTTCCAAAAGAAAAAATAAGTGTATTGGAGATAATAAAATATTTCTGTATTGAAAAGTTGTTTTAAGATTGTTTTTTACTGCTATGATAGGGATTTTTCCTATTGAAATAATTTTAGGTTTTTAATATATATAATACAGTTACAAGACTGAATAGTTAAACTAGGTAACTCAATAATGGTAGAACAGATGACTGAGTTTTTAAAATGGATTAGGTAGTTAAATAGACATTTCTGTAAAGAAGGTATACAAATGGCTAATAAGCACATGAAAAGATGCTCTAGTAGTTAGGAAGATTCAAATAAAAACCATGGTGATTGGACACCATCACATTTTCATTAAAACAAAACAGCAGTGCTTACAAGGATGGGACAAAATTGGAAACTCTGTGCACTGCTATTGGGAATATAAAATAGTGCAGTTGCTGTGGAAAACTATATGGCAGTTTCTCAAAACATTAAAGATAGACTTTGTGTGTGATCTAGCAGTTCTACTTCTGAACATATATCCCATTGAATTCAAAGCAGGAACTCGAGCAGACATTTGTACATCCACATTCAAAGCAGTATTACTCGTAGTAACCAAGGCATAAAGCTGTGTGAGTATCTGGAGACAGGTGGACATAGAACCAGAATTCTGTGTCTGTGTAATAGAGCATTCTTGAGACTGAAACAGGAAGACTATTCTTGCACATGCGCAGATGAACCTTGAGCATGTATACCAAATGAAATAAGCCAGTCACCAAAAAGCAGATAGCATAGTGTGTTTTTCTGTTTATGTGAGGTGCCTAGAACAGTAGAATAGAGACTGAAAGTAGAATGGTGGTTCCTACGAGGTTTTGGGGATAGATGAAATGGGGAGTTATGATTGGTTGAATATATTGTTTCATTTTTGCAAGACGAAAATATTCTGCCGGCGCTGCCGTAGCTCAATAGGCCAACCCTCTGCCTGCGGTGCCAGCACACCAGGTTCTAGTCCTGGTCGGGGTACCGGATTCTGTCCCGGTTCCCCTCTTCCAGGCCAGCTCTCTGCTGTGGCCACGGAGTGCAGTGGAGGATGGCCCAAGTGCTTGGGCCCTGCACCCGCATGGGAGACCAGGAGAAGCACCTGGCTCCTGGCTTCGGATCAGTGCAGTGTGCCAGCCGCAGCGGCCATTGGGGGGTGAACCAACGGCAAAGGAAGACTTTCTCTCTGTCTCTCTCTCTCTCTCACTGTCCACTCTGCCTGTCCAAAAAAAAAAAAAAAATATGTTGAAGGAAGATGATAGCAATCTTTGCACAACATTGTGAGTGTCCTTTATGCCATTGAACTGTATATTTAAACATGGTTGTGATGGTAAATTTTACATTGTATTTTACTACAATTAAAAATTGCATACCTTAAGAAAGAATACATTATACCAGAAATGAAGAGAAGCTGAAATACCTTTTTAAAAAAGTATCAGATTTTATAAAAATACCTAATCAGAAGCTTGTTTCCCTTCTAATCTCTTCTTTTCATTTTCTGCTCTACATTTTCTACAGCCAATCTTTTTTTGTTGTTGTTGTTAAAGATGTATTTATTTATTTGAAAGAGTTACACAGAGAGAGGAGAGGCAGAGAGAGAGAGAGAGAGATCTTCTATGCGATGGTTCACTCCCCAGTTGACTGCAACAGCCGGAGCTGTGCCAATCCGAAGCCAGGAGCTAGGAGCTGCCTCCGGGTCTCCCAAATGGGTGCAGGGGCCCAAGGACTTGGGCCATCTTCCACTGCTATCCCTGGCCATAGCAGAGAGCTGGATGGGAAGTGTAGCAGCCGGGACTCGAACCGGCGCCCCTATGGGATGCCTGCGCTTCAGACCAGGCCGTTAACCCGCTGCACCATAGCGCTGGCCCCCAGCCAATCGTTTTTATTACCTTTTAGTTTGTCTTTTTGTAAAATATGCAAGTGTACATACAATCTTCATTTTTTTCCTATTATACCCAAATACCCTGTATAAAGTGCTGCAAATTGGTTGTAGTTAATATATACTGGGATTTACTCATATTAACACTTAGAGATCCTTCTTTTTGGTGATTACCCTAATATTCCATAGTTCTAAATTATTTATTTAGCCATACTCTCCTAAGAGGTTGATTATTGTTCTCTTCTGTCATAAACAATGCTGACATGAGCAAGAGAAAATGCGTGTATATGTTAACTTGTGTGTGTGTGTTGAGTTATATCTTCAGGGTAAATTCCTGGTAGTAGAATTGTTGGGCTGAAGGGTAGAGTACTTTTTAAAAATCCTTATGTAAGTACTTAACAAATCTTTTGTTGCTTTTTTTTTTTCAGCTGGTCACTGATGCGATTGGCCATGGTACAATTGGTGCTGAACAATCTGAAGACTTTTTATCCCTTTGCAGGCCATGATCTTGCAGGTAATGAATGTCTCAATGGAAACAATGCTATTATTTTTCAGTTCCTATTTTGTATTTTTTTAAGTGGAGGAGAAAGTTTCATGACTTCCTGTTGTAGAAGTTAGGTTTCTTTTAATAAACCAACCACTTATAAAAATGTTTCTCATAGTTTAGTTGCTCAAAGAGGCCAGTGTCTAAGAAATCAGGCACTGAACCTGATGTGATGGGCTATATTGCGATTCTGTAGTTCCAGCCCAGTGTTGTGATGATATTTCATACTAGTAGTGAAATAGAAAAGTAATCAAATACAAAAAAGGCAGTTATTAACTCCACAGGAGGAAAAGATTGTACAGGACAGGTAAGAGCATGGTAATGTATCAGATGGCTGAGCTCTGAACTGTATTTTCTAACATATGTGAAGGTAAGCACTAAAATACCAGTTTAACCATAGTTTTACATCACTCTTTTGGAATAATGGAGAGAATAGCTCATATGCGTATTTTGTAGTAGTAAATTAATACATTGTTTCTAAAAATAAAAAGTCAAGAACTATCAGTATAAGCATGTTATGTAGATATAGGAAAGTAAATTGCAGAAATAGCTAAAAATTTAAAGTGGGATCAGGACTCAGGAGCACAATAGGGTAGAATTGGGAAGTGCTGAGTTTTATGGCAAATATTCAGCTTTATGTACTTTGTGTATTTTCATTAAACAAATCAGTTTTCCTCCCATACATATTTTCATAATCTTCATTTATATTTTTTATGGGACATTAAGGTCAGAGGTATAATGTTAAAATATACAATGTTGTGCCATCTTTTTAAATTCATCCTATTTTCATATTTCCATGTGTACCTGTCTTTCCACATCTCCCCTGCCAAGGTATGGGTTAATATTATGATTCTTCAGTTCTTCAAAAAGTTAAGTGAAAAGGTATATTATAAAAAAACTATGCAGGAGGATTCCAAGATGGCGGAATAGGAAGGGAGTTTACTGCTCTAGTCTAGGGTGAGATAGTTTAAATAAAAAGTGGAGAGAATGAAGTCTCGGGAAAAAGTTAGGGTAAAAACTGGAGAGGAAACTCCAGGCATATTAGAGGGACACTGTAGATCTACATGGAGGGTGTGAATGTCCAGAACTCAGGACCCAAGCAGCTGATGGCCCAGCACCAGGTTTGGAGACTGAGGTGAGACCAGACTGCAGCAGTACAAGCCAGTGGCTATAAAGCTGCTGGAAAAGCCTGGTGTGAGTCTGGATTAGAACCACTCGGGGGACAGTGTACCTGCCAACCTAGAGGAAAAGAAGGGGGTACATTTGTCTCCCCAGCCACCTGGCACCAGAATCCTGTAACTAACTCAGTGGGTGGGGCTCCAGTTTGGGCATATGTAATAGCTGTGTCAGCTTGTCTTTGTGTGTCCAGCAACCAGCAGAAAGGAGACAACTGAATCTGGCTGGGAGAATTCATGGGCGGGGGGGAGAGGGAGGGGACTGGGTGCTCGTGACTGTAGGAGCCTTGCATGCTGGGACTGTGAAAACACTGTGGCTGCATGGGAGGACGCAGGGTATGACTGGATCTGTGGGCATTAACTGTGGACAGATCCACGTACTCGAGGATCCCTGATTTCCTGGTGAGGGTTATTGCTGCAGGATCCATTCTCACACTGAGCACTACACGGATCCTTAGAATGATTTTTGTGGCAGCATGGATGAATATTGTAGGAACTGGGGCTAGCGCCCAAGCATTGGTCTCCTCTGAGGAGAGGAGGTGAGCATGAGACTATGCCAACAGAACAGAACAAGCCTCCCCTCTGATTAAAAAAAGAGAGAGAGAGCTTTAACATGCCAAGCCTAGTGTGGGTGTCACCTTGGACACTCCCCTCTAACTAGAGCATTGAACAGAACTCCCTGGTCACAGCCAGCACATGCCTCTGGATAGTCACTAAAAGAGCAGACCCTCCACTAAGCCACAGAGGCATAGTCCAAAGATAAAAGCCATCACAAAGGAAAAACAAAACAATACACAATGTATCTCCACAAATGCCTAAAAATAAATGCAGCAATTCAAGAAGTAAGAGTAAGGAAGACAACCTGATACCCCCAAAGGAACATAACAACGTTTCAGTACTAGAATGTGAAGATGAGATTGAAGAAATGCCAGAAACAGAATTCAAAAAATTAATGGTAGGGTTAATCAAAAGCAGTCAGAAGCAGATCCACGAATTAAAGAAATCTATACATGACATGAATGAAAATTTATCTCATGAAATTGAGATTTTAAAGAGAAATCAAAATGAAATATTCGAGATGAAAAATTCATACATCAAATAAAAATGTGGTGGAGGGGCTGGCACTGTAGCATAGCAGGTAAAGCCTCTGCCTGCAGTGCCAGCATCCCATATGGGTGCTGGTTCGAGTCCCAGCTGCTCCACTTCTGATCCAGCTCCCTCCCATGGTCTGGGTACGCAGTAGAAGATGGCCCAATTCCTTGGGCCCCTGCACCCATGTGGGAGACCCAGAAGAAGCTCCTGGCTTCAGATCAGCACAGCTCTGGCTGTTGCAGCCAATTGGGAAGTGAATCAGTAGATGGAAGAACTTTCTCTCTGCCTCTCCTTCTCTCTCTCTGTAACTCTTTCAAATAAATAAATAAATCTTAAAAAAAAAAAAAATGTGGTGGAAAGCCTTAACAATAGACTTGATGAGGGAGAAGAAAGAATATCTAAGAGGACAAGTCTCTGGAAATTTTACAGTTAGACCTCAAAAAAGTAAGAAGAAATTAGGAAACTAAAAAAAAGTGTTGGAGTGTCGCTCCCCCTCTTCGTGGAGGAACGACACAAGACCCTGCGCTGTTCTTTCGTCTGCTCGGCCCTTCCCGGGTTAGCTGCTGGTTCTTCCCGGGTTGGCTACCGTCCCTTCCACCTCCGTGGAAGGGCGGTTCCCCCTGCCACTTTCCCCACTTCCGCGGGGGAGCGGCACACCGCTGGCCGGCTCTCTCGGGGGCTGCACAGGTGTTCCTTCAGATAGATGTTCCTGGTGCATGTTGTCTCTCTCCTCCTTTATAGTCCTCTTCCACCAATCCCAACTCTGCTACCCACACGCCGAGTACGCTGCTCTCCTCCAATCAGGAGCAGGTCCTGCTGCTTATGCTTATTGGCTGAACTGGAGGCAGCTGTGTAGAAGCTGTTTCCTCCTCTCCCAGCGCCATATTGTGGGAGAGCAGATGTATAGAATAAGTCTTAATTCCAGTAACAGTCTAGTCCGAGTTGCTCCCCACATTGGAGATTTATGGAAATCTATCAAACAACCCAATATACAGTTCTTAGGCATTCCTGAAGGTATGGGAAGAGAAAATTGATTAGAAGGCCTTTGTAGTGAAATAATCACAGAAAACTTCCCTAGTTTAGAGAAAGGACCTCCAAGTACAGGAAGCACATAGAGCTCCTAATAGGCACGACTAGAAAAGATCTTCACCATGACACATTGTAGTCAAACTCTCCACAGTAACACATAAAGAAAAGATTCTAAAATGTACATGAGAGAAACACCAGATTACTTTCAGAGAATCTCCAATTAATCACAGCAGACTTCTCATCAGAAACTCTACAGGCTAGGAGAGAATGGCAAGATATATTCCAAGTCTTAAGAGAAAAAAACTCAACCCAGAATACTATACCCTGCAGAGCTCTCATTTATGAATGAAGGTGAAATAAAGATCTTGCATAACAAATAGAAATTCAAAGAATTTGTCACCACTCATCCATCCTGATAAAAGATGCTAAAGGATATGCTACACACAGAAACATGGTCATCACTATGAAAAAGGTGAAAGCAGAAAATCTCCCAGTAAATGTACAAAGAAAATACAAGGTAAGCAATAGGAATGTTTATGGAAAAATGGCAGGGTCAAGTGGGTACTTATCAGTAGTCACCTTGAATGTAAATGGCATCAACTCCCAGTTAAAAGATAAACCGGCTGGCTGAAAGGATTAAAAAACAGAACCCATCTTTTTGTTGCCTATAAGAAACACATCTCATCAACAGCATTGCATGCAAACTGAAAGTAAAAGGATGGAAAAAGATATTCTATGCTATAGAAACTTAAAAAAAAAGCTGGTGTAGTCATCCTAGTATCAAACAAAATAGACTATAACACAAAAGCTGGTAAAAGAGACAAAGAAGGAATCTCTAGAACATATGCAAGCACATGGAGACCGAACAACATGCTCCTGAATGAACAGTGGGTCACAGAAGAAATCAAAAGAGAAATCAGAATCTTTCTGGAAATAGATGGGGACAACATTACAACATATCAAAACTTATGGGACTCAAACCAGTGCCCGTATGGGATGCTGGTGTCACAGGTGGCTGCTTAACCCTGCACCACAATACTGGCCCCATTATCTTTGGCGATCTTGAAGTTGCATGTAGAATTTTGCTTCAGAAGATGAATGTGAATCAATTCTATTTTGTTTCTTTTAGAACTTCCAGTTAGTTCACCTCTTTGTCACGCGGTTCTAAAAACTCTTCAGTGTTGGGAACAAGTTCTTTTCCGACGCCTTGAAATCTATGGTGGGCCACCTCAAAACTATATTGCAAGTCATACCTCTGAAGAGGGTTTATCTGCAGGTCCTGCAATTCTTCGCCACAAAGCTTTGTTGGAACCTACAAACACTCCTTTCAAGTAGGTATTCCAATGGGTATTGTTTTTAGTTTCTTTTGTTTTGTTTTAGTAGCTAAACCAGGGTGTTGTACAGAATAATTAGAAAAATGTTTAAGGCCTGTGATTAATTTTTTTCTTCTAGGCTCATATCTGTGTCTTTGTGTAATGCACATGGTAGTATAGAGGTTAGGAAACTTTTCTCACAAAGGTAGAGGTTGTGAAATTTTAGACTTTTCAGAATGTTTTATCACAGTGACTGTGCCCCTGCATTCTAGCATGAAAACAACTACAGACAATAGATAAGTGGATAGGCTTGATTCAATCCAGTAAACCTTATTTTTGAAAATGAGAGTCATACTAGATTTGGTTTGTGAGCATAGTTTATGACACTTACTCTATAGCAATGCTGTTGACAAAAGCTGGTTAGGAAGTGTTGACTCTCTAGGAGGAAGGAAGTCTGACTCAAAAGGGAAATCAGTGCCTTGCTACAAAAATGTTAGCTGATTTAATCAATACACTTTAGTGGCTTTGTGGTGTGGATGATTTACATTCTTAAAGAAACTCTGTTCATTGCTGTTTGGTAACGAAGAGTTTGGACTGGTTTGTGTCTGGGGACAATTTGGGTTTTAGATGACTGTCTCTTTGGAGTCAAACTGTTCAGGCCCTCCTCCTGCTTTTGTAAATGAAATTTTATTGGATCACAGCCATATCCATCACTTTCATATTACACAGGGAGCTTTTCTTATGTGAAGTGCTTCGGATCAGAAGGATTTTAGATTTCAGAATTTTTTTGATTCTAGAACATGTCCACAGACTTTACTGATTGAAAATCTGCAATCTGGAGTGCTCCAAAATCTGAAACAATGTGTGTTGTCAACATTCAAAAAGTTTCAAAGGTCAGACAGTGGATGCACAGACTATACCTATGATTTCTCTACAGTAGATGAGTTGAGTGGTTGTGATGGAAGCCATGCATATTTAGACCCACAAGGCCTAAAATATTTATGATCTTTTTTTTTTTTTTTTTAAGATTTTATTTATTCAGTAGTCAGTTACACAGAGAGAGGAGAGAGAGGTCTTCCATCCAATGGTTCATTCCCCAATTGGCTGCAATGGCCAGAGCTGCGGTGATCCAAAGCCAGGAGCCAGGAGCTAATTCTGGGTCTCCCACATGGGTGCAGGGGCTCAAAGACTTAGCATCTTCTACTGCTTTCCCAGGCCATAGTAGAGAGCTGGATCAGAAGAGGAGCAGCCGGGACTAGAACCAGCATCCATATGGGATGCCAGCGCTTCGGGCCAGGGTGTCAACCCACTGTGCCACAGCTCCAGCCCCTGATCTTTTTCTTGAAGAAAAAGTTTGTTAACTGCTTACCTACATTGTGTGGTCTGATGCTAGTTAACTTACTGCAGTAAGCATTATGTGGGTTAAAGAATCATGATTAAGTTATTCAGAACTCTGAAGTGTATAAATTTCCTGTCTCTCTAGATCCAGACACCACCTGGCACTGTCTGTGAAGAGACTTTGGCAGTATTTGGTGAAGCAGGAAGGAATTCAGGAAACCTTTATCAGAAATATATTCACAAAGAAACGATGTCTGAATGAGGTCTGTATAAGTTAAAGCTTGCTTACTATTTTATTGTTAAAGTTTTTATCACATTACTATTAAATATGTTTTTCACAAATTTTTGAAAACTCATTCTTATGTCACAAACATATAATTAATGCTTAGATAAATAATGCAAAAGGAGAATGGCAGTCTTTTCTTAAATCAGTTTAATTTAGAGTGAATCCAAGTGTAGAAGTATTTGAAATTTTGTTTTTCTTGAAAAGATATTAAGAATCTTTATCTTATATCCTGTGCTTTGTCATGATCCCTAGTTGAAAACAAAGAAATCTCCTGTGATTTTCATGTAACAGTTAGCAGGTTATAGGTAATCTTAGAAGTTCAATTCAGACTAGTTTGTATACTTGAAACATTTTAAATAGGTGCATTTTCTTTGTATTCTGTAGACTATTTTTAAATGAAATTTTACAGACTCATAGTTAGCTGTAAGTGATTGATTATACCATGAAATTATCGTTATAATGGTTATATGGTCATTTTGTTCAGTACTATTAATAATAACAGTTTGATGAAATGGGATATTTGCATCTGAAAGTAAATTAAATTAACATCTTGTTTACTTTTTGGGGAAAATTTTGCTATTAAACCGTAGAAGTGATACAGTGGTTCTTTACCTCTCCATACCAGTAACAAAGAGTTTAAAACTAGCAGCTGGTCTGTGGACCATATCTTGAATAGACTGAACTAGTCAGAAAGCAGATTTTAAACGGTTTTTGAAGTGGGAGGAAAAGTAAAAGATAATTCAGTTGGAATAATAAGGAAAAAGGATGGCTTCACAATAAATAGGTACTAAGCAGAAACCTTCTTGAATAAAAGAAAGCCTACCCACTTGAATAAAAGGAAACTTCCACATATATCTCATTATTTCTCAATTTAAACATCAATTTAAAAGAGGCAGCTGCATATGGTGTTATTTACAGTTTGACTTTATGACCAGCCAGGAAACATAATACTGGTAGGACATTGTTAAACTGAAAATCCTGTGTCCAAAACTTTCTGAACTCTGTTACTTGATATAACACTGACATCTTGGCAAACATTATTACATCATTACAAAACATCGTTACAAAAAATGAAATATACATCATTACAAAACATCATTACAAAAAATGAAATATATGTCTTAAATATTAATATATGAGTTTCCATTAAAACAGATCCAGATAAAATGTAAAATGAATGTGAAATGAGAAGAGTGTAGGACTAATTAGAGTATGTTTACTGGTCAGGTTTCCTACTTTTTTTTCAAATATATAGTTGACTAAAATATTTTTTACAAGTTTTAAAATGTCCTGCTTTCTTCTACATAAAAATTTTGTTTACTTTGCCTGTTTCTTGTTTGTTTTATCTGGAATATTTAAGAATATCAATATGCAGACTTTGTGTAGTTGTTGTAGGCATAGAATCGTTGAGGGAATAGAGCAATTTAACCAAACCAGAATGCATAAGCAAATGATAAATACCACTCCAAATGAAAAAAACTCCTCTGTGATTTGATTTTTAATTTTCTTTGGAGTCCCATAAGATTTTCAGAAAATTTTAAAATTATTTTTATTGTAATTATATTAATCAAAAACATGGACATAGTGTTTGAACTAACAGTTTTGTAATTTTAGTAAACTAAGTATTTTTCCTGAAAATTAATTTCTGTATCTGCAAAATTACTATACTACCTGTTGGCAACTTTTGGATTACTAGATTTAATTTATCTAAACTATATCACTGTTGATGGTAATTATTAGAAATCTGTTGTTACTGCTTAGCTGTTTTATTTTTGATGGTAATACTCTTAACCCTTGATGTTTCATTGTCCTTTATTATAAAGAATTAAATTGAGTGATAAATGTACCACTTACAATAACTTTGAAATACATAGTATGTCATTGAAATATACACAGAACTGAAAACTTGGGGCTTAATGAGTTAAAAGTAAAACATAGATTAGATGGAATTAAATAGAGTTGGTATAAAATTATTTATCTTTACTGGTAGTTTGTCCAGGACATTTTTGGTATTAGCACAGTTACCGTTCCATTTCTTATTTTATACAATGATTGTGCTTGGTCTAAGTCATGTGACTTTTCAGATAGTTAAGAAATAAATATATGATTGGCCATATATTTCAGGTGAGAGATGAGAGAGAGTATTTTGAGACTGCTGCTGTTTGTTTATTGCTTTATGTGTTTGAAAGTGAAATTTTACCATTCCTTCATCTGACCTTCAAATCGTATCCACTAAAAAAGATCTTTTCTTTTCTTTAGTGGTTTAGTAGTACATAGATTTTAAAAATGAAACGTCTTCCCTATTTGTACTTGTTTCAAAATTAAGTAGATGATGGCAAATTAGGTCATTCCCAACCAAAAATTTGGGACTTGACAACTGCCATCTTATCCGCAGTGCTTCTTTCGTTTTTATTTTCTGAAAAGAACTGAAGGTCTTGAATCAATCAACTCCTTAACAAGCGTTTACTTACATCTCCTTCCACGAGGGATATATGCCCCCAAGCAGTTTGTTGACTGGTTCTGGCGAAACAAGTAGAAGAATTTTAGAAAGGTGGAGGTTGAAATTGTCTTGCCTACTTCTGGCTAAGTCAGAGGAACAGTTTTATAAAGTTAGAGACTGAAATTTTCTAACCAGATGTTCTCCTGATGGGTCAGATGCCATGGAGATAAGACATACTAGTTGTGAGAGCACAGTTTGATTTTTTCAGTTGATAACACTATGGCACCAGTAGCTCTGAATTTTGTACTACAGAATGCTTTAGGCTTAATCTTGCTTTAACATCAACATTTCAAAATAAATTGAGTCACAATTTATTAGGAAGTAGAATAAAACTTAAACTGAAGATTATGGAATTCTAAGGATTGATTTTCCCCTCATTCCCTATCCATGTACCCTCTGCATGTCCTTTTAAGGTGTATGAACTTAACAATAAAAACTCAGTCCACTGTTTTCTTCTGGGAAATTTGGTTAAAAACCTAACTTAAAAATCCTTAGTATTTTACATGTTATATCTCGCCTTTACTCTTTGTCATGTGGTTATTCTTTCTTGATGAAGTCATTAGAGGACAGCAGTGAAATCATCAAAAATTCTATGATGGAGGAGCCAAACATCAATAAGGTACAATATAACATTCAACTGAAATTAGAAATTGCATTCTTTAGTAGGAAGAACAAAGCATATGCATTTTAATTGTAGACCAGACTTTGTTTCCAATGAAATTAATGTAGTGTTCCTTAAATTATTGTCCCTTTAACAACTTAAAAATTTAGTCATAAAAGTTGTTGCTATTTTGTTAAGTAAGAGAATGCAATTTTAAAGGGAGTTGAATGTAACCTGTTTTTGGCTACAGATTTTTCTTTGTAAATACAGCTAATGTTGCTGATAAATGTAATTACAATAGTAGCAATTTTAGAAGTACAATAACCATGTTCCATTTCTGCACTTAACACTTTTGATGTTATAGTCTTGACATTAATTCATAAAAGTACAGCAAATACTATTACATAGCACTCACTGTATGGATAGGAATCTGTTTGTGCAGTAAGTACACACAGTACTCAAGAAACAAAGCACAAAGCATGAGAATCTGTACCACCATGAAATACCTTCAGGATGCTCTGGGATTGCACATGTAAACTTATTCGTGTGGTAGTTAACTCACGTTTTTCATTTTCTGTATGATTCACTGACTTTAAGATAATCCTGGGGCCAGCACTGTGGCTCACTTGGTTAATCCTCAGCCTGCGGTGCTGGCATACCGTATGGGCATCAGGTTCTAGTCCCAGTTGCTCCTCTTCCAGTCCAGTTCTCTGCTGTGGCCCGGGAAGGCAGTGGAGGATGGCCCAAGTGCTTGGGCCTTGCACCAGCATGGGAGACCAGGAAGAGGCACCTGGCTCCTGGCTTCGGATTGGCATCGCTCCGGCCATAGCAGCCATTTGGGGGATGAACCAACGGAAGGAAGACCTTTCTCTTTGTCTCTCTCTTTCTCACTAATTCTGTCAAATTAAAAAAAAAAAAAAAGTCCTAGCATGTGGGGAGCAACCCGGACTGGACTGAGTTACTGGAATTAAGACTTATTCTATGCATCTGCTCTCCCACAATATGGCGCTGGGAGAGAAGAAAACAGCTTCTACACAGCTGCCTCCAGTTCAGCCAATAAACTGTAGGACTTGCTCCTGATTGGAGAGCAGCGTACTTGGCGTGTGGGCAACCGAGTTAGGATTGGCGGAGGAGGACTATAAAGGAGGAGAGAGACGGCATGCACCAGGAACATCTAAGGGGAACATCTGAGGGAACACCTGTGCAGCCCCCGAGAGAGCCGGCCGGCGGTGTGCCGCTCCCCGCGGGAGTGGGGAATGTGGCAGGGGGAACCGCCCTTCCACGGAGGTGGAAGGGATAGTAGCCAACCCGGGAAGGACCAGCAGCCAACCCGGGAAGGGATGGTAGCCAACCCGGGAAGAACCAGCAGCAAACCCGGGGAGGGCCGAGCAGACAGAAAGAACAGCGCAGGGTCCTGTGTCGTTCCTCCACGAAGACGGGGAGCGACATAATGGTGCCGTGACTCGGATATGAAGCCTAGGCAGGGTTTGGTGTCGTTCCCCCACGAAGACGGGGAGCGACACTAGCATAGTGATTTTTAGTGGAAAATTTTCAGGGAACAGTTTTTTAAGGCCGCTTATTCCCACCTTTCATCTTTTTTTCCTGAAGGGATATTTTCATAAAATACAAGAAACAGTTCCATATAGTTAATAAAAATGACATTTGATACTGAGCACATATTATAGCTAAAACTTGGGCAGAATAAATATATGTAGTCTACACTTTAAAGTTTTCTTATGACCATTAAGAGTTTTGAGAGGATATGATTTAAACTTTTAATCTCTTGATTTTGCTTACCTGGTAATGATTACTATAATGTACACATTATCAGGAATTCTTACCCCAGGATTTTTCTTTTGATACTGTTTATAAAATATTAATCATAAACGTATTTTTTTAAAAAAATCTTATTTATTTTTTAAGAGTCTCAGAGAGGGAGAGACAGAGAGATCTTCTATCCAGTGATTCACTCCCCAGATGGCAGCAGTATCCCAGGCTGGGCCAGGCCAAAGCCAGAAGCCAGGAGCTTCATCCAGGCCTTCCTACAGGTGACAGGAGTCCAAACACTTGGGCCATCTTCCATTGCTTTTCTCAGGCCAGTAGCAAGGAGCTGGATTGTAAGTGAACCAGCCAGGACAAAAACCAGCACCCATATGGGAAGCTGGTATCACACACAGTGGCTTTACCTGCTGTGCCACAATGCCAGGCCCATAAAGTTCTGTTTCTGTCTTCATCTCCATGCTGCATCAAAGTGTTTGGTTAACATCATCATCATTCTGGCCAGCGTTTTCCAAGCTCTGTGGTACATTTAAAACAACAACATCAACAACTTGGACAGGCATTGTGGCACATTGGGCTAAGCTATCATTTAGGATGCCCACATCCCATAGCACGGTGCCTGATCTGAGTTCCACTGCTCTGCACTTCCGATCCAGTCTCTCGCTGACGCTCCTGGGAGGGAGCAGATGGTGATCCTAGTACTTACATTCCCATACATGTCTCCCAGTACGGACATATGCTTTCATTCCTGTTTTTGTGAATGCCCAGGAGTGGAATGCCTGGATCAAGTGGTAGGTTTGTAACTTTTTAAGTAATTGATCAGTACTTTACTGCGTGGTTGTACTGTTCGACTCGCAGTCTCTGAAATGCCCGTTACTTCACGTTCTCGCTAACACTTGGTGTAGTCAGTTCTTTTATTTTAGTTATTTTATGAGGGGTGTACTGGTTTTAACTTGTGGTTTTAATTTGTACTGAGCAACTCTCATGCTTGTTTGTCATTTGTGTCTTCTTGGGTGAAGTGTTTAAGTCTTTCTCATTTTTATTGGGTTACTTTTTTTCTTGCTTGAATCTTCATAGTTATTTATATACTCTGGATAAAGGCCCTTTTATCAGAGAGTGGTGTGCAATTATTTTTTGTTTCTGGCTTGTCTTTTTGTTGTCTCTATAGTGTAATTTGAAGTGCAGAATTTGTATAGGCCTAATACATCAGTGTGTTCTCTGTATGATTTTATTTTTGCTGTTGAATTCAAGTCTTTGCCTAAACTAAAATAACAAAGATTTCTTTCTGTTTTGTTGCAGATGTTTTTTGATGTTACATTTATGTCTGTAATACATTTTCAATTTTTAAAATAGTGTGAAGTATATGAATCTCAATTCCTTTTTTTAACATTTTTTTATATTTTTTATATCAATTGTGTTCCAGCACTATTTGTTGAGACTATTATCCTTTTTTCCACTACATAATTGCCTTTTCCGCTTTTACAAAAATCTGTTAACAGATTTGTAGGTCTATTTCTGGATTCTCTCTCTTGGTCCATTGATCTGTTTGTCTCTATGTTAATAGCCTACTGCCTAGACTACTGTGGCTTTATCATATATCTTAAAGTCAGGTAATGTAAGTTCTTCAAATATTTCCTTTTGAATTTATTTTTTGTTTTTGCCTTATCACATTGAAAGGAAATTCCAGTCCATTGTTGAGTTGAATTGATAAGAGCAGATATTTTATCATTTCTTATCTTTGGAGAAATCGTATTCAGTCTTTGATTACTAAGTACTGGTGACTTTTATGTTTGTTGTAGATGCCCTTTATAATCTTGAGTAAAAAATTTCTTTGTATTCTTAGCTTGTTCAGAGTTTTCAGTCAAGAATTGGTGGTAAATTTGCTGCTTTTTTTGTGTGTGTGTGGCTAGGATTGAGATCATTGTATGGTTTTTGTAGTCTTTTAATATAGTAATGTAGGTTGGTGGATTTTTTTAGAAAAGATTTATTTACTTATTTGAAAGTCAGAGTTACACAGAGAGAAGAGAGGCAGAGAGAGAGAGGTCTTCCATCCACTGGTTCACTCCCCAATTGGCCGCAGCGACTAGAGCTGTGCAGATCCGAAGCCAGGAGCAAGGAGCTTCCTCCAGGTCTCCCACGTGGGTGCAGGGGCCTAAGGACTTGGGCCATCTTCTACTGCTTTCTCAGGCCACAGCAAAGAGCTGGATCAGAAGAGGAGCAGCCGGGACTAGAACCGGCGCCCATATGGGATGCCGGCGCTTCAGGCCAGGACATTAACCTGCTGTGCCACAGTGCCAGCCCCCAGATTTTTTTTTTTTTTTTATGTCAAGTCAGACTTACATTCCTAGGAAAATTTTCCCAAGTGATGGTGATTTATTGTCCATTTTACATTTTATTAGATTAATTTGTTAAAATTTTAATAATTTTTTCATTTAGCTTTGTAGGGAATATTAGTTTATAGTTTTCGTTTTGCCTTTGTGTTAGATTAATGATGGCCTCTCAACGTAGGTTGGCAAGAATTCTCTGCTCTTTAAATTCGGGAAGAGTTAATATTATTTCTTCTGTGTTTGGTATTATCATGGAGCTTTTTTTTTTTTTAAAGACTTATTTATTTTGGGCCGGCGCCGTGGCTCACTAGGCTAATCCTCCGCCTTGCGGCGCCGGCACACCAGGTTCTAGTCCTGGTCGGGGCACCGGATTCTGTCCCAGATTGCCCCTCTTCCAGGCCAGCTCTCTGCTGTGGCCAGGGAGTGCAGTGAAGGATGGCCCAAGTGCTTGGGCCCTGCACCCCATGGGAGACCAGGATAAGTACCTGGCTCCTGCCATCGGATCAGCGTGGTGCGCCGGCCACAGCGCGCTGGCCGCGGCGGCCATTGGAGGGTGAACCAACGGCAAAGGAAGACCTTTCTCTCTGTCTCTCTCTCTCTCACTGTCCACTCTGCCTGTCAAAAAAAAAAAAAAAAAAAGACTTATTTATTTAAAGTCAGAGTTACAGAGAGAGAGAGAGGTCTTCCATTTGCTGGTTCAGTGCCCAATTGGCCGCAATGGCCAGAGCTGCACCGATCCAAAGTCAGGAGCCAGGAGCTTTTTCCAGGTCTCCCATGCGGGTGTAGGGAGGGCTTGGGCCATCCTCTGCTGCTTTCCCAGGCCATGGCAGAGCTGGATCGGAAGTGGAGCAGCCAGGACGCTAACCGGCACCTGTATGGGATGCTGGCACTGCAGGCGAAAGCTTTACCCACTGTGCCACAGGGCTGGCCCAGAGTTTGTTTGCTTTTTGTTTTTAATCAGAGTTCTATTTGTTTAACAGATATAGAGCAATTCAGATTATTTATTTATTTTGAAGTGAGCTTTGCTAGATCATATATTTCAGGAAATTTGTTTATTCATTTCTGTTATCAGAGTTATTGGTTATACATAATATTCAATATTTTGAGTATTGATATTATTATATGTTTGCTTCCCATTCCCTTCCAGGTGTGCCTTTGATAATCCTTAGTTTTTTTTTAATGTTTTTCATGTTTGTTTTATTGTGTCACTAGAGTTGTATTGAAGTACTCCAGTTACACATGTTTATGTTGTAGAAATTACTGTTAACTGAAAATTACTAATAAGACCTAGGGTCTCAGTTTAGCTTCTCCATAGGTCTGTGTGACCTTGGACTCATTCTATCATTGGAACCTTCTTACTTAGCATGTGAAGTCAGAATTGATCATTTTAAACCCGCTGCTTCTTTAATGGAAATAGTGGTAAAATCTTGGAGTTACCTGTTAGAGCTACAATCTCTCTTCTTCTTGTATGAAACCCAAGCCCTTTTAAGATGAGTATCTGCATAATCTCTTCTTTATAATTGTGAAAAAATTTTAAAAACATGTCAGATTTGTCATTTTAACGATTTTAAATGTACATTTCACTAGCATTAAGTAGGGTGATATTGTTACACAACCAGCACCACCACATGTCTCCAGAATTTTTTCATCCCCTCAGCCCAGAATTCAGACTTCCCAGGTGCAGCAGGCCTGTCCCCACCTCCAGCCAGCTGTTAACCTGCAAATAGTGGACTCTTCTGTTTTTGACTTGCGGATATTTTCTTTCTTTGTGTCAAGTTTCTCCAAAACCTAGTGCTGGACAATTAGTGTTACTTTAGGCACCTGTCAGATAGGTGTGTCGCTCCCCGTCTTCGTGGAGGAACGACACAGGACCCTGCGCTGTTCTTTTGTCTGCTCGGCCCTCCCCGGGTTTGCTGCTGGTTCTTCCCGGGTTGGCTACCGACCCTTCCACCTCCGTGGAAGGGCGGTTCCCACTAGCCACTTTCCCCACTTCCGCGGGGGAGCGGCACACCGCCGGCCGGCTCTCTTGGGGGCTGCACAGGTGTTCCTCTTAGATGTTCCCTCTTAGATGTTCCTGGTGCATGTTGTCTCTCTCCTCCTGTATAGTCCTCTTCCACCAATCCCAACTCTGCTACCCACACGCCGAGTACGCTGCTCTCCTCCAATCAGGAGTAGGTCCTACAGTTTATTGGTTGAACTGGAGGCAGCTGTGTAGAAGCTGTTTCTCCCTTCTCAACGCCATATTGTGGGAGAGCAGATGCATAGAATAAGTCTTAATTCCAGTAACTTAGTCTAGTCCGAGTTGCTCCCCACAAGGTGGATATGTTGGGATTTTATCATAGAATTATGAAAGTTTACTTGTACTTTCTTACTGCATGGTGGGCTGTTGATCAAGTATCAGAGCTAAGACTCTTCTTAGAAGACAGATGGGCCCTCAGGTCATCCAGAATCATCAACAAATACTGAAATTCTTATGTATTTATAAGCAAATTGTGTTTTATTTTATAACATGTTTAATGTGTTTACACTGAGTGATTTTGTTTGTGTAAGAATGGATTTTTTTTTAAATTATCATTATGTTACAAATCTCTTTCAACTCTGCAGTTCAACTGTGTGTTAGTTGCCATTTAAATAAATTCTGCCAAGCCTGGCTATTTCTGTGATCAGCAGCAAACATTGGTGATATTTTTATCTAAATTTTACAGGAAATAAATTTGTTTATGCTTATTTCTATATTTCATGGTGAGTTATAAAATATTTTAATTAATTTGAAGTTTAGAACAGTAACACTATATATTAAGGAATATTTCCAACTCAATAATTGCTGTCCTTTTCAACCTCTTACTGTTTCAGTAAATGTTGACTTTTCATAATATTCTCTTCTGAGTTCAAAACGGTTGTGTACATCCCCTCTGGGGTGCACAGAAGCTCAAATCAGTGTCCCTCTTCTAAAGTACATTGAATTACAGCTTATTCAGCTACTGAAATCTCTACTGACTTGGGCAAGTTACTGTGCCTTTAGGTTTTTAGTTTTCTATTCATTAAGTTATTTTAGATCAAGACTCAATAATCTACCGCCAGCTCTCCAGTTACACTTATTTCTGTATAACCTGGCAGCTAAGATTGGTCTTTTTATAGAGTTATTTGAAAATAGTCAATCAGTTGGTAGCCTTTGTAGTCTGTGAAATATATTTACCATCTGACCTTTTAATATTTAGAAAATATCATTAAGGAATCATAATACTAAGAATTTTGGTAAAAAAAAAAAAAACCTTTAATAACCTTGATCTTTTCGAAAGTTAATTCATTATAGCTTGGGACGGTAACCAATGAATGAAATTGTGTACTGTATCAGTTAACTTTTTATACATGAAAAAGTTTTAAAAATTTTAATTCCTGTTGTCAAATTTGTTTTAGGAATAATTAGTATATACAACAGTACCTTTGGAATCAAAATATCTATAATGTTTTTAAAAATAATTTATGGAAGCACTAAATGATAAATATGCATATATTACTTGGTCTGTTATTGAAATCAGTCTACTTTTTTATTTCCTTCCATTTAGATAGAAGCAGATTTGGGGTATCCTGGAGGTAAAGCAAGAATTATTCATAAGGAATCTGATATCATTACTGCATTTGCTGTTAATAAAGTAAGTACATGTACAGTTCCTTTTCTTTGATTAGTAGATATTATCAGTTGGACAATGCCTGCTGTTTTGTCAGTTTAGTTTTTTTTTTTTTAGATTTTTATTTATTTATTTGAAAGAGTTACACAGAGAGAGAGAGAGAGGTCTTCCATCCACTGATTCACTTCCTAGATGGCTGCAACGGCCAGAGCTGCACCGATCTGAAGCCAGGAGCCAGGAGCTTCCTCCAGGTCTCCCACGCAGGTGCAAGGGCCCAAGGACTTGGACCATCTTCTACTGTTTTCCCAGGCCTCAGCAGAGAGCTGGATCGGAAGTGGAGCAGCCGTGATTCAAACCAGCGCCCATATGGGTTGCTGGCGCTTCAGGCCAGGGTGTTAACCCGCTGCGCCACAGTGCCGGCCCTCTATCAGTCTATTCAATATCAGTATTTCTCTTTTCTAGTCCTGCTCACCACTTTTTTTATTGCAATCTGAATAAATTTTATTTTATGATATTTTTATAAATTACTATATTATTTAATAATGTAATTTTATTATGTGATTTTGGATATATAGCTTGTGAAATAATGTTTTATTAATACACAAAGAAAAATCAAGTGTTTATATATGCATCAGCTCTAAAATTTAAACAACATAGTATAACAATCAACCCAAAGGAGAAATTTTCTATGTTCCTCATATGAGTATGTTGGATATGGTTCTTTTTCTTTTTCTTTTTTTTTTTGACAGGTAGAGTTGTAGACAGTGAAAGACAGAGAGAAAGGTCTTCCTTCCATTGGTTCACTCCCTTAATGGCCGCTACGGCCGGTGCTGCACCAATCCGAAGCTGGGAGCCGGGTGCTTCCTCCCAGTCTCCCATGCGGGTACAGGGCCCAAGCACTTGGGCCATCCTCCACTGCCTTCCCGGGCCACAGCTGAGAGCTGGACTGGAAGAGGAGCAACTGGGATTAGTACCCGGCGCCCCAACCGGGACTAGAACCCGGGGTGCCAGTGCCACAAGCAGAGGATTAGCCAAGTGAACCACGGCGCCGGCCTTGACTGTGGTTCTTAATATTTGATAAAATTTAAGCTCAGATGTAACTCAGACCTTCACCTCCAGTTGCTGCCCAACTGGTTTTTCCTATGTATTCTCTGGCCACCTTCTTAACATCCTCTTTAGAGATGTTTTAGGTAGAATAGTTAAAGGTTAAAATTTGTGAACTCCTCACAGAAGAGATGGTCTTAGGTAGAATAGTTTAAGGTTAAAATTTGTCCATCTCTTCAACCATCTCCCCTCCTTCCCTTACTACATAGTTTCTAGTGGCTTCTAATTACTCTTTGGTTTCCTTTTTCTTCAGTTAATTTAGAAGTACTGTATCTATTGTGTGTGTGTGTGCGTTCCTAAAGGATACTTAAAGGAAATATACTCGTGTGTATATGTATGAGGGGACTTTACAAAGTTCATGAAGGGCAGATGTTGGGCCTGGTGGTGAAGACACCCACATCCCACATTGCAATGTCTGAATTTGATTTGTAGCTTTACTCTTGATCCCATCTTCCTGCTGATGTGCACCCTGGGAGGCAGCAGGTGATGCCTCAACTGGTCGGGTCACCTGTAGGAAATCTGTAGTGTGCTCCCAGCTCCTGGCTTTGGTCTGGCCCAGCTGCAGTGTGTATTGTGGGCATTTGGGGAGTGAGCCAGTAGACCAGACATCTTTCTATCTATCTCCCACTGTGACTTTTTAAAAATTTTCTTAATTTGGGGCCGGTGCTGTGGTGCAGTGGGTTGATGCTCTGGCCTGAGGAGCTGGCATCCCATGTGGGCGCCAGTTCAAGACCCAGCTGCTCTACTTCTGATCCAGCTCTCTGCAATGGCCTGGGAAAGCAGTAGAAGATGGCCCAAGTCCTTGGACCCCTGCACCTGCGTGGGAGACCTGGAATTAGCTCTTGGCTCCTGGCTTCAGATTGGCGCAGCTCTGGCCATTGCAGCCAAATGGGGAGTGAACCATCGGATGGAAGACCTCTCTCTCCCCTTCTCTCCGCCTCTCTTTTTCCTGTGTAACTCTGACTTTCAAATAAATAAATAAATCTTTTTTAAAAAATTGTTTTCTTAATTTTATTAACTTGAAAAACAGCAGGCTCCTGTATGAATCATGTACATGCCTTCTGAAAGTGTTTTAATTCTAATCAGCATATCCCAAACAAAATGGAGGGGAAAAAGTTTATTATTGTTCCGTTGTAGCAAGGAAGTAACTAAAATATTACTCACATGGTAGTTTAATCAAATACTTCCATTGGGAGGTGGATAAGGGTTGTGAGATGCAGGTGTTAATGAGTTTAACAATTTGTATCTATATCTTGCAGAATAACTATAAAATGAAGTCTGTAGTTCCAGTCATTTGAAAGATCCTCAGTGATCCCCTTGGTGCATACTGGACAGAGGCATCTGGAACGTGCCTTGTCTATAGTTATAGTAGTTTAATTTAGGAAACAACAAAAAGATTTTGAAGTCCGCAAATAGTTTTTTCCATTAAAAAGTGCATGGGAAATGTGTATTATGAAAAACTGCATGGATTTCAGAGCTTTTTTTTTCTTTTTAAAGATTTATGAATTTATTTGAAGGGAGGGAGTCGGGGGTCGTGTCTTCCATCTGCTGGTTCACCCCCCAAATGGCTACAAGGGCCAGAGCTGGCCTGAATCTGAAGCCAGGAGCCTGGAGCTTCCTCTGGATCTTCCATGCAGATGCAGGGGCCCAAGCACCTGGGCCATCTTCCACTGCCTTCTCAGGCCTTAGCAGAGAGCTGGATTGGAAGTAGAGCAGCTGGGACTTAAACTGGCACCCAAATCAGATGCCAACACTGCAGGCGATGGCTCTACCTGCTACACCACAGCGCTGGCCCCTCAAAGCTTTTTGCATCAAAAGAAACTTACCTTGGGGCCCCTGCAGTGGCTGACTTGGTTAATCCTTCACCTGCAGTGCTGGCATCCCAGTTGGGCGCTGAGTTCTAGTCTTGATTGCTCCTCTTCCAGGCCAGCTCTCTGCTGTGGCCCGGGAGTGCAGTGGAGGATGGCCCAAGTACTTGACCCCTGCACCCGCATGGGAGACCAGGAGGAAGCACCTGGCTCCTGGCTTTGGGTCAGCGCAGCACTGGCCGTAGCGGCCATTTGGGGAGAGAACCAACGGAAGAGCTTTCTCTCTGTCTCTCTCTCGCTGTCTATAACTCTACCTGTCAAACAAGAAAAGAAAAGAAAAGAAAAGAAAAGAGAGGAGAGGAGAGGAGAGGGGAGGGGAGGGGAGGGGAGGGGAGGGGAGGGGAGGGGAGGGGAGGGGAGGGGAGGGGAGGGGAGGGGAGGGGAGGGGAGGGGAGGGGAGGGGAGGGGAGAGGAGAGGAGAGGAGAGGAGAGGAGAGGAGAGGAGAGGAGAGGAGAGGAGAGGAGAGGAGAGGAACTTACCTTGCAGTTCCATTTTCCATGAAACTTTTTGAAGCACCGTCACACATGTGTGTACATGGGGATGTCTTTTATGTTTCCATCTGTTTTTTTTTTTTAAAGAAAAAATTTATTTTTTACTTGAAAGAGATACAGAAAGAGAGAGACTGGAGGAGAGAGAGAGGAATATCTTCCATCAGCTGGTTTATTCTATTCCCCAAATAGCCACAATGGCTGGGGCTGGGCCAAGTGGAAGCTACGACCCAGGAAATTCCTGTAGGTCTCCCATGTGGGTGGCAGGGACCAAAACACTTGTGCCATCTTCTGCTGCCCTCCCAGGCACATAGACAGGGAGCTGGATAAGAAGTGGAGCAATTGGAACTCAAACGTCGCCCATGTGGGATGTCAGCACTGCAGGCAGCAGCTTAACCTTTTATGCTACAACACCGGCCACATTATGTTCCTAATTTAGAAATAATTTTTAAGTTGTTATTTTTTAAAATAATGATTTATGTATATGAAAGGTAGAGTTACAGAGCAAGAGAGAAGGAGAGACAAGACAGGGAGGTCTTCTATCCGCTGGTTCACTCCCCACATGGCCTCAAGGGCCTGGGCTGGAGATTTCCTGTCTACCTTTTCTGCGTCTTCCTGCATCTTCTTCCACATTTCTGAGTTGTGCAGACTTTGGGGAGATCATAGCATTCTAGCAGATGAGAGAGGGAGTGCTCTTAGAGGAGCGAGAGTGGTACATGTATTACAGTTAGAAATTGGCATTCTTGATGTACTTGAATTCCTGGAATGTAACCGTATATCCACACTCAAGCCTATAATTAACTAAAAGCTGATTATTAAAATATTAACTTGTAGGAATGCTATGTTGTAATTGGCATTTTTAAGTCACCGTATCTGTTGTGCTTTTTAACTTAAAATCTGTCATTTATGTTTTAGGCAAATAGAAACTGCATAGCAATTGCTTCTAGTCATGATGTGCAAGAACTGGATGTTTCCGGAATTCTAGCTACGCAGATCTATACTTGGGTAGATGATGATATAGAGATGGAAACCAAAAGGTACCGTTACACTTTGTTTTTATTCCATATGTTGCAATACAATCAAAGATTGTTGAAAGGAATACTCCTAGATTATACATGGAGTTGAAGCTGGTATGTTAAAGGGTAAATGGGTAATGGGGTGTGAGCAGAAGGAAGTGAGTGTTAGGGGAGAATAAGTGAAGATAATGGAAACTACATAAAGGTCCTTGTGAGTTAGTAGTAAGAGCTGGAGAAAATTAATTGCAAAAGGAAATATAAAGTCAGTGTTAGGGCCGTCAGGTGTGAAGAAGAACTGAAGAACTGATGGGCTGTTTTTGTTCCTTGTAGCTCAGAAGAGTTTCTGGTTATCCATGCCCATGATGATTTAGCAGCTGTTCAAGGTACCACCCCTTACACGCATAGCAATCCTGGCACTCCCATCAACATGCCCTGGCTTGGGAGCACCCAGACTGGCAGAGGAGCATCTGTGGTGTGTAAAGTTAAAAAATTCTAGTTTGTGTATGACTGTCTTATTTTTCCCTTCAGGTTAGTAAATAAAGGACCATTTAACAATTTATTTACTTCTTAAATTTTTAATAAAACTTAAATGCTGTAAATTACTATTTTTGATGCTGAAGAATAATGTTTTCATTTGAAAAACTAACAAATATTGTTTTAAAAATACACCTTTTTGAAACAAAAGAGTTGTATTTTAATTAAACATGTTGGTCCAGATCAGTCTTTGGTAAACTGTGGCCCGTAGGTCAATTCTTGCCTTTTGCCTGTTTTTATCAAGCCAGTATGTAGTATATAAAGTATAGTGATTACATTTTCAATGGTTGGAAAAAGTTGTGTTTTTTGTGCCAAATGGAAACTACGTGACATTCTATTTCAGCCTTGTAAGTAGTCTTACAGGAGCACTGTCTGGGCCATTTGCTTGTATTCTGCTGTGGATACCTTCATACTACAGTGGTAATACTGAGTATCTGCGACAGAAACATATGTATAGGAAGGCCAAAACATTTACTGTCTAGTCCTTTATTTTAAATGTGTGCTCACTCCTGGTCTAGATAATATATTCAAATCCATATCAACTGTCAACAATTTGCATATAAATGCCAAAAGTGTTTTTAATTTTAGTTCCAAAAATTATATTAACAAAAGAAATATGATTTTTTTTAATTAAGCAAAATGTAACATACAGAAATTTTTCTTTGGTGATGGAAGATCTGTTTGAGCCCTGATGTGAGGTTGCCATCTTCCAAAATGTGCACATGTATGATTTTACTCATTTTCCTTTCCAGGAATTTATATGCATAATCAAAGAAACCCAGCACCATTAAGTCTCTGAATGACTTGTTGGTAGCAGCATTTTTTAAAATTTTGAGTCTTATAGAATGGCTTCAAGGCTCATTTTTAATCATAGATGGTGTTTAACAGAGTTTCCTGATAGGTGATACGACCTACAGCTCTTCGCTGTCTCTGTGGTAGCTGCTGTTTTTCTTTCTTAGAAGCTTCTGATCCAGAAAGCTCAAGTGACTCAGACCTTGGTGTGGAATTTCTGGGAAGTTTGTGACTTCAGATGGCAGTGTTTTTAAGAATTACACTAAATTCAAAAAGCAATCTGGTAACTACTCAAATGAAATAACTGGGTCTTTAGAGGTTAAATTTTTTTCCAGTTGTCAGATATGTTCAAATTTATTAGTAAAATTTGCTGATAAAATATTTTTAAAAAGAAAAGATACAAATACAAATAATGGGCTTTTTTAATTTTGTTTTTTCAACTTCAGCTTCAGAGAAAACTGTACAGGTCTGCCTGTGCAGTTACTCCCTGCCTGCCGTACAGTCTCATTACTCTTCATTCCATATGATTTTCTCTGGGCTAGTTGCACTGGCTTCTTTGTCTCTTGACTTCATCAAGCTGTTGTCATATCAGACCCTTTGCCTTACCTTCTGCTTAAAGTGTTCTCACTACATTCCCCATGCAGAACCGAAACAATTCTAGAAATTTCCCTGGCTTCCCTAGTGCAGGCTTTTGCTCCACCTCTAGTCATTTGATATCTTCTTTTTTTTTTTAAGATTTTATTTTTATTTATTTATTTGAGAGACAGAGTTACAGAGACAGAGTTACAGAGAGAGGGAGAGACAGCGAGAAAGGTCTTCTATCCACTGATTAACTCCCCAAATGGCTGCAATGGCTGGAGCTGGGCCGATCTGAGGCCAGGACCCAGGAGCTACTTCAGGGTTTCCCACGTTCCCACTTGGTTGCCCAAGTTCCTACACATCCTGGACTGCTTTCCCAGGCCATAGCATAGAGCTGGATCAGAAGAGCAGCAGCTGGGACACAAACTGGCCCCCATATGGGATGCTGGCACCGCAGATGGAGTCCTAGCCTGCTATGCCACAGTGCCGACCCCTTGATATCTTCTTATTTCATTGTACCATCCACATACAATTTAACAGTCACTGAAGTCACACATTATTTGTCTTTTTTTTTATATATACCCTCTGGAATGTAACTTTTTGATAGCTCAGATTCTGTCTTCCTTGTAGATGGATGACAATTACCTAGAATGATATTGGGCATTTAGTAGGTGTTCAGAAAAAGACTTGTTTATATTCTAGAGTATTATAATATAGAGCTCCCTTTGACATTTCTTTTAGCTGCGTTTTCTTCCAATCTAGGTCATAGAAGGACAACTCTGGTTGGAATCGTTGTGGCTTGTGAATATATACTTACTAGGATTACCTACTTCCATGCTCAAGTAAAAGATGCTAATAGAATAAGGCTGATATTTTTACATGGATCTTCTCAAATAGTTAACACTTATTTGTCTGTTGTTCTACATGAGCTTCCAGAAATACTTTTAGCCTGTGCTGTGTATTTTTTTACCTTTCACACTCTGGTTAGAAAAACAGAATAGGAATCTTTAGGCTTTTCTTTAAGAACATGGAATTTGAAGATGAAATTTGCTAAGGTACAACAAAGTTTTTGTTTTTTTTTTTTTGTTTTTTTTTTTTCTGGAGAACCGGTAACATTTTTCTTCATCCTGTCATTTCCTTGAATGATAAATACTAATAGCAAAAACAGTGTTTGTTATAACCAAGTTGTGCTATTCTGGAGTAGAACTGCCTCCATATGTACCTTTCATGTTTTCGGTCCCTCACAGTTCTGTTGGCCTAGTCCTTTCCCTCCCTACTATTCCTCCCCTCCATGTATCTAGGCTGATGGGATTGTTTAAAATCCAGCACAGCAACAACAACAAAATCTACCTGGGATCGAACCACAGACGTAGGATAATATCTGACTGTAGTTGTGTTACTGTGTAAATAGGAAATGTTCTGTCAATTAAACATTTCCCTTTTGCTACATACATTTTATTCTTGATAGGCTAGTTAATCATTCAAAGCATGATTTTAAAATGAGTGTATAATCAGTTCCAAACTATCAATTATAATTTAATTTTCTGTTTACCTCTTATTTTCACATGCTTCTGTCTGTCTTTTTAACCTTATACTGTTCAGGATTATTCCAATAAATTTAATGGGATCAGAAAAGAATTGGCAAGAAAGGAGGTAAGGAGGTAAAATTCTTGAGGGGAATTTCTTCTTGTACCCTAGTCAGTGATGCAGAAATGTTTGCATACTTAAATATAAGAGCTGCACTATTAAACTTCTGTTTTTATGTTTCAAATTTTTACATTCATAATAGTCGTTATAAAATCTCAAATAAATGTTACTTGAACTTACTGCCACAATTTGAATTTTTAATTCTAATTTTTATTTAACTTTAAAATCTTCCTTTTTCCAGATGATTAAGAAGGCCATTAATAATGTCAGAAGAATGACTTCTCATCCAACTCTTCCTTACTTTGAACATTTCTGTATTCATTATATAATGCTAATTTGTCTTTGATTATTCTTCTTTTTAAAGATTTATTTATTTTGGCTGGCGCCGCAGCTCACTAGGCTAATCCTCCGCCTTGCGGCACCGGCACACTGGGTTCTAGTCCCAGTAAGGGCGCAGGATTCTGTCCCGGTTGCCCCTCTTCCAGGCCAGCTCTCTGCTGTGGCCCAGGAGTGCAGTGGAGGATGGCCCAAGTGCTTGGGCCCTGCACCCCATGGGAGACCAGGATAAGCACCTGGCTCCTGCCATCGGATCAGCACAGTGCGCCAGCCACAGCATGCCAGCCGCAGCGGCCATTAGAGGGTGAACCAACGGCAAAAGGAAGACCTTTCTCTCTGTCTTTCTCTCTCACTGTCCACTCTGCCTGTCACGAAAAAGAAGAATAAAAACAAGAAAAAAAAAAAGATTTATATATTTGAAAGGCAGAGTTAGAGAAAGGGCAGGGGGGAGAATCTTCCACCCACTGGTTCATTCTCCAGATGGCCATAATGGCCAGGGCTGGACCAGGCCAGGCCGAACCCAGGAGCCAGGAGCTTCTTCCAGGTCTCCCACATGGGAAAGGGGCTCAAGTACTTAGGCCATCCTCCGCTCCTTTCCCACACCATTGCTATGTGAGTGCTGGATCCGAAGTGGAGCAGCTGGCGGCAGCTTAACCTGCTATGCCACAATGTTGGCCCCACCTAGTACTTAGTATTTTAATCATAGTATCACTGCTGTCTTTTATTACACTGACAGAGTGATGATTTGTTGCCTCCTCATAATCAGTTTGTATTTTATTGATTTTTGAGAGCACACTCATCTTTTATCAGACACATTTATAGTAAGCATAGTAAATGTTATTTGTGATTTTTTTTAAATTTTTTGTACATTGAGGCTTTTATTTGTATGTTCTTATTACAACCCTGGAAAAAGTATCCGGATGTTTTCTCTCTTGTGCGTTTTCGTCTTGCTTCTTCGTGGTCCGTCATGTCAGCTGAGGTTGTCAGTACAGTGAAAACAAGCTGGTGGGATGGAAGCAGAGTATTCTGCCATTTTTCTAGATCTTTCATTTGCACGTCAGATCTGGTACTGATCATTGCATACTTGTTTAAACTGCCTGTGAGGTCACATGAATTTTCCTGGCTCTGTGATCATCAAATTTGCCAACATAACCGTGCTTCATCGTCAGGTAGAAACCTGGTGATGACTTTGGAGCACAGCCTAACAAGAACTTGGCTTTTGCCTCTCTTTTCAGGATTACTGATGCTCTTGAAAGCATCGGCCAGTACATTCATGCACGCTATTATGGCGGCACAGAAGGAATGGCAGAAGGACCAATTTATGAATTCTTATATTCTAAAAGAGCAGAAAGTATTTGTTTTCAATTAGCCTTCATAGGAACCTCAAAAGCTTACCTTCCTTTAAACATGAATTTAATTAATGGAGAATTTATTGGCGGTATTAACTGGTGAGTTGAAATCAGTATTCATACTGGTATGCAAGTACTCCCAAGTTTTTTTTAAATATAATGTTTATTCCATTCATCAGATTGTTCTATCACTTAGTAACATGGACAGTACATGCATAGGAACAAGTGTTCTTACTCCTCCAATTTAATAACTTGTAAAAACATTTTTAACCACCTTTTCTCATATGATGTATTTTAATGAAATACAGCTGACAGAATTAATGCTGTTTACTACTTAATCATCGTAAGTCTGGAAGTATTTGTTATCAAAAGCATATACTTTGTCCACAAAAGGTTCAAAAGAACTATATATTTAAAATAAGAAGAGGGCCGGTGCTGTGGTGTAGTGGGTTAAAGCCCTAGCCTGCAGCGTTGGCATCCTATATGGGGCGCCGGTTTGAGTCCCAGCTGCTCCTCTTCTGATCCAGGTCTCTGTTACAGTCTAGGAAAGCGGTGGAAGATGGCCCAAGTCCTTGGGTTCCTGCACCCACATGGGAGGCCTGGAGGAAGCTCCTGGCTCCTGGCTCCTGTCTTCTGGCTTCAGATCAGCTCAGCTCTGGCCATTGCAGTCATTGGGGAGTGAACTAGCGGAATGGAGGACTTCTCTCTCTCTCTCAACTCTGTCTTTCAAATAAATAATTCTTTAAAAAAAAGGAGAATAACTTCCATTACTTACACTAGAAATAAAATAACAAAAGATTAGTCTGGTTTTCACTATATCAAATTTTTTTTACCACTAGAAGTGTCTGATATTTAAATTTTTTTTATTTTACTTGGATGGCAGAGACCGAGATCTCTCTTTCATAGAAAGAGAGAGAGACAGAGAAATCTCCCATTCATTGGTTTACTTCCCAGATGCCCACAATGGCCCAGGCTGCAGCACTCCAAAGTCAAGATCCAGAGATCCAATCCGGATCTCCCACGTGGGTAGCAGGAAGCTGACTACTTGAGACACCATTGTTGCTTCCCAGGGTGTACTTCAGCAGAGATCTGGAATCAGTAGGGCATGGTAGCCAGCATTCAAGTCCATGCACTTCAATTTAAGATGCTGTCCTCCCAAATTGCATCTTAACTATCACACCCAGTACGGGTTTCTTACCTATAAATTTAATGTGAAGTGATAACTAAAAAAGGTCATGAAGCCTAAAGAGTAAGAAATCAAAATATATTTTATATACAAAGTAAATAATATTGCCCCAATAAGAAATATTAGATCTTCCTTTTCTTTTCTTTTCTTTTCTTTTCTTTTCTTTTCTTTTCTTTTCTTTTCTTTTCTTTTCTTTTCTTTTCTTTTCTTTTCTTTTCTTTTGACAGGCAGAGTGGACAGTGAGAGAGAGAGACAGAGAGAAAGGTCTTCCTTTTTTTGCCGTTGGTTCACCCTACAATGGCCGCTGCGGCTGGCGCACTGTGGCCGGCACATCGTGCTGATCCAAAGCCAGGAGCCAGGTGCTTCTCCTGGTCTCCCATGCGGGTGCAGGACCCAAGGACTTGGGCCATCCTCCACTGCACTCCCGGGCCATAGCAGAGAGCTGGCCTGGAAGAGGGGCAACCGGGACTAGAACGTGGTGTGCCGGCGCCGCAGGTGGAGGATTAGCCTATTGAGCCGTGGCGCCAGCCTAGGTATTTCTTAAAAGTATGCAACAGGGTTTAGAAATTTCCTAAGATAGTAAAGGGACCTCATTTTCCCTTAATTCTTCAGCATGTATCCTAACAAGTGAATGGTTTATAGTGAATATACTCTATCTCAGCCCTTTAAATTTAAATAAAGAACCTCTTCTCTTCCCTTCATTTTAAAGGAGATTAATTGGGTAAAGTCAAATCGCTGCTGGCTTAAGAATTAAATCTTTTCTCTATTGAGGCAACTGTCATAACCTTCAGATAAGAGACTTGGAAAATTAAAAGTTGATTAAAGTAATCACTGAATTTTTTCCAACACATCTTTTCATGTCACAAACAAATCTCCCAGGTAGTACTTTAGTTTAACATTAAGCACTTTTCGTGTAGTGTGTGTATGAGGATATCGTAAAATCTCACTCTGAAGTTCTGATACCTGCAGATAGCTCCTTCCCTTCCTTGGAGAAGATCTGTTAAGAAGTCCTATTCCTTAAAAGTCACAGCTTTTGGACTTTGACTCCAAACAATCTTTTAGAAGTTAGACTGAAGCATTTATAATTTCCTGGATGAGAAAACACTCTGCTCTGACACCAGATGTGCAGTTTTTTTCAGGAGTTATCCAAACCTTTGAATACTAGTTGAATGTCTTAAATCTGCTCAGTACTACCTGGAGTCAGTCAGATGCTACAGGCTAATGTTTAAGTCCCACAAGACTGCCCTTCCACCTACTTCTGATGTCAATCACAAGAAGTGGGTTGGCTTATATATAAAGATATTTCAATATCTTTATAGAAAAAGAGTTAAGAGTATGAGTTTACTATGTGCAAAATGTGTATTATGAAAAAAACATAGATCTGAAAATGAAATTTTTGCAACAGAATAAACTCATACTTTAAACAGTTTTTCCACAAGCTGTTTGAAGTATTCTGGTGCTTCTGACCAACCAGCTATGAATCAGGGTTTCTACTCTCTTCAGGTTTGATTAATTTGCTAGAGTGTCTCATAGAACTCCGGAAACTCTTTACGCAGCATTTGTCAGTTCACTGTAGAGGATAGAGGTGTAGGGGTACTCAGGGCAAGGTGCCTTCCAAAGTGGCCTCCGTCCCCCTACCTTTCCAGCATCTGGACATAGTCACCAACCAGCAAGCGCATCAAGCTTGCTTTGTGAGTGCAGCAAGAATAGGGCTTGATTGTATACAGACTTTTTAAAAGTCTGCTGGCTAGAATATTAATAAGGAGTCTCAGATTCGATTTTAAAAACTTGTCGAGGCTGGGAAGCCAAGCCTAGGACTTGCACCAGAATTCATCTGCAGTCCTATAGGTTTGGGTGAATTCCTCCGTTCTTAGGTTATCAAATATCCTGGGGTTGCTGGTCCTGCCAGGAAGTAGTAGTATGCACTCATATATAACGTAACCATGTAAGGGTTATAGATGTAGGATTGCTTCTCATTTGTTTGTTTTGTTTTTCAAGGTACTTTGTTGGCTCCATAGAATCAAGCTTAGTTCCTTAAAACTGGTAATATGTGATTACATGTATTCACAAATACAATACTCCAGTCAAAGCCTTGATAATATGAGCACTGTTTCCAGTTACATACTTTTATAAGAATAGGTTCTTACTGAAAACTTAGAAATAACTACATTGCTATGAAAATAAGAATACTCCCAGCTCTGGCTTTTACGAGCACTTGGGGAATGAACCACAGGGTGGAAAATCTATCTTTGTCTATGTCTGTGTGTGTATGTTTGTATCTGTGTCTCCCTCTAACACTCTTGCCTTTCAATAAATAATTTTAAATTTAAAAAATATCAGGTCATTCAGTCCCATTTAATTCTTATTTTGCTTGATCTTGGATAGCAGTTAAGTGAATCTGTAACTTTTTTTTTCTTTAGAGTTCTAGAAAGCCTTTTGCCTACTCTAATTGTGTGATCTTAAAGTTAACAAAAACCTGGGCCTTTAAGAGCCTTTTCTTTTTTACATTTCCTTGAAAACAGAATACTTTATAATTGATTAGAAAGGTTTCAGGCAAGCATCAGAGTAAAACAGTTGTCTCTCAATGATGAAAGAATTAATTTGGTTACAGATCTGATGAGAATTCATTATAGTAATGACATATTTGACAAGGATATTTGATTGTTTCTATGACATAAAACATTGTGACATAACTGAAAGTATAACTGGTAGCACTCTACCAGGCCATATTGTATTTCTAGGAATTACATAAAATTTCTGCAACAATTAAAATTGTAACGTATAATCTTAGACATGTAATCCAAGATTTCTGCTTTGATTTACCAGTGCTTCCCATGCAACATAACATATCAAATAAAACCTGATTACTTTAAGAGCAAGAGAGAACAGATTATTTTTTTTTAAGATTTATTTATTTATTTATTTGAAAGTCAAAAGTTACACAGAGAGCGAAGGCGAGAGAGAGAGGTCTTCCATCCACTGGTTCACTCCCCATTTGGCCTCAATGATCAGAGCTGCACCAGTCCAAAGCCAGGAGCTTCCTCCGGTTCTCCTGTGCAGGTGCAGGGGCCCAAAGACTTGTGTCATTCTCCACTGCTTTCCCAGGCCATAGCAGAGAGCTGGATCAGAGGTGGAACAGCAGGGACTTGAACTGGTGCCCACATGGGATGCCAGCACTGCAGGCGGCAGCTTTGCCCACTATACCACAGTGCTGGCCCCAAGAACAGATTCTTTTTTTTTTTTTAATTTATTTATTTTATAGGTAGAGTTTTGCAGACAGTGAGAGAGAGACAGAGGGAAAGGTCTTCCTTCCAAATGGCCATGGTGCTGTCCCCAGATTCTTTTAGGATGTTCCAGTAGCCTTCTCAAAACTTATAAAGTTAGTTTGAGGGGCTGGCTCCAAGGCGCATTAGGTTCATCCTCCGCCTGCGGCACCGGCATCCCATATGGGCTCTGGTTCTAGTCCTGGGTGCCCCTCTTCCAATCCAGCTCTCTGCTATGGCCTAGGAAAGCAGTAGAAGATGGCCCAAGTGCTTGAGCCCCTGCACCCGCGTGGGAGACTAGGAAGAAGCTCCTGGCTCCTGGCTTCAGATCAGCACAGCTCCAGCCGTTGCAGCCATCTGAGGAATGAACCAACGGAAAGAAGACCTTTCTGTCTCTCCCTGTCACTGTCTATAACTCTACCTCTCAAATAAAATCTTTAACAAAAAAAAAAAATTTAATTTGAGGCCAAAAAGATTTAATAAAATTTTGATTTGGGAGGACTGTCGAAAATATCAGTTAAAATGGGATGATAGTTCATATGAAACCCTATTTGTTCGTTTAGCAAAAGTGATAATTAAGAGTACAAAGGCACGTTTCTAACTCGTTTCTAACTCCAACACAAGTTAGAAACGTGCCAGGGGATTCTAATACAATCCCATCAAGGTGGCATGTACCAATGACATCTCACTAGTCCAAGTGTTCAATTTCAGTTCACAATTGATCACACTGATAGGTCTAAGAGTCAAAGGGATCACACAAACAAAACTAGTGTCTGCTAATACTGATAGAATCAAAAAGGGAGAGGACGATCCAACATGGGAAGCGGGATACACAGCAGACTCATAGAATGGCAGATATCCTAAACAGCACTCTGGCCTCAGAATCAGCCCTTAAGGCATTCGGATATGGCTGAAGAGCCCACGAGAGTATTTTAGGCATGGAAAGCCAAGACACTCTGGCAAAAAAAAAAAAAAAAGAAAAGAAAAGAAACAAAAAACAAACAAACAAAAACCACCTAAATGAAAGATCTCTGTGAGTGAGATCCCAGTGGAAAGAATGGGCCATCAAAGAAGGAGGTACCTTTCTCTGAAGGGAGGAGAGAACTTCCACTTTGACTATGACCCTCTCAGAATAAGATCGAAGTCGGCAAACTCAAAAGGCTTCCATAGCATTGGCAACTCATGACTATAGCCTAGGGAGATTACTGACACCATAAACAAGAGTGTCAAATTGTTAAGTCAACAACAGGAGTCACTATGTACTTACTTCTTATGTGGGATCTGTCCTTAATGTGTTGTCCAGTGTGAAGTAATGCTATAACTAGTACTGAAACAGCATTTTACACTCTGTGTTTCTGTGTGGGTGCAAACTGATGAAATGTTTACTTAATATATACTAAATCAATCTTCTGTATATAAAGATAATTGAAAATGAATCTTGATGTGAATGGAATGGGAGAGGGAGCGGGAGATGGGAGGGGTGCAAGTGGGAGGGAATTTATGGGGGGGGGGAGTCATTGTAATCCATAAACTGTACTTTGGAAATTTATATTTACTAAAATAAAAGTTAAAAAAAAGAGTACAAAGGCAAATGCAGAGAGTTATATAGTGATGAAAAATACTTGTTTTTTTTTTATGGTGTTTTTATTTATTTGAAAGGTAGAGTTACAGAGGCAGAGGCAGAGAGAAAGTCTTCCATCTGCTGGTTCACTCCCCAAATGGCTGCAATAGCCAGGGTTGGGGCAGGCCGAAGCCAGGAGCCAGGAGCTTCTTCTGGGTCTCCCATGTGGGTGTAGGGGCTCAAGTACTTGAGCCGTATTCTACTACTTTCCCAGGCCATAGCAGAGAGCTGAATCTGAAGTGGAACAGCGAGAACTCGAACTGGCACCCATATGGGCTGCCAGCACTGCAGGCAGCAGCTTTACCTGCTGTGCCACAGTGCCGGCCCCCTTAGTTTTGCCTTTTTTAATATTAAGAAGATTTCTTAAATAACCAAAGACTTAATAAAGACAACATAAAGCCCAATAGTTTATCTTGCTTTAAAAAAAAAAATACTTGGTTTCCTACTCAGATTTCTTAAAAAGATAAAGGAAACATTTACATAATTTCTTGCTGAGCAAACTAATAGCCTGAGAAAATTTTGTAGCAGCGTGCTTTTGGTCTTAAGCCTCATCATTCTTTTTATAACTACACATAAATCTACTGAAATTTTACCCAGCTTGACTACACATAGAATTCCTTTTCCAAATTTCTCTATCACAACCTTTTTCCAACTTTTTTATGTCTACTCAAGGTTTTGTCCTATATACCCTCGCTCTTCCTGATGTGGAACTCTTACTTTAGGACAAAGATGACTTTCTTCTTAGCAATGACACATCCATCATACCTGATAGCTTCATTTACCAAAAACATTATTTCTCTTAGTGTTTTTTTAACAGTTTCAGTTACATATATTAATTATAATTAACTTGTAGTTACTTTAATTTCTAGTGAAAACCAAGAAATAAACACTTGTGTACATCATACCAGCAATCCATAGGTTGGCAAATCTGTAAATAAACCCTTTCATGATTTACAGAAGTGTGTTCTCTCTCTCACTATAGTCTTCCATGGTGCACAGGACATGTGTACCAACAGACCAGATCATCTTTTGTTCTGCGTAATGAGAAGTCAAAAGTATATAAGCTGTGTTCAGCAACTAATGTTTCAGTGGTTACTTTATTTGTAAATGATGTTTATGTTCAGTGAATAACCATCACTCAGTTTAAGTCAGTGAAACTAACCAGGTAAGTTGCTGAAGAGATTTGGGAAACATCAAATAAAGCTGGCCATCATTAGGTTAATTTTTCTCTGACAACATAGATAACGTGAATTTATTTTACTAGTAAACACAAGTATTAAAAAAATTGTTGCATTCTTTGTAATTCTGACAGCTCTGGAGATATCCCTGTTGTAATTAAGCCAAACAACTTGGGTGACTGCATCCTCTATTGCAGTGCCTGGGTTCAAATGTCAGTTCTGCTCTTGATTAGCATTTGTTATAGAAGGTTATCTCAGGACATGTGTACTTTAAAAAAAAAAAAACACACTTGGGTCCTATCATTCTGGCAGTTTAATGAGGACTTAATTTACATACCTGTTTATTTTTCCTTTAAGCTTTTTTGCAAGTTCATTTTAGAAATACTGTTTGGAAGTAGAAGGATATCACAAACACATAACAAACATAACATACATATAGACATCTATAAACTTACAGAAGAACATTTAAAGCTTTCATTTTAAAATGTTAGTTATGTACCAAATACAGTAAAACCAAACTCACTGATTTATAATAAGAATAACTGGATGCAAATTGTGTTTTTGGCTCATGGAACAAGGTTACCCATCCCCATTGCTAAAATGTTATATTAATATTTGTGATTCCCCATTTGCCTTTTGTGAGAAGACTTTCAGATAAAGATTTATTTATTTATTATGAAAATCAGTGCTAGAGAGAGAAAGAGAGATTTCCCATCTGCTAGTTCACTCCCCAGATGGGTACAGCAGCCAGCACTGGGCCAAAGCCAGGAACCAGATCTTCTGGATATCACACATGAGTGGCAGGGGCCCAAACACTTGTGCTATCTTCCTGTGCTTTTCCCAGGCCATTACTAGGGAGCTGGATTAGAAGTGGAACAACCTGGACTCCCACTGGCATTTCAGTGCCAGTTCTTAAATAGGCAATTTCTGATTCATTAAGTCTTATAGTTGACTCTGCATATAGAAAAATGAGTCCCTTTGTATATTAGGACATTAGAAATATTCTTTCCCAATATGCCCCCTAGATGGGCAAAAAAATTATTAAAGGCTATTATACTATCAAGATAATTATAAAGGGAAATACATCGATTGCGATCTGAATTAAGTTTTTCTATTGTTTTGTTTGAGGATGTGTTCTCAAAAAAAGTACATCATATAACTATCTGTTTTTGTGTTGAGAAGTAGTGAAGTGAAATTTCATGCAAGAGTAAATTCATATAAATTGAATGTCATTCATTTCTTAGGTTTTTCCTAACTGAAGATTTCCACATCAGATTAGGAAATAAATTTTCCCAAAGATTGTTAAAATAAATTTACCGTTTTTGCTCTCTTATGATGCAGATCTGACAGGAGCTCAAGATGGAAGTGTCAGAATGTTTGAATGGGGCCATTCTCAACAAATAACCTGTTTCCGAGCTGGTGGCAATGCAAGAGTTACAAGAATGAGATTTAATTATCAAGGAAATAAGGTAGTACATAAAATTGCAGAGGTTAAGCATTAATTCTTATTAACATGATTATAACATAAGACTTAATAGTTATCACTTGTTTGGGTTTGTGATGAGAACTGTTCAGTGGGCCAGTAGTGAAGTATTTATATGAGTGCTTTTTTTTCTAATTCCTCTCAAAGCAAACTTAAATTCATTTGGTCTTCCTGCAGGTATGTAACGTACTTATATATGTCAATTAAAATTCATTTAAATGATGCTTAAGGACTAAATGATTAAAGGTGTACCTTATATTACACATTTTTCTTATTTAAAATTTTCTTTAAAAAAATTGAGAGTGACATAAAGATCTCCCATCTATTGGTTCACTCCCTAAGTAGCCAAAATGGTACTGGCCAATGCTAAAGCCAGAGCCAGGAACTGAGTCCATGTCTTATCAAGTGGGTGGCAGGAAGTCTGTTAACTTGAACCATCACCTGCTGTGCCTCCCAGAGTCTGCAGTCAGGAGCTAGAGCCAGCTAATGAATCCAGTATCCTAACTGTGTCTTAACCACTAGGCCAGATGCCTGTCCCTTATTCATTTTTGATTACTGAATTATCTTACTTTCTTTATTCTGTGTGACATACTCAAACTAGTAGTGGGGTGTGAAAATTCTTAGTTGTAAACCCTCCCCCAAATTACTCATGTTAGTCAACTCAAAAATAAAGATTATAAGTAAACAGTCAAGCAGTGTTTGCAGAATTCTGGTAGTTAAGGAATGCAAGCTGAGTTGTTGTTGATACAGACTTTACACACATCTTTTACTGAGAAGCATATTTAGACATGTTATAGAAAATGTAGGATATACTAGGAAAAGGTATAGACTTCGGAAAGCTATCTATCAAATATAAAAACAGTGAATTAATATTCCTAATATTTTGAAAGCACAGGTGACTTGATAGAGAAATAGAAAAAGAATATGATCCATCAGTTACTGTAAAAGTATGCATAGCCAGCAGCCCTAGTTGGTACTGAAGAAAAGTCAATTAAAGTCAGACATTTTTTCCCATATAAAATTGACAAATATTTTAAATTGTAATAATATCCAATGTTGATGTTGACTTGACTAATATATGAGAAGAAAGGGCCTATAAATGTATATTATCTTTTAGAATCTAATTTTATCTCTGACAGTTTTAAATGAGGTTTACTCATAGTTTTTCCATTTCTAGGTTTCTATCCTACATAATTATGAAAACATATATTTACAGAATGTTCAAAGCAGCACTTTTTAGAATGGGAAAAATTGAAAACTCTATAAGGGGAAAATTTTGAATTAACTATAATTATGATACTATACAGCACAAGAATTTGCTAAATTTGTGTTTATGTAGACAGATTATTATAATAATCAGAAATGTGGCCGGCGCCGCGGCTCACTAGGCTAATCCTCCGCCTAGCGGCGCCGGCACACCAGGTTCTAGTCCCGGACGGGGCGCCGGATTCTGTCCCGGTTGCCCCTCTTCCAGGCCAGCTCTCTGCTGTGGCCAGGGAGTGCAGTGGAGGATGGCCCAAGTGCTTGGGCCCTGCATCCCATGGGAGACCAGGAGAAGCACCAGGCTCCTGCCTTTGGATCAGCGCGATGCGCCAGCCGCAACGCACCGGCTGCGGTGGCCATTGGAGGGTGAATCAACGGCAAAGGAAGACCTTTCTGTCTCTCTCTCTCTCTCACTGTCTACTCTGCCTGTCAAAGTTAAAAAAAGAAAAATGTAATAAGACCTGTATATTATCCTAATTCTTTAAAATTTCAAATTCAAAAATGTTTCTTGTATAAATGTTTGAATAGTCATAGAAACTAATCTGAAAGGAAACACCTTAGATTGTTGATTAGTATTAGACCTGGTACAGGGAATGGCAGGAGTCCATAGTAGACATTTATTTTATATACTTTATATAAGCATGCATTAACTTTATAATCTAAAGAAAAAATTTTAGGTCTCTTATTCATCTTTCAAGATCTGTCTCACATATAGATGTTCCCTTACTAGATTATTTTTACATCATTCTAACTGAGTTCTCATAATGGGATTCCTTCTCTGTGATAATGCTCATTTCATTTTACTTTCTAATCTCCATGATGTGTTTCCCTCATTGCAAGTTTTTGGAAGTCGGGACTAGTACCCGGCGCCCCAACTGGGACTAGAACTCAGGGTGCCGGCACCACAGGCAGAGGATTAGCCAAGTGAGCCAGGGCGCCGGCCTGGAAGTTTTTTTAAGTAGTGGCTAAATGTTTCTGAAACTAGATCCATGCACAAGTGAAGTGAATAGTTGAACAATATGTCGGTCAAATGTTTAAAAGTCAAAATGTGCCACAGTGTGTGTAGGGATAATTATGTGCTTTTGCATTTATCTTAAACATCTAAAAATGCTTTTTCTCCAAGTTTGGAATAGTTGATGCCGATGGATATTTAAGTTTGTATCAGACAAACTGGAAATGTTGTCCAGTTACTGGAAGCATGCCCAAACCATACCTGGTAAGCCAAGAATTCCTACCTTTTAAGTGAAGTTTGAATTATTACTTTTAGAAAATCCAAGAATACATATTTGGTACAGGAAATACTGAAGACAGCAAATAGAATCTGTCTAGTCCGACAGACAAAAGCTTCTGTTCTTACATGGGAAAATTACTCTGTGAATCATAAACATCCTTACTCAGTCTCTGGTAATTTGGAAGGTTAACCTGTATAGAACCACGTGGTACCTACAGGGACCTGTGTAACCTGTGGATTTCAGAGGCTGTTCTAATCTCACACAGCGGCGTGTGTTACCTAAACAGAATGATTAAGAAACCAGGGCCCTAGAAGATTTATTTTTCTGCAGCTATCCCTTATGATTGGACAAAGTAGAAAGGGCATCTAGTGGGTGGAACTGTTACTTTCTTGTCCATATCTTTTTAAACAAAATATTGATATATCTGAGTTTAGCACTGTGTACATATGATGAACTTGTACAGGTTTCTAGAACACTGAATTTATGTTTAATACATTCTTCGGTGAAGCCCTTTATAGAACTAAGTAATACCTACCAGGAAGACATTAAAAATGCAAGTTATGATTCTGATAATTGACCCCACTTTAAATGTTAGAATTCAGGCCTTTCTTGCTTTACAAGAAAGCAAGCAAGGTAGGGAGAGGGGTGTGGTTAGAGTACTGTGAATGAATAATAATTTTTTCACATAGTTTCATTAAGCTAACAGATAAATGTGCAACTCTGCCTTCCCTGAGAAACTGCTCTTGTTTTTAACTTTTAAAAAGATAAATTCAAATGTACATATTGACTTTCGCAGATTATGTTTGTTTTAGGAAGTTATTTTCTAGGCCAGCTCCTTCATATTCCTGGTGATAGAGAAGGTGGTTTGAAGGAAAAATCTTTTACCTGGTGGTTTTGTATACTTAAAGATACTTTTTTTAAAAGACAAATATCTAAATATAGCTTATAAGTTTTCATGATTAACTAAATCATAATTGCTTAGTTTTTGTTTGTTATAATATTGAGAAATACTTTAAATTTTTAGATTTTGGTGACTATTAGTATTTTTTATTCACATGTTTAAATAGTTATTCATAATTTAAATTTTCTAAGAAATACGTTATGCCAGTTAATTTACCAAAAATAATTAAGTCTAAAATAATATAAAATCTTTATTTCTGTCTTCCTCTAAGGCAAAAATTTTTAATAAATTTACCAAGGGAAATATTTAAAGTATAACCTCTTCGTGTTTGCCTTTGAACCTTTGATTAACAAAACAAAGGACTAAGTTCAGAGGTAGGGGGGAACATAGCAGATTTAGCTGTAAACTACATGATTGTTTTTTGAATAACCTAGAGCTGCCTTCTTACAGGATTTTTAGTGACAGCAATAACATTTATTTGTATCCTTTCCAGACTTGGCAGTGTCATAACAAAACAGCCAATGATTTTGTCTTTGTGAGTTCCTCTTCCCTGATAGCTACAGCTGGTCTTTCAACCGACAATAGGTAAGAGATGATTGTTGAAACTGAAATCTGCCTATGTAGAGCTGCTTTTTTATTGCTTTATACCCTTGCATCTCAGGAATGTTTTTATAATTTTGCCTTTGAGCATTTTTGTTATAAAGACTTGTTTCTTCCTTGGATCATTTTGGTGTCCTGATTGTAAAGTTAGGGAAATTTTGGTGCCTGTAGCAAAATGAATGTTCTCCCTATTAATCTCTACATATTATTTGCCATGTTATTTTATTAGATAGTTATTTTATTAGATAGATATCATCACTGTTTCACAGGAAGTACAGAATAAACTCAGAAATATGTGTTAGTTGTACTACAGCTAATTAAAAGAGTCAGCCATACCCCCAGCACCTTCCCCTCCCAAAAAAGTGAGGTTGGCAAGGAAGTGTTCTCCTTCCCCCAACTCCTACCACATCTTTTGGCTTTCCTCATCAGAAATGAGTTTTAAGATGAAGGCTCTCTGCGATTGCTGAGCTTTTCTGTGTACCTGTAAGGCCTTCCTTTGTTCTAGAAATGGGATTTTAGGAGTACAGAGCTTCCACAGAAACTCCTTACGGATGTTGGAACCTGCATATAGTAGAAATAAGTTTCCTTTGTGCTCAAGAAAATGAGCTACTCCTCTTATTTGTGTATGCCATAACAACTGTAAGTTAGAAACAATGACAACAAAAGCAGTTTCTGTACTTAGCCTTCATATTGCACTATTTGTAAGCGTATGTTGATCTAAAGTTATTCACTTTTGTAAGCTAGTAGTTTTAAAATTCTATGTAAGTATTGTCACGTAAGTATGTGGGTTACTTGCGTTTTGTGCTTTTGTAAACAGCATTCTCTAAAGCAAGGTTCAAATGTTACGTAACAGCATGAGATGATGTTCTTTTTATTCTGTTGTTAACTTTCAGTAGCACTTAATAACGAATCTTTTTTTTTTTTTCCAGAAATATATGTTTGTGGGATACTCTTGTAGCACCAGCCAATAGCTTAGTCCATGGTAAGTTTTGAAAACGTTTTGTAAGTCAAGAAAGTCATAAACTAAAAATGGTAAATGATATTTAAGTAGATTTCCTTTCATGCCACATTTATTAGCTTGTTAGGTTTACTTTGCCCGTGATGCATATGCCATGAAGCATAATTCAAAGCAACAAGATACAAATATACAAAGTTAACTCTTCCCTATACCTTGATGAAGTACAGTGAGACATAGTACTATAAAAATCATATATAGATTATTTCCACTCAGTCTGCTAGCCACGGATCGTCGTTGTGAACATTGTGAATGTCAGTCATTACCTAGTATTACGGCCACCCTCACTAATCCTAGTCAACATTTTACTGTAGGTACTACCTAACACCAGAAAAGAGGAAAATGCACACAGATTGGCAGGGAAGAAATACATAAAAATGCCTTTATTCACAGATTACATGCTTATCTTTGTGGGAAGTCCCAAAGAATCTATAAAAGAACCTCCTGGAACTTAATGGATGAGAATAGCAAGGTCAGAACACAAGGACAATAGGGGCCAAGCATTGTGGCCCAGTGGGATAAGCCACTACCTGTGATACGGCATTCCATATTGGAGTGCTGGGTCAGTCCCTGCTGCTCAGATTCCAATTGAGCTCCCTGATAATGCACCTGGGAAAGCAGCAGATGATGCCTCAAGTGCTTGGGCACCTGCCACCTAGGCGTCTGGCTTCAGGCTGGCCCAGCTGTAGCTCCTGTGGCATTTGGAGAGTGAACCAGCAAATGGAAGATCATGTGTGTGTGCACACGCGCTGTCTCACTCTGCTTTTCAAATAAGTAAATTAAAAAAATACCAATAATGAACAACAGCAAATTGAAATTTACAAATTGTTACGACTTACAGTAGCATATAAAATAATGGAATAGGCATAAATCTCACAAAATATGTACAGGGTCTGTATATAGAAAATGACAAAAATGATTAAAGAAATAAAAGGTCTGAATAAATGGAGATGTACTTTGCACCCACACATTAGAAGGCTTGATATTATTAAGAAGTGAGTTCCTCCCAACTTCACTGACTCAACACAGTTATAATGAAAATCCAGTAAGCTACTTTGTAGATGGCAACAAACTGATCTCAAGGATAGGCAAGACATAGAGTAGCCATTGAAATACTGAAGCAAAATGATGATTCATACTGCCTGAGTTCAAGACTTACTCTAAAGCTACAGTTGCCCCCTTCTTATTATCTGAATAGAAAATATGGAATTTTCTTGCACAAATGGATTTTTCTTTTGTTTTTGAGATTCTATTTTCCTGCTTTTTTGAACTCCTGGTATTTTTTCCTTAAATATCAGTCATTCTGAATTTTACCTTCTTAAAGGCTGATTACTTTGGTATTCTGTAAATATTCTTGAGCTTAGAGTTAGATTTGGGAGGTTCTTGTTAAATTGGACCAAAGCAGTATCTGGTGTCTACCAAGTGCCTTCTGAATTATAAGGCTTTCCACTCTGACTGATAGGGAACCCAGCGCAACTTGGGTGCTTCCTCCTTGTGCCATGGCAAGAAAAAAATCCTTCTAGGCAATAAGCAGGCTCAGTTGTGTGCACCCAGTTTGTTTCCCATCTCTCAGAGGTCATTCTTCATTGCCTAAAGTCTGACACCTCAAATCATTGTTTCTCTATACTTCATTTGATTTATTTTAAAGATGTATTTTATTTCTTATTTGAGAGGTGGAGGTAGAGAGAGAGTTCTTCCACCTGCTGGTTCAGTCCCCAAATGGCTGCAGTGGCTTGGGCTGAGGCCAGGGCAAAGCCAGGAGGCAAGAGCTCCTTCCAGGTCTCTAACTTGGATGGCATGGGTCCAAGCACTTGGGCCATCTTCTACTGCTTTCTCTGGCACATTAACAGGGAGCTGGATTGGAAGTGGAACAGCTGAGACTCAAACCAGCACCCATGTGATACTGGCACTGCAGGTGATGGCTTAGCCCGTTATGCCACAACACCTGCCACTTCATTTGATTGTTTAGTTGTTTTAGGCAGGAGAGCAAATCTGTTCTGTTATCCATCTTGGCCAAAAACTAGAAGTATTTTTTTCCTACTGTGAAATGGTGTTTACTTTTATTTATTTATTTTTTTAATCTCAGCTTTTACCTGCCATGACAGTGGAGCCACAGTTTTAGCGTATGCTCCAAAACACCAGCTGCTCATATCAGGAGGAAGAAAAGGTTTTACGTGTGTGTTCGACCTTCGCCAGCGACAGCAGAGGCAGCTTTTCCAGAGCCACGATTCTCCTGTGAAGGCCATTGCTGTTGACCCAACTGAAGAATACTTTGTTACAGGATCTGCCGAGGGCAACATCAAGGTACGCACAGCTGACGTCACTGTCTACACCATGAGAAGAAACCTCCAGAACGTGAGCTCTTAGAGTGATGACACCAGCTCATTTAAATAGTAGTAATATCAACTCCTTTGTCATCAGCTGTGCTCACGGTTGTGTAATAGATATGTTGGTGAATGAAATAATATTGAACTTGAAAAATATGCTTAATTTATGCTAGAGAACTAAACTTTATGTGGCTATAAACATATTTCAGACATTAGAATTAGTTTGGACTCTGTTCAGTATCACATAATTTACTGAATTCAGTTTTTAGGTGCAGAGTAATACACTGATACCTTATTTTATCCTACATTGTTCCCCGTTGTTTTTTTTTTTGTTTTTTTTTGTTTTTTGTTTTGTTTTGTTTTTTTTTTTTGACAGGCAGAGTGGACAGTGAGAGAGAGAGAGACAGAGAGAAAGGTCTTCCTTTGCCGTTGGTTCACCCTCCAATGGCCGCCGCGGCCAGTGCGCTGCGGCCGGCGCACCGCGCTGATCCGATGGCAGGAGCCAGGAGCCAGGTGCTTTTCCTGGTCTCCCATGGGGTGCAGGGCCCAAGCACCTCGGCCATCCTCCACTGCACTCCCTGGCCACAGCAGAGAGCTGGCCTGGAAGAGGGGCAACCGGGACAGAATCCGGCGCCCAACCAGGACTAGAACCTGGTATGCCGGCGCGCTAGGCGGAGGATTAGCCTAGTGAGCCGCGGCGCCGGCCTGTTCCCCGTTTTTTTATATATAAAATCAGTACAATCTCTCAGTGTCTGATTCAAGAATTCTGAATGTATCCTTGTAAGCCCTGCAAATAGCAGTCCTTTTCGGATTTGATTGTTTAGAACTTGAGATTGTTTAAAATGTTAAATAACTGCACCTCACTCTGGAAGTACGCAGCTGATAAGAAGCCTTGGGAATCTGCATTTTTCCAACTCGTACCTTGTGACTGATGGCAGGTCATCTGGTTCCATTTCAGCCTGGATAAGTCACTGAAAGCACGAATTGCTGTTTTTCAGTAGTCCAGGATAGGTAGACTTAGGAGTCAGTTTCTTTCTTTATTTATTTTTATTTTTAATTTATGAAAGACAGAGTTACAGAGAGAAGTAGAGACAGAGAGAGAGGTCTTCTATCCGCTGATTCACTTCCCAGATGGCCGCAATGGCCAGAGCTGCGCCGATCCGAAGCCGGGAGCCAGGAGCCTCTTCCAGGTCTCCCACGCAGGCCCGGGGGCCCAAGGACGTGGGCCATCCTCCACTGCTATCCCAGGCCATAGCAGAGAGCCAGATCGGAAGAGGAGCAGCGGGGACCAGAACTGGCTCCCATATGGGTTGCTGGCGCTTCAGGCCAGGGCGTTAACCCGCTGCGCCATAGCACTGGCCTCAGGCGTTTGTTTCTTAGAATTCATTAATTAAAGCACTAATGAACATATTTGCCACAGTACATTGGACTTGTTTGTTAAAACTGACAAACTGTTTTCATAATTCTTATGGTGGGGTGGGTTTACCTAGAATCATGGTGTTTTGAAAAGAATTGTGACACTATAGAGGGTAAAGCCGCTGCCTGAAACTCCAGCATCCCATATGGTTACCTGTTGAGTCCCGCCTGCTCCACTTCTGATCTAGCTCCCTGCTAATACTCCTGGGAAAGCAGCAGAGGATGGCCTCAGTGCTTGGGCTCCTGCACCCACATGGGAGTCCCAGAAGAAGCTCCTGGCTCCTGGTCTTTCCCTGGCCTGACCTTGACCATTACAACCATTTGGGGAGTGAACCAGCAGATGGAAGACCTCTCTGTCTCTCCCTCTCTCTCTGGAGCTCTGCCTTTCAAATAAATAAAACTAATCTTACAAGATTTTTCTTAAAATCAAATACATTTCTCAACAGAAAATTTCTGATTTAAAATGAATTTCTTATTTTTACTGCCTTCAGTTTATAAGAAGTCATAGTTTCAGAATAAATTTATCTCTTCTAAAGTGTAGTACAAGCATCTTCATTTCTGTGAAGGACCTAAAAGTTTTTAGGACATCCTAAAAGGCTGAGTAAAACCAATTTTTCTTCTGTTTTTTATTGATATCACTTTTTCTGTTTTTATTTGGAAAAAAAAAAAAAAAACCTTTCTTCCTGTACTCTAAGAAATGCATTCATACCAACTTGAACCTGCATTTGTTAGATTTTGGTTTCTGAGTACATTGCTTATTTTCAGATTTTTTAATTGATTAAACAGTAAGCCTCAGAGCCATAATACAAACCAGAGAACTAATATGAAACAAACTATGACTTACTCTTACTGGATGGATACTTAAGTATTTACTAATATGCAAGCAGTTGGTAAAGTGTAATAACCTATAGAGAATCCAGGTGTTTGCATCTGTTTTTGGAAATAATTGCACAGGAAGGAAAACTTTATATTTTTGTTTGGATCCTAAGGTAATAATTAACCCTAGTTTTCATTTTGTTTTTCGTTATCTTTCAGATTTGGAGTCTGTCTACCTTTAGTCTTCTCCACACTTTTATCAATGAACATGCCCGGCAGTCCATTTTTAGGAATATTGGAACTGGAGTGATGCAAATTGAAACAGGGCCAGCAAATCACATTTTCTCCTGTGGAGCTGATGGGACAATGAAAATGAGAATACTGCCGGATCAGTTCAGCCCTTTAAATGAAGTGCTGAAAAATGATGTGAAATTGATGCTGTAACATTTTCACAATAAGGTATATAATTATTATTGCCTACTTCGTGGAAGTGGCCAACAGATGTAACATATAGCAGTCACTCTGTGCGCAACAAGCCAGTGCTTTTTTGTTCTTAGAGTTAATTATGGAGCTTTGCCCTTGATGCACTGATGCCTTAAACATTTCACAAGGTCATTGCTGAAGTAGATTGCGTTGCTGAAGTAGAGTTGTGTAAGTAAACTGTAATAATACATACTTACAGTGTGTCATAATGAGTGTCATAGTGTTAAAGTAGTTTCCGTTTTCTTGTTGATAAACTTTTGAGTATCTTTGACAGGAAAGATGCCCTTCATGTAAATGAAGTTGCACACAGTACTCATCACCTACTCCACCACACCTCACTTCCTTTATCAAACTTACACATTTCAAACTCTTACTAATGATAGATTAATATTTGGTTAAGAATTAAATAATGAATATCTCCATTAAAACTGTCACTGGGACTTCAGTGATAAATGAGCCAAGTGGCTCGTCATGTAATTTCATCAGTTTCCCTCTGGATCCCAGGTTGTGTGTATGTATATGTATGTATGTGTATGTATATATGTGTGTATATATATATATATATCTTACACATTTTATTTCAATTTAGTTTGTGTGTATATAAGTGAAACCCTTAAATCTTTTGATGTGTTTTTGTGCCATAGCAGTTACTGCCACCAGAATAGCAACTTTTTTTTGCAAATGCTGTTTTTCATTTTTTAAGTGTTAGAATTTTCATCTTAATTTTCAAGTAAATTTCAAGGAGATTTCTAGGATTATTATTTTGATGATTATATTGATTCAGTGAGTCTTAGTAGGCAATAAAGATTCTGTGTTGGCATATATAAGACACTTAAAAGTAAGTATATGAATTTGTTAAAGGGTTTTTGAGCATCAGATAAACATTTTACTTAAATTTTATTTTTTTCTTATTTTTTAGGTGCTTTTATCTCAAAATTCTGAAAACCTTATAGCAGTGTTTTTAGAAACAAATGTGAAAACAGTCAAATTAAATAGGTAGTATTTACAAATGTAAAATACCCTCCACATCTACCATTAATAGAAAAGTGAATGTTATATTTTATTATTTTTGCCAAAATATATTATTTTGTTATAAAATATGACCAAAATACTTAAAATGCACAATGCTTTTAACTTAAATGTGCTAACCCTATTTCTGTCGATTTTGTGCTATACATTTTCTGATTCAGAATAATAGAAAACTTGATAAATACTTGACTTTAATCAGTGAGAGTAAAGGTAGATGGGAGTGTTTAAGAAACAGTTGTATACTATTTAGCGTAAATATATTTTGTTTAGTAGGAATTATAAGAGCCTTTTTATGTAATGAAATATGGACAACTATTGTCTTGGAAATTAAAGAGTAAATAAAGCAAAGAATGAAGGGCTGGCAACATGAATTTTGTAATATCCTCAGGATACTTTTATTATAAAAGTATATTGTTAAAAGATTTTGTAAACTGTATTTCATAACTTTAAATGTGTGGAGCAAGTTGCAGTGTAAACACCGTCATTATGGAGAGAGTTTATATGCACATAATAACCTGTACCTGTAAATTGTGCAATAATGATATGACTATTTTGCCATGGAGAAATCTGTGACAGCATTGCAAACAATAATATTGTTTGATATAGCTAAGCTTAAGTTATTTTTCATTAATTTCTTCACAAATCAAGATTCAGACAGCTTTAAACACTTTAAATGAGGTAGAAAATTTACTATTATGCTTATTATAACAAAAGGCATTGTGGATGAACAATTAAGCATTTTAACTGAGGGTTTATATGAATTACTATAAATTATGTAAGCCCATATGTATTTACATCCAGAGTCATAATATTTTAAATAAACAATCATGCAATGACTTTTTTGGCATGCTATTATTTTAAGTAATATTTGTGCCAATTTAATTGACTTCCAATATTGTGACATTTCTACGTGGGGAATTTTTGTATTTGTGTTTGGTTAATGTAGAGAGGATTGAATAATTTTCCCACTTCTCTCAACTTCCTTTTCTGCAGTCTTCTTTACTCAATGGGTTAGCAGTATTCAAGAAAAGTGGGAATAAAAATAGTTATATATAGTATATGTATAGTCATGAACATACATGAGAAATTTCATTATCCACATTAATGGAGTAGATACATCAAGATACAGTTTTTTAATTGTGATTTTTCTGATGCTGTGGCTTTGTAGGAAGAATTTATAATGGTGCCAATCTCATGTTCTGAAAGTGAGATTGTTAGTACCTGGAGCTATGGAGTGGTCACCTCCGTCCTCCTTTCCTGCCCCTCTTTTGCCCTTACCCTTCCTTCATTAAAAAAAAAAAAAAAAAAAAAATTCTTTTAAAAAAAGCTGCAGAAGTGCCTCAGTAGTAGAAACACAATATAAAGATGCACTTTAAAAAAAATTATTTATTTGAAAGGCAGAGTTACACAGAGGCAGAGAGAGAGAGAGAGAGAGAGAGAGAGAGAGAGAGGTCTTCCATCTGCTATTTCACTACCCTAACGGCTGCAATGGCCAGAGCTGGGCTGATCCACAGCCAAGAGCCGGAACTTCTTCCTGGTCTCCCACATGGGTGCAGGGCCCAAGCACTTGGGCCATCTTCTACTGCTTTCCCAGGCCACAGCAGAGAGCTGGATGAGTAGAGGAGCAGCCAATACGTCAATGGCGCCTATATGGGATGCCAGCACTGCAGACTGCAGCCTTAACCCACCACACCACAGCACCAGCCCCCATGCTGCATTTTTTTTTAAAGAAGAGCCATATACAACCTTGGGATTGGAGTTGTTTTTATGGTTTGTTTTTATTGTTGTTGTAGGATTTATTTATTTAAAAGAGGGAGAAGAAGGGAGAGAGAGAAAGAGAGAGAGAGAGATCTTCCATCTGCTGGTTCACTCCCCAGATGTCTGCAATGGCTGGGTGTAGGCCAGGCTGAGACCAGGAGCCAGGAGTTTCTTCCAAGTCTCCCACATGGATGGATAGGCCCAAGCACTTGGGCCATCCTCTGCCACATTTCCCAGGCCATGAGCAGGGAGGCTGATGGGAAGTGGAGCAGCTAGGAAATGAACCGGCACCCACATGGGATGCCAGCGCCACAGGCAGAGGCTTGACCCACTATGCCACAATGCCAGCCTCCCGAAGTCATCTTTTAAAAAGAATTGGAAGACAGACCTATGTATTTTACTGAACAAAAAGTTTGAATGTCATATGGCAGGGATACAGAATCAAAACTAAAAGAATAAGTAGACAGAAATTTTTATATAGCAATAAGAAGTATTTTGGTGTCCCTAAATGCAAAGAGAATTTTAAAATAAGTTATTGGAGAAATGATGAAACTGAATGAGCAACTGCCAGAACAGCACTTTGAAAAAGTTAATAAACATAAAATATATTCCATCTCAAAATATATTCCATCTGATTAATGGTTGATGGAGTGCTTTTTAAAAGGCAACAACTTAATACCATTTTTCATGAGACTGGTGTAAGGTCAAAACAGTGCAAAGAAATGGGCACACTGAAACATGCCGGCCCACAGAGTACCTCAGTATTTCCTGGGTATGTATTAAAATTAAACTCACACTCCTTTCAGTGAACAGTCTTACAGTAGAGAAATTATCCTGTAAAAATAAATGTACTCATACACAAAACTCATGTGCACACAGATGTTTATTAGAATCACCTACTGTACTGGTGTAAGAAGAACTGGAAATAATCTAAATGTTGATTTAACAAATTGTAATTCACCCATTAAGTGGATTATTCTTTTTTTTTTTTTAAGATTGATTTATTTATTCGAAAGAGTTACACAGAGGAGAGGAGAGGCAGAGAGAGAGAGAGAGGTCCTCTGATGGTTCACTCCCCAATTGGCCGCACGGCCAGATCTGAGCCGATCTGAAGCCAGGAGCCAGGAGCTTTTTCCAGGTCTCCCATGCGGGTGCAGGGAGGGCTTGGGCCATCCTCTGCAGCTTTCCCAGGCCATAGCAGAGAGCTGGATCGGAAGTGGAGCAGCCAGGTCTCGAACTGGTGCCCATATGGGATGCCGGTGCTTCAGGCCAGGGCGTTAACCCGCTGCGCCACAGCGCTGGCCCCATGGAGTATTCTTTCACCATATAAAAAGAATGTTATATATGTATCTGTTGACTTGAAAAGAGATTGGTGAGAAAAAAATCACAATATAAAGTAAAAGGCATAATCGCATGTTGTTTTTGGGATATTTCACGCTATATTTGTCTATGAACAAAGAAATGTATGTGGGAAAATATAAAACTTTAAACTTGGGAAAGGCAAGAGTTGGGGTGCTATTAAATTCTCCCACTACAAATACAGTATGATGGGTGAGAAAAAGTTTGTGTGATGACACATTTATTTTTACAGTGGAAAAATTGTCCCTAGATAGGTGTTAATTAAGTTTTTGAATCCTTTGGAATCTTCTTGGCCTCATTTCTGGGATTCCAGCAATTTAGCTTTTGATGCCACACCTCCTTTTCAGTTAATTATGAATGTGAGCAAAGACAGTTCTTAAAATAGCATCTAATTGTGTGTGTTAGGTTTTCATGTTTTGTTTTTTCTGTATTTTGCAGTTAATCACCAGGTTACATGAATGTCTGGCTGTTCAGACATCAAGAAAACTAAGCAAACTGTAATACCTCTCATGTGGTTAAGACTTTTGAGGGCTGCTTCTAATGAGAATATTTATGCAGGGGTTATGGGGGGAGAGATTGCCCCATCTGGAGTTCACAGTGGAGAAGCCTCAGTGTGTAGGGGTGGAGTCCCAGACCAGTACCCACCGCTGAGCTTGCAGGTGCACCTCAGAATGAGAGGGCTAGACGTCAGGCCAGCACATCCCCTTGACCAGGTCCGTGGTGCAGGAACTGCACAGCCGTTCACCATGTCCTTCACTTCCTGGTTACAAGTCTGAGATTCTTGTAAAATAATGAACAAATCACTCAGCGGCCACGCCAAAACATGCTCAGTGGCAGAGGATCCACCAAAGTTGTGTGGTTTTCTTTTAAATATTTATTTGAAAGTCAGAGTTACAGAGAAAGAGAGGCAGAGAGAGAGATCTTCCATCTGCTGGTTCACTCCTGAAATGGCCACATGGCAGCATCTGGGCCACGCCAAAGCCAGGAGCTTCATCCACGTGTCCCATGTGAGTACAGGGGCCCATGTACTTGGGCCATCTTCTACTGCTTTCCTACATGCTTTAGCAGGGAGCTGGATTGGAAGTGGAGCAGCCAGGACTCACCTGGCACACACATGGGATTCCAGTGTTGTAGATGGCAGCTTTACCTGCTACCCCACATTGTGGCCCCAGCACCAAACTTTTAATGACACATATAAGTTAGGAAGCAAACATTTAAGACCCCACACCCCAACCCCACATTAGGGCAAAAGACAAATGTTTGGAAAAGGGCACATAGAGTGAAGAAGGGTTCTACTGGTAAGTAACACACCATGAACCCGACTTCCAAAGGACTTCCAAAGGAGCTCTCATTCTGATCTGTGGAGTAGAACAAATCATAACTGGTTGATGAGGAATGGGAAATAACATGTGGCAACTGTACTTAATTAGATGCTGAGAAATTGGTTCTGGGGGACAGGAAGGCATTGTGGGAGAAGGTGATGTCCCCTGAGGCTTACTGGTAAAAGGGAGGAAGGAAGATAAAGGTCTTACTTAGCGGGATGTCAATCCAAAAGGGACAGACACCTCCCAAAAGATACATTTTTTTTTTTTTTTTTTTTTGACAGGCAGAGTGGACAGTGAGAGAGACAGAGAGAAAGGTCTTCCTTTGCCGTTGGTTCACCCTCCAATGGCGCTGCAGCCAGCGTGCTGCGATGGCAGGAGCCAGGTGCTTCTCCTGGTCTCCCATGGGGTGCAGGGCCCAAGCACTTGGGCCATCCTCCACTGCCTTCTTGGGCCACAGCAGAGAGCTGGCCTGGAAGAGGGGCAACCGGGACAGAATCCGGCACCCCGACCAGGACTAGAACCCTGTGTGCCGGCGCCACAAGGCGGAGGATTAGCCTAGTGAGCCACGGCGCCGGCCAAGATACATTTTTTAAAAGGGAAGAACTTCACAAATAAAATACTGCTTCTGAACCCCAAACAACACCCTTTCTCCACGGAACTCTACACTGCTGTATTCTCTCCAGCTGGCCCTAGGATTCCTATTGTAACTTCACCTGTCAGGTTTCCACTAACACAGGGGGAAAAACCGATCTCTGTATAAAATCTTACCATAAATATTTTTCTTGAACATACAGAACCACTCCAAAAAGTCAAATCATGAAACAAAAGAAGACAATAATTCAAAACATTACAACTTGAATTAATTGAACTAGCAACTGCATTCATAAAACAACACAGGAATTAGAAACTCAAAAGCTTAGGCCGGCTCCACGCCTCACTAGGCTAATCCTCCGCCTGCGGCGCCGGCACACTGGGTTCTAGTCCTGGTCGGGGTGCCGGATTCTGTCCCGGTTGCCCCTCTTCCAGGCCAGCTCTCTGCTGTGGCCCGGGAAGGCAGTGGAGGATGGCCCAAGTGCTTGGGCCCTGCACCCGCATGGGAGACCAGGAGGAAGCACCTAGCTCCTGGCTTCAGATCGGCGCGGTGCGCTGGCCGAAGCATGCCAGCCGCAGCGGCCACTTTGAGGGTGAACCAACAGCAAAAGGAAGACCTGTCTGTCTGTCTGTCTCACTGTCCACTCTGTCAAAAAAAAAAAAAAAAACTCAAAAGCTTAGAGGAGTACATAGTAGGAAGATGTGTAACAGGACTTCTGTGAACTAAGGCATCCAAGACATGGCAGTTGAAGCTGTCCAAGACAAAGTGAGTTAAGAGGTCAGACAGGCTGGCGCTGCTGCTCACTAGGCTAATCCTCCACCTGCGGCGCCAGCACACCAGGTTCTAGTCCTGGTTGGAGTGCCAGATTCTGTCCTGGTTGCTCCTCTTCCAGGCCAGCTCTCTGCTGTGGCCCGGGAGTGCAGTGGAGGATGGCCCAAGTGCTTGGGCCCTGCACCCCATGGGAGACCAGGAGGAAGCCCCTGGCTCCTGGCTTTGGATCAGTGAGGCGTGCCGACCGCAGCACGCTGGCATTAGCAGCCATTGGGGGGGTGAACCAATGGAAGGAAGACCTTTCTCTCTTTCTCTCTCACTGTCTAACTCTGCCTTTCAAAAAAAAAAAAAAATAGAAAAACAATGTGGTGCAGAAAGGAGCCTTGACCAGTTCGTGGTGCTTCAGTATCAAGTTGTATGATCCAGGTACATAGACTCCCAGGAGACTAAAGAGAAGGGGAAGAGAAAATATTTGAAGAATAACAGTTTAAAATTTTCAAAATTTGTTTAAAACTAAACTTTGATATATAAGAAACTCCTAACAGGATGAACACACACCCCATCAAGAGACATAATACATTACTGAAAATCATTAAGACTATCTTGCCAAGAAAAGTGACACATTTTGCAAAAATTTAAACAGGCATCATATTTTTTCTGAGAAGCTAGGAGACAAGGGAGTAAAACCTTTAAAGTGGAAAGAAGAAAAACTCAAAGATAGCAAAAATGAGTAAAAGCCCTTTTTAGATAAAAGCCAAGCCTTGGCCAGCACTGTGGCTCACTTGGCTAATTCTCTGCCAGCAGCGCCAGCATCCCATCTGGGCGCCAGGTTCTAGTCCCGGTTGCTCCTCTTCCAGTCCAGCTCTCTGCTGTGGCCCAGGAAGTTAGTGGAGGATGGCCCAAGTGCTTGGGCCCCGCACCGCATGGGAGACCAGGAGGAAGCACCTGGCTCCTGGCTTCAGATCAGCACAGCACCAGCCATACCAGCCATTTGGGAGGTGAACCAATGGAAGGAGGACCTTTCTCTCTGTCTCTCTCTCTAATTGTGCCTGTCAAAAAAAAAAAAAAATAATATCAAATAAATAAGAGACAAAAGCCAGGACAAGATGTTGCTAGCAGATGGGAACTGAAATAATTACTAAAGGAAGTTCTTCAGGCTGAAAGACACAAGACTACCTGATGTAAAGTTGAGTCTATTCTTTAAAAATGAAGAGCTCCGGGGCCAGTGCTGTGGCGTAGCGGGTAAAGCTACCACCTGTAGTGCAGACATCCCATTTGGGTGCCGGTTCGAGTCCCGACTACTCCACTTCCAAACCAGCTCTCTGCTATGGCCTGGAAAAGCAATAGAAGATGGCCCAAGTCCTTGGGCCCCTGCACCTGCATTTGAGACCCGGAAGAAGCTCCTGGCTCCTGGCTTCGGCTTGGCTCAGCTCTGGCCGTGACAGCCATTTGGGGAGTGAACCAGTGGATACAAGATCTTTCTCTCTGCCTCTCCTTCTCTCTGTGTGTAACTCTTTCAAATAAATAAATAAATCTTACAAAAAAAATTAAGAGCTCCAAACACTAGATTAAGTGGGTTAGTAGTAAAAACTTATTTTCTTCAGCTTTATTATATTCAGGATATTGCTTAACAGCAAAAAATAACTGATTTGTGGAGATTATTCCTAAGTAGAAGTTATACGTTTGGCAACTCTACCCTAAAGGCTATTTGTAATGGCCTTTACGATAGTGATTGCTGTGCATACTCCACATTCATATTTTGAAACCGTGTTACTGTATTTGCAGATAGGCCTCTAAAGAGGTGATTAGGGTTAAATGAAGTCCTCAGTCCAGTATGGCCGGTGTGTATACCTAGGAGAAGGAGCTACACCTTGGGGTGTGCCTGCACAGAGGGGGAGAGGCCTCAGGAGAAACCAGAAGGCTGTCCTCTTGATCTGGGACGTCCTGCCCCCAGGACTTCGAGAAAATAAATCTGTTTAAGCCACCTGGTCTGTGGGATTTGGGTATGGCAGCCCTAGGAAACTAATACACTGATCACGTACTATTTACTGTGCTAAACAGACAAACCAGAAATCCTTCCCCTGGTCACATTTGCAACAATTTGAACGTGGGAATGTGATATGAATTGGATGTGAAACTTTTTCATGTTTTTTAACCAACTACCTTCCCAACATCATAAAATAACATTTTACAGTATAGTGTTTCCTGTTTTATTAGCAATTCAAAGAGGACTTCTCTGGACAGTTTTTCTGCTCCTTGCGGCACTGACTGGAATCATTCTGCCGCAGTGCTCAGCAGGCAGATTCATCACGTGCCTTGGTGGTGGGCGTGACCAGAAGACTGGGCACAGGCAGGCTCTCCCTGTTGGCATGTAAGTTCAAGGCCTTTCCCACAGGGCCCCTTAACAAGTCCAGACTCTGGCATGATGGGTTTGGGCTCTTAAAGTGCGTGTTCTGATAGCTGAAGGTGCCAGCCTATTAAGGGCAGGCCTAGAAACTTGGACAGTGTTATTTCTGTCATAGTCTGTTGGCCAAAAAGCTGAAAGAGCCCATCCAGAATCAAGGGGGTGGGAGGAGGGCAGAGACCTGTAAGGGGAGAAGTATCAAAGAACTCAGTCCATTCACAATCTGCAGCAGTTCAGCCTCTGCCCATTAATTACGTCCCTCCCACATGCAGCAGAGTGCCCTCCCTCGCAGACACTCGAGTCGTTTCATCCCGTTACAGCATCGAGCAGGATCAGGCTCGAGCCCTGGAGCCTCTCATTTAAGCTGGGGCCAGGTGTCAGGCTGTTTAATGGGGATTCTTAAGTATGACGTTGCTCAGTTGGAAGACCTCTGAACTAAGGAGGCAAGTGATGTGCCTCCCACACGCTAGGCACAGTGGTGAGACAGACAGAGCCATCTCATTCGAAAAGCACAAAGGGACTGGCACTGTAAGTCAAGCCTCCTCCTGTGGTGCCAGCATCCCATTTAGGCCCCAGTTCAAGTCCCGGGTGCTCTACTTCCTATCCAGCTCCCTGCTGATGGCCTGGGAAAGCTGTAGAAGATAGCTCAAGGGGTTAACGCCCTGGCCTGTAGTGCCAGCATCCCATATGGGTGTCGGTTCAAGACTCGGCTGCTCCACTTCTGATCCAGCTCTCTGCTGTGGCCTGGGAAAGCAGTAGAAGATGGCCCACGTCCTTGGGCCCCTGCACCTGCGTGGGAGACCCAGAAGAAGCTCCTGGCTCCTGGCTTCGGATCGGCCTAGCTTCAGCCATTGCAGCCATCTGGGGAGTGAACCAGTGGTTGAAAGACCTCTCCCTCTCTCTCTCCCTCCCTCCCCTCACACCTCTCTGTCTGTAACTGTGCTTCCCAAATAAACAAATCTTTAAAAAGAAAAGCATAAAGTAAGCGTAGCAATCCTGGGCCCACAGACCTGAAATTTAGGTAGGCTTATGTCTCCTGCTGCTTGAATAATCCTGAAAGTAGTCCCATACACCTCCTGGCTCCATGAGCAGGCCCCCTCTTACCTCTGAGTCATCCTTTTCCATGAATGTGGCTGTATTTGCAACTGGGTCATGTTCTCTGGGTATTTCTTCACAGGAGACATGTGGAAGCCTCTCTACATTTTGTGCTGTACCAGGCCTCTATGGCTCAATCTAGTAAAACTCTTAAAAACTCTTGGGTTTCTTACATACCCCATTAGAAAGCTCTTGCTGCAGGCTGGATATGTCTTGAGTATGTCCCCCCAAAGTCCCCCTGCAGGAATCTTTTCCCAGGGTGGTAGTGTTGTAGGGGTGGGGCCTAGTGGGAGGTATCTGTTAGGTTATGGGGGCACTGCCCAGAAAACGGAGTAAGCTAGTTCCCATGATTCCCTGGCTAGTTCCTGTGAGAAGGAATTGCTTTGAGAAAGCAAGGCACCTGACTAGCTCTGGCTTCTGTCTTGCCATGTGATTGCTCCCTCTTGCCTACACTCCTGTCATGATGCAGCCACCACGCTGTGATGAAGTGAGAAGGCCTCTCCGGGGCGGAGCAGACTGAGGCACTGTGGTCTTTATAAACTCCCAGACCATAAGCTACATAAACTCCTCTCCTTTACAGATTACATATTTTGTTATGGCAATGGAAAACAGACTAAGACACCACTCCACTAGAGAAAAGCCATAGCCATCTTTCTTCCTAGGACAGTCTGTTCTCTACCTTGGGCTACCTGCAATTTTGCTGTGTTAAATATCACCTTAAGATTCTTAGAGAGGTAGCAAGTAACCTATATGAATGCCTGTTAGAGTCCCTGCCATACTACTTCCTGTATAGCTCTCTGCTAATGCACCTGGGAAAGAAGTGAAAGATGGCCCAAGTGCCTGGGCCTCGTTACCCACATAGGAGACCTAGATGACATTCCAGGCTCCTGGCTTCAGCTTGGCCCAGCCCCTGCCATTGTGGCTATTTGGTGAATGAACCAGGAGCTGGAAGATCCCCATCTCTCCACTCTGTCTGTAACTCTACCTTTCAAATAAATAAACCTTAGAAAAACCAAGAAAATAAAACAAGATTCTTAGAAATCCTGATATCTCTCACAAGGGTTTGTCAAAGTCTTTCTGAGATCCTGGGGCCAGTGTTGTTGTGACGCAGCAGGTTAAGCCACTGCCTACAGCACTGGCATCCTGTATGTGCACCAGTTCAAGTCCTGGCTGCTCCACTTCCCATCCAACTCCCTGCTAGTGCACCTGGGAAGTCAGCAGAAGATGGCCCAAGTGCATCCACGTTGGAGACCCAGAAGAAGCTCCTGGCTCCTGACTTTGGACTAGCCCAGCCCTGGCCATTGCAGCCATTTGGGGAGTGAACCAGCAGATGGAAGACCTCTCTCTCTCTCTCTGCCTTTCAAATAAAATAAATGAGATCTTTCTGAGATTTTAACAAAAGGAATTATGATCATCATGTTGGTTGTATCTTCACTCTCAGATCATTTTTAATCCACAAAAACATTGAGTAAATAAAAAACCATGCCGTTGTCATGGAGAGAACACAGATGTGGAAGTAACTGGTAACTGAACTCTGAAGGTGGGTAACTCCCTTGCAAGAAGCGAGGCTGAGAAGGAGAACAGCGTGAGAGTCGGCCCCTGTGTGAGGAGGAGGCTGTGCTTGGAGCATCAGAGGATGTAGATAGGAGCCTGGCTAGCTTCACCTCGGACAACTTGGACTGGCAGTCCGTAGGTGGGAGGCTATGGGAAAACTCTCAGAGGCCAGAAATGTAGGCCGCGGTTGGAGGAAAAGCTCTGAAAAGGAGTGCAAAGAGCAGAATTGTCTACCCAATAAGATGAAGCCAAACTAGTATTTGGGATCCACTCTTGTTAGATTGGAGATGGTTAAAAGGGGGAAATAGTTCAGATAGAACAGAATCCACATGAAGTCCAGTGATGCAGAGAAAAATAGCAGTTCTAGGAGTAGGAGAGAGAATATAGTTTCTACAGAAGAATGGCTTACGAGGTGGCCATCTGGAAGCAGATAAAGAACTTGGTTTCACGAGGAGGGTGGCTAGCCCAGTGGAATTCTCTTACCGGTCATCTCACCTTTGATGTAGGCAATAGTTCTAGCAAGATTTTGTAGAAACAGGTGTGTTTTAGTGGCTGTGTTATCAGAGGAGGTAACCTCATAGAGACATACTTTGAGGTAGAATGTGTAATATCCACCAGTGGGTATTTAGGCTTATCAATGTAACAGGAAATGGTCACTGATCTTAAATTTTTGATTCTTACTCTATCCCGGAGTTTCTGCTCGATGACATGCAACAGTTCTACCCTACCTGATTAGCACATTGCCTTCTATTAAGAAAAATGCCGCTGGCGCCGCGGCTCACTAGGCTAATCCTCCGCCTTGCGGTGCTGGCACACAGGGTTCTAGTCCCGGTTGGGGCGCCGGATTCTGCCCCGGTTGCCCCTCTTCCAGGCCAGCTCTCTGCTGTGGCCAGGGAGTGCAGTGGAGGATGGCCGAGGTGCTTGGGCCCTGCACCCCATGGGAGACCAGGAAAAGCACCTGGCTCCTGGCTCCTGCCATCGGATCAGCGCGGTGCGCCGGCCGCAGCGCGCCGGCTGCGGCGGCCATTGGAGGGTGAACCAACGGCAAAAGGAAGACCTTTCTCTCTGTCTCTCTCTCTCACTGTCCACTCTGCCTGTCAAAAAAATAAAGAAAGAAAGAAAGAAAAATAAAGAAAAATGCCTGCACTGGGGACCGCACTTCTGTAGTCACTTTTAAGGATGAGATCAGATGTTCTGATAATGCCCCCAAAATAATTAAGACTGGAAGGATACAGTTGAAGCATGCACGTTCATGTAAAACTTTTTGGAAAGTGGTGAAATGATTGCCATGGTTTAAATCAGGCATATTAATCACTGTACTCCCACAAAAAAAAAATAAATAAATAAAAGTGGCTGCAACACAGAGGCCTCAGAGTTTTCTGCGGGCTGTATTTCAGCTGTACACTCTTGCTTTAGTATTTCACGACGGGCCGGAAAATGCACTTGCCTTTCTTCCCTCTGCCTGAAGTGCTTTTCTCTGCTTGGCAAACTCCAGTTCCTCCTCTTTGCCGGGGTTGGATGGTCGCCTCTCTGAAATCTCCCCCGCCCCCCCCCAGAGAATGTGAGTCACTTCCTGTCTCCTCCCCGAGTGTGTGTGCATACATTTTTAGTGCATATGTCACAGTGCCAGGCAGTTCTTTCTTCACGTTCAAACAGAGGAGCCTCTTGTTGAGTAAGTATCGTGAAAGCTTGACGCAAGGCAGGAGTACTCGAGAAAACCGGGCAGACGATTTTAAAAAGCTTTGCAGCGTTGTCTATAGTTAGCTGTTTTACCTTCAGCTAGACAGTAGCAAAACTAGAATGCACAGTGTTATCTGAGGCACGAGCTACAGTAACTGCCGTTTTACTTCACACGTTATGTGATTTGTTTTGGTCTGAGAGGATGCATTCATCCAAACATGACTGCGAATATTTTAAAAGACATTTAGCAGGTGAATAATGAACTGCTTATTAAGAGCTTCCTAAATGCTCAGGCATTTTTAAAGTAAATCATCATTTGAGAGAGTGAAACAGAAAGAGCACCCAACTGCTGGGACTGTACCAAGTTGAAGCTGAAGCCAGGGACTCAGCCCAGGTCTCCCACCTGAGAGAGTGGCAGGAACCTGATTACAGGAGTCCCCGCTGCTCATCCTGGCTTCCCTTTGCATTAGCAAGAAGCGAGGGCCAGAGCCAGGACTCAGAACCACGTACTCTGAATCAGACACAGCAGGCATCAACTGCTAGGCTAAATGCCCTCCCCTTCAATGCATTTTTAGTCTCCAATTGGAAACACGCAAGAGGTAACTTGACCCATGTTTCCATTGGCTCAAGTAGGACAGGAAAGCAAATTTCTGATTTCTAAGCATCACCCCGCTGTGACAGAAGGGAGGGGGGAGTCCCATGTCTTTACTCAAGTTAAAGGGAAGAAAGAATAGTTAATAAATGGTTTTGTTGTATTTATTTGAAAGGCAGAGGGAGGGGAGAGAATCCCCCAGCTGATTCACTCCCCAGATGCCCACAACAGCCAGGAACCCAGTCAAGGTCTCTCCGGGGGATGGCTGGGAACCGACTACTTCAGCCAGCATCTCTGCCTCTCAGGACTGCATTAGCAGGAGGTGAGAATCAGGAGCACAGCCAGGACCCGAAATCTGGCACTCCAGTGTGGGATTCGGGCATCCCAAGAGTTGTCTCAACTGGAGTAGCAGTTCTGTTTGTGACAGTAAGTCGCCTGAGACTGCAGAGGTAACCCCGGGCAAGGCCTCCCTGCCTGGTTCCCGCCATGAGCTCTTGAGGTCAGGATGGTCCCAGGAAAGTGGGCTGTGCTGCACGGGTGGTCAGACCCCTGGAGAGCTCTGAACCGTGTACTTCTTACATTTTGATACTTTTATGCTGGGCAGCTAAAGTCCAGAAATTGGAAAGTTATGGTAAAAGAAAAGGGTTACTGGCCTGAAGCACCGGCATCCCATATGGGCGCCGGTTCTAGCCCTGGCTGCTCCACTTCTGATCCAGCTCACTGCTGTGGCCTGGGAAAGCAGTAGAAGACGGCCCAACTCCTTGGGCCCCTGCACCCTTGTGGGAGACCCAGAAGAAGCTCCTGGCTCCTGGCTTCGGATCAGCCCAGCTCCGGCCATTGTGGCCAATTGGGGAGTGAATCATCAGATAGAAGACTTCTCTCTCTCTCTCTCTCTGCCTCTCCTCTCTGTGTAACTCTGCCTTTCAAATAAATGTCTTAAAAGGGGGGGGGGGGCTAATGCTCAGAATATGACCCGAGAAGATGGAAGGGGGGGCCGGGAGGGGTGCAGGGGTGCAGCTTTTGGTGGCTGGGGCAGGAGGCTGAGAAAAATCTGTACTATTGACCCCTATATATTCTGTGACCTAGGAAGGGTGAGGGGTGGGCAAGGCTAGCCCCACCCCTCCCTCCCATCCATGGTGCAGGAAGACACTCAAGCTGCACAGAGACTCAGCTGATCTCAGAGGTCATGAACCTGCAGACCCATGGGTGTTGAGAATGATTGACAGGTGGGAACAGGGACAGGAGTGGGGGCGGGGCACTCTCGAGGCAGGGGCTGACCTGCTTGCCCTCCGTTTGGGCTGGCAAGAGGGCGGAGGACAAGCCAGATGAGGAAGGGAAGCAGGTGGGGGCCGCGGGCAGAGGCTGCCTGGGGCGTGGGAGGTCAGCCCCGGGAAGGGAGACTGAAAGGAACCGGGGTGGAAGCGCCCGTGGGGTGGGGGTTCCTGACGACCTGCAGCCTGGGTGACCGTGGCGCAGTCGCACGCAGGACGCCTCCTCTCTCTCACAGAGCTTTGTGCTGCCCCACAGCCCTGCCCAGACTGGGACTTGCACTGGTGGTGACCAGTATCACTGCCCGTGGGCATTCGGGGATGGCTCCAGATGACCTGGGTATGAGGGAGGCTGCGAGCGCCCCGACCTCTTTAACCTATTGCAGCTGGGTTACCGCGGACCCCAGAGGTGTTTAGAAAATGCCCGCCTTGTCCCCTGCCTGCATCCCAGCCGCACCATTGAGCCTGCCAATCCACACAGGGGTAAATCGTCCCTGACAACACTTCCCTCACCGCCCCTCCCCTCCCCTCCATCCCATTCCAACCCCTCCCAT